TTGTTCACTGTCATATCCCTGAAACATATCCTGTCGAGAATCTTACCATCATGAAAATATAGAATTCTCCATTGATATATTATGAAAAATATATGACTATGAAACCCTAACACGAGAGCATATTTTGGAGGAAAAACATACACGGATAATGTCTAAAGTTTCAGCTCTCAGAGAGCTTCTGAGAGAGTTGTCCATTTAATTGGATCTTGGAGGCTGTTTTGTTTAAAATCTCCCACAATTCACAGGCTAGTGCTGTCCATTGTCATCTCGTGGCACACAAAATGGCTCGAGAGTGGTCGCTTCCGAAAGATGCCGCTTTAATTTAATTTATATGTCACGATCATCTAAGCAGAACTAATCAAAATTCAGACAAACACTCTGCTGCAAAATGTCCCAGACCACTGCTCAAGAGCCAGTGTTTCAAAACCTAAACTGGTCGAAAGTGAAGGTGAACAATGAGTGACTAGTAATTGATGAATTGTGTACCATTGGAAAATCTGGTACAATTACACGAGGAATTTGCAATTAAAATACAATATACAGCGATTATTTCATACCATCGCGCCATTCGAAAAGCTGGCCCGCCCACAATCAGAATGTCGCTCAACGATTTGACTTCAATATCACATCAAAAATAATTGGCAATTTTCATGCAATTTGAGTATGTAACTCCCGTGTTCAATTAGAAAACGTTTTCCGCAGCATCGCTTTTTAATTGTAATAAATTAATTAGTATTCCCTGGGATTAACCAATTTCCTGCCCAAGTGACATTCAACTCTCCCGTCAATTTGGATGTTACATGGCAGGGAAAAAATGCCCTGGTCATTTGGGCGAGAGAAACATACTCTCTGTGTGTTGTGCACACAATATAATATGGACGCATCATTTTCAATTTTAATTTAATTGGAAATTAAGTGTTTCTCCCTGACTTTTAGCCTGTGTGCCGAGGGTGGATTGGAGGGTTAAATACACACTAAATGTCACATTTCGAAGATGACAATTTTCCTTCTATATAAAGTAAAATGAACGCATATTTTATGAACTCAGTATTAAATGTAAAAAGCTGGGCTTTGATTGCTTTAACTCGCTCAAAAGTGCTTCTTTTCCCCTGATCCAATTTATTCAACTAACCAAAAATAATCTGATCTCCATCTCTCGCGGCTTCCAGCGCATCATATGAATGTCAAAAGCTCACTGGGAGCTTTTCATACCCATTTTATTCATTGCAGCGGAATGATGATTTTTTTTAAACAATCCAGAGGCAGTAAAAAATCATCCGGACTCTCGCTGCACATCCCATTGTCTTTCGCCCCAATCAATGTGTTATAAAAAAGGCATTGTGAATTTTTATATGCCTTTTTTCACCCACTGAACGCAGGGTGGAAAAGCTTTCCGACAGAGATACATAAAAAATAACACGGGGAAATAATCTTTTTTTTTTCACGGATAGGGCTTTATTTACGCCCCTGTAATTTCTATGAGGATGTTTTACGCGAATATATTTTTTCTGCGCACCGAATAAGCACAACTCGCCCATTTAGCATGACATTTTGCGAAAAATATCTCCGATTAGTTTTATTTATTTTTATATACATGATTTGCGGACATTTCAAGAAAAAAAAACATACAAATTCTCTCGAGAAGACAATTCGTTGATTTGATTTCAGTGGAAGAACAGCTGAAGCGTGTAAGAATTTTTCAACAATTCCAGATTTTCCATTGCGCATTATATATTTTCACCCCTGACTGAACATTTTTGCATTGTGTGCGCTCTTCTCGTGTTTGCCATTTCTCTTCGCCGTTTTGCCAAAAAAAAATACCATGCATTGAGTTGGGGAAATGCAAAAAGTCATGTGAGGGAGAGAAAAAAATTGTAAACCACCCCCACGAGAGTGTTCATTGAATCGAAATAATTTCCAATTATGGAGCGAAAATTCAATTGGAAAATGCCCTGTTCAATTACGCCACACACGATCACAGAGCCAACATCATAGATAAAAGCGTGTCCACTAATTTTTTTTAATTCTTTCCAAAAAGAAAAATCACAGATTTTTCCTTTACGAATTAACCATGCAAACTGAAGTTTAGTCACAAATTTCCGTCCGGAAAATACCATCGAGCTGTTGCTGAAAATTAGAAAATTACCCACGCCAAACGTGATCGGCCAGCAACAGCGTGGAGAAAGGTGTGTAGTTAAGCGGGAGAAAATTGAGTGTCTAATTTTGTGTCGACCAGGAAAATCGTTCACCACATTTCCTGTCTGAAATATTAAATAGCTCATTAATAAAATGTCCTTCTAGCGAGGAATTTTCTCGCCTATTTTCCATCCCCCAGGAATGAAGACAGAAAATTTATGATTGCCACATTTACCGACGTCGTGTGACAAAATACGCGTTAATTGCGTTCATCTGCACCCTCAACTTTTTGGGGGTGGCGGCGGGTGATCGAGTGACGCCAATAATTGTGAATGGAAGTGGCGACCTACCTACCCTTCTCTCTGCCCACGCTGGCAGGGGAAAAAATTGACAATGTATTGGGGGGACGATTAGTGTAATTAGCAGAATGAAACTCAAATGGAAAAATTTCCCCGGGAATTGCTTGAGGGTGGCGAGAAAATACCTGACAATTTTGCACCTCTCACAGCTTTCCTGATTCCGTTCGATGGGGATGGAAAAACACGTGCACAGAGAGAGGAAAAATTAATAACCATCGTCAATTACGCACCGTAATTCATTTCCTCTTCTTTCAAATCAATTCTCATCGCCATTTTCCACATGAAACGCGCCAAACTTTTCTTCATCTTCTCGCTGAGCTCACCAAAAATTGCGTGATTGTGTGTAATCCGGTAAAAAAAGAGATGTTAAATAGAGTACAAATCTCTGAAGAACCAGTTGATATATCTAGATTTATTCTTTTCAGTATGAAAATGCGGAGTTTTTTCGAGCAGCTTTAAATAGCCAAAAATTACATTCACAAAAACGTCCGGAAATAGTAGAAACTCAGCGCTAAAATCTATAAAATAGTAAAAACAAAAAACATTTTGGAAAAATCTGAGGGTTGCTTAGGTTCTTGGTCACTTTGTTGTTCCACTTTCGCTGTGCAGGAAGAACTGCTCACGCTGGGCTTTTCCACCCATCCTTGCCTCCTGCGTCGGGGTGCAAAAATGACCGAGATTGCGGTGGAAGTGTGTCCCCATAAATGTGCACATTAAAGCGAATTTAGTGAGCGCGCGATAACAATTTGAAATACGACAGACTAACCCACACGAATTATGCATCGCGAGAGCGGACAAAAAGCCACCCACCAAAGCTATTCAATTGGCGAGCGCTTGAAATCCCTCGCGATCCTCGCCCGAGGTGACTCTAATCCTCCCGTTCTCGCTTATGGGAGTTGAAAGGAGTCATTAAGCTCATTTTCACGCGATTTAAAGCTGCCACTTCGCACACGCTTGTGGGGATTTTAACCGTGTGTTTGAAGAGTACATAAAAAATTGATAGTTTCTCTCTCTCTCTTCACCATCAATTGTATCCTTATCGCACTGTTTCCTATCTTCACTCACCCTTTCGTGTGTTCTTTCGTCTTCAGTAAAAAAAAATACCGAAGAAGACTTAATTGAGAGAAAATGGGGACCCCTTTTAATTCTTCACCAGCACGCATTTTCATTATGCTCCCATTCCCCTTTTCCGAATGGCAAAGAAAACGAGAGGAGATGATAAAGTCGAGGGTATAATTCATGCTACTTGTTGACGCTTCGGATCCCTTTTCGGTTGAACTCTGGGCCTGATTTTGGGAGTGCTTCTTGGCGTCCCTCCTTTATCACCTGCACAAGGAGTTGCTTGGGCATGGCATGATAAATTTCGATGCCGCCAAAGACTTTGGGATGAAGAGTCCGACGATAAATTTGCGTCGCTTCAATGATTGCGTGGCACGCAACCAAATTCGCCGCTCTCCCAAGAATTATTGCCATCCGTGAAGAAGGTGCGCAAGATGTGGGTTGAAAAATAATTGGCATCACAAGCTGAACAGGTCAATTTTTACAGCAGTTTTTGATCAACTATTCCTGCACGCGGCCAGCAAAACCTCCCGGCGAGGTTTCTTTCGGACTAATCAAGCGCGATGCTCTGCCTCCAAATTACATTTCCCCCGCACATCTGCCCAAATCCTCGGGTGCTTAATTACTTGAAGAAAAGTGATTCGGAGAAATGAAGGCGAAGGCGAGCCAATTTTCCAATTTGCCCACCATCTTCCCCATCTTGGCGTGACTTAAAAGGCTTTTGATATTATCTACTCATCCCGCTTACAGCCTCACTCACAGCTTAATTTGGACGCAGGGCGAGAACTCCTGAAGGGGAGACTTTTTCCCTCTGGCTCTGACTATTTCGGCCGAAATCTTTTGGGAGGGAAGGACAGTTTTGAGAGACTAAAATAGTCCCCCAACCGCGCTCATTTGACACTAATTTATTAATCAAGCGGCAAAGGTGAACTCCCAAGAGGTGAGAGGTGCTCTTTAGTGAGCATTTCCCACTCGGGTGACCTTTAACCAAGCCACCCACGCGCGCACCTCGGAAGAGGGCGAGAACACGTCAATCTTTCCTTTCATGCAATTATCGCGCTGACGCTGAAATTTGTCACACATTCTCTTAAGGGGAGGAGCACCACCGTCAGTCAACAAATGCACTCTATTAACCATCTGATCCAACAGAGAAGTCATTTACTTTAATCAAACAGTCAAAGGGATTTTTTTCTCCCTTATTCATAGTAGTTTTTCATCCCTCACTCAAATTTACTTACAAGGGGTAAACCGTAGAGAAATCAGATGACCACATGTTCTAACACAATTACGAAAAACTACTTATAGAAAGTAACAAGATTGAAGCAACGAGATTTTAGTACACATACCTTTTTCAAGAGCCGTGTTTCGATGACTCCAATGCGGGATACTCTCTCGGCGATCCCCAAACTTTGCAAGCTTTGTACGAAGCACCGGAAAACTCTCATCTTCTATTTTCGAAAAGTATATTTTCCTACTCAGTGACTCCTTCGTAAAATGCTGTCTCTGCCTTCTTCACTGTTTCGGTGCCTCTTCACTCTTCTGCGAGGGCTTATTCCAATTCTGCAATCCCTCGGGTAGCGATGTGTCCTCCTCCAGGCCCCCTGTGCCCTCCACAAACTCCTCATATGTGGATTTCTCCTTGAACGGACGAGCCCCCAGCAATTCAATCATATCATCGCGGCTGAGGATCTCATTCTTCAGCAGTCGCTCCGCCACTTTCTCCACATCGGCTTTATGTCGCTTCAGCAGATCTTGTGTCCGCGTGTGTGCCGTCTTAATCAACTCCCTCACTTCTGTGTCGATCAGCTGTGCCGTTTGCTCTGAATAGGGCTTACTGAACATTGGATCTCCAGGAGCACCCATGTCGAAGCTCACATTGCCAACTTTTGCATTCATTCCAAACCGCACAACTTGGGCGTAAGCGCTGTCCGTGACCTTCTTCAAGTCGTCCTGAGCTCCAGTGGTGATTCGACCGAAGAAGATCTCTTCAGACACTCTCCCGCCCAGTGTCATGCACATCCGGTCGAAGAGTTGCTCCTGAGACAGTAAGTATTGATCCTTGGGCAGATATTGGGCATACCCCAGACCCTTTCCACGCGGGATGATCGACACCTTGAGCAGAGGATCTGAGTGCTCCAGAAACCATCCCGCCACGGCGTGTCCAGCTTCGTGATACGCCACGGTCTTTTTCTCATCCGGCGCCAGCACGTTTGTCTTCTTCTCCATTCCAGCAATCACTCTCTCAATTGCCTGCTCGAAGTGCTTCAAATTGATGGCGTCATTGAGATCTCTGGCCGCAATCAGTGCTGCCTCATTGCACACATTTGCAATATCCGCTCCTGTGAATCCCGGTGTCAGAGCTGCCATCTTCCTGGACAGCTCCTGCTTGTCCAGATTCGTCTTCAACGGTCCCAAGTGCACTTTAAAGATGCTCGCCCGTCCCTTAATGTCCGGCGCCGGCACGAAAATCTGTCTGTCAAATCGCCCTGGTCGCAACAACGCTTTATCCAAGATGTCAACGCGATTCGTAGCGGCCAGAACCACAACATTCGTCGTCGTATTGAATCCATCCATCTCCACAAGCAGCTGGTTGAGGGTGTTCTCCTGCTCAGAGTGTCCTCCGAAGCTCTTCCCACCTCGTTTTCGGCCCACAGCGTCAATTTCATCGATGAAGAGGATGCAGGGCGCGTGTTTCCTGGCCATGGAAAACATATCTCGCACTCTAGACGGTCCCACGCCCACAAACATCTCCAAGAACTCCGATCCGGACACCGTGATAAACGGTACGTTCGCCTCACCGGCTGTCGCCTTGGCCAATAGGGTTTTTCCCGTGCCTGGCGGCCCTGTCAGCATCGCTCCCTTGGGAATCTTCGCGCCCAAGTCAATGTATTGCTGGGGGTTCTTCAGGAAATTCACAAACTCCATGATCTCAATCTTCGCCTCTTCGCATCCCGCTACATCCTTGAAGCGCACCTCAATCTCATTGGAGTTTATCAGCTTCGCAGTCGACTGCATCACTCCGCCAAATAGTCCACCACCTTTCCGACCACCTGGGCCACCCATCATCTGGGCAGAGCGACGCATCATGAACAACAGAAAGCCTATGATTAGTAATGTGGGCAAAAGTCCAGTCAAACTGGCCGCTTCGAGCTCTGACCGATAAATCACGGGCACGTAATTCACCGGTTCCACGCCTAAGTCATCCTGAGCATGTTCCAGATTCCTCTCGAACGAGTCTACGCTGCCAATGTTAAACCACAGCACGCCCTAAAAAAATGAGAGAATGAAGCGAAGGTATTGCCAAAAGAAGTAATCGGCATTCCTACCCCAGAATCACTAGAACTCCCTGGACTCAATCGCACTCTAACCCACTTCTTGTTCACCACCTCTAGTTTCTCCACGACTCCTCTGGCCAGATAACTGCGGAGAGAGAACAATCATTAACATTCCTCCTCAAAATATTGATGATTTCAAGCCTCACTTGGTAACGAATTCCTTCCATCCGATCTCCTTGTAGCCCATCTCGAAGTACGCCAGCGCTCCCACGAGGGCAACTGTTCCCAACGCCCCGAAAACTATCCACTTCTCCTTGTCGCCTCCATCGCCGCCAATGGGGCGTCCGGAGGAACCTGTGCGTTTCCCACGACCACCCGCATTCGGTGAAAACATGCCAAAATTCCAGTCATTCTTCCCGGGACCAGTGGGTGGCGTTGGGGAGAAACCCTTGGATGGTGGAGGTTCAACAGGTGGTGGTGCCTCTTGCACTTTATCCCCCTGAGAAGCCTCTTTCCGCTGCTTCCCTCCCGACTGCTTGAAGTACTTCTCAAATCCCTTCGGTGGCTTCTCGCAGAACAGCCGCCACTCCCTCAGCAAGGTGTCCCATGTCCAAGTATTCACATCCCCACGCAAATTGGCAATATCATGATGAAACTGCTGAAAAGATAGAAAAATTAACTATAAAATCCACAAAATTGCATCACCAGTTTTGTGGTTAGGTTTCACACACCGAACTCAAATGTCCTTTGCGCAGGCTGCTCAGGAGATTTCTCTCCAGTTTCTTTGCACTGCTTAATAGTCTAAAAGCCATTGTATGATTTTTGCGCCACGCCGGCAGTGTTTTTACATAATTATCGTGAAAAACTAGGTGAAAATATCCGCCTGGCACAACACTTTCGAGATCTCAGTCGACTTCCAACGTCAGCTGAGCGCCTTCCAGTGGAGATCTGACCCGAAATTATTCCAGCGGCGATAGAACAGTTTCTGAAGGCAATTTTGCGATTGAAATTAATCTCTTGAATCCCTTTATTTAGTTCTTAGCGAAATCATAATTCATATTTGACGATGTTGATAATGTATTGGTAGTTTATTCGAAATATTGGAATCCGCCGCCGCGTAATTAATTTTAGGCTCTCCAATCTTAATTTCCAGTGTCTCCCGGCTGTCATTTCTGTGTTTTCTCTGTGTGGATATTTCTAAACACTTATTTTGCACATTTTAGCGAAATGTCGCGCTTAAATGATTGGGAAATAGCTGGACTTAAGGATTTTCTTACCTTCGATGTGCGCACTGAAGCATTTGCCATTGACGTAGCCAAATCCCTGCTAAGTAAAGTCAGTGTAAATACTCCCAAATCTTCAGCTGGTAAGCATGACTTTCCGGAGGTGTTCCGCCCCTAAACTCACACTTTCTCTCCTCCGTCTTCTTCTTACAGATGCCATAGACACAATCATCCAGAACTGTGACTCCGCGTTGATGATCCTAGACAAAAAAGCCATGACGAAGGATATTCTGTCGACGTATTTAATGGACAGAGGGAATTCCTTCTCAGTGAATGCCACAAAACAAATCCTGGTGCAGCAAGTCATCCAGCACTGGCAAAGGAAATTCCAGACATCAGACAGACCTCACGTGATAGCAGGATCATCAATAATTCTAGTAAAACCAGAAAATTTTCAGGTGAACACACTTTCTCGCCAATTCACGTCGTGGTTCTACCAGAAGCTCAATGAAGACGCCTTAACACTAGCAGACTTTTGGCCAGACGTCTCATGTGCCATTCGCTTCACGCAGAGTGACTCTGTGACGGATGAGAGTGCTGAGGGAAGCGAGGCTGTCCTGGAGAAACTCCTGACAACGAGGCGAACCTACAATTTCAATTTCAATCCAAATATCAGCTCTTCCGGCGTCCAGGGCAGGATTGACCTTCACGGATTGGTGTTCGTCATCAGCTGTGGCACCCTCCACATTGCCAATCGCTGGGTGGGTGTGTTCGAGAGTGCCTTCGGTCTGGTTCAGGATCCAGCCGGGCTCAATAACTGGAAATGCAAACATATAAAGATTGCCCTGCGAAGCACACAGAAAGAATCTCTGCCAACACTCCAGGACTGTGAATCCATCAGGGACATCATCGCCTTGCCCGTCACGAGTGAAGATCTGCCAAATTGATTGAATTAAATTGTTAAAAATAAGGAAAATCGCATTAGTTTCACTCGAATACTCACCTTTCCTTCAGTCTATCTGGTGGCATGAATTTGGAGACTAGGTTTAGCCGAGCATTCTGAACCACTCTCTGTGTGCTTCCGGGTCAATCTGCAAGACAGAGGAACGAGAAAAAAACTAGAAAGACATTTTGTAAGACTTCATCAGAAACAAAATTGAGTCTCATTTCAAAGATTCATCGAGTCACAATTCACTAACCCTTCATTAATGCCTCAAGCGTTAATCTCTTAACGGGATCGGCACTAAAAGGCACTCAAACCCATCCGGGATGAGGATCTCGCCGAAACCAGGGCTGCAAAAGGCAAAAAGGCGTTGTAGAATCATTGTATCAGACGAAATACAGCATCCTATCACATTTTATAATGTAATTTTTTTCTTAATTTATTTGCTCTACTTTGCTCTTTCTGGGATTTCAATCCCGACAATCAACCACTATTTCTGATTATTTTATCTGCGCTTCACTACAACTATCATTTCCTCAAGATGCTAGCTAAACAAACGTTCACATAATAATTAGCTTTTCCCATTACTAAAGAGAAAAATTTTGTTCTTAAACAAAAATCCAAAATAATAAAACCTCTTCGATGCCATTTAACTCACTTATTTCTTCACATCTTATCTTGAATAAAGGGATGCGCTAGAGCCTGATTCAATGATATTCTCTTCGCCGGATCCAACACGAAGAGTTTCTCCAGCAAATCCTTCAGCTGAGTCACTTTCCTGTGCTGATCCTCGGGCAGATTTTGATCAGCAATCAATTCTTGCTGCAAATCGCGGGTCGGCTTGATCACCGACTGAACCACAATCTTTTCCTGAAAAGTAAACATGGGTAAAGTGCATTAGATTTTATCTACAGCTACTAAATATTCAATTACAGTTCAAGAGTGAATGCATTTGAAGTAATTTTAGCTTTTCTAACATTGTGAAATTGGAGTAAATTGATAAACTCACCCTTTCTGTGATCTTATCAATCTCATGGTAGAGAAAGTTGCAATTCTGATCAAAGTGCTGCTCCCGAAACTGACCTCGGCGAATGACTTTGTTCGGGAACTTCCCCTTGAGATCCATGAAGAACTTCAGCATCTGATTGTTAGATTTCCCGCTGAATAGGATCTTTCCTGTGTACAGCTCATAGATTGTGCATCCCGCCGACCACATATCAATCCCATAGTCATACTGAATGCCTAGAATGATTTCAGGAGCGCGATAGAATCGCGACACAAGATATGGCGTGATCTCGTTGTCCGTGATGACTGATGCCGAGCCAAAATCGCAAAGCTTGAGGATCAAATGACTCTCATTCACTAGAATGTTGTCTGGCTTTATGTCAGCATGCAGAATGCCTGTCTTTTTCAACAGCTTTAGAGAAAGCAAGAGTTGCTGCGTGTAACTCCGCACTGCCTTGATGTGCAGTCCCACATTCTTGCCGTACTTCTTCAGCACCTCTCTCAGGTTCATTGAGAGCGGCTCTAGTACCATGCAGAGATGCTGCTTGTGGAAAAAGTGCCTGAACAGACGCAGGCAGTGGAATCTATCATCCGGATCGGCATCATTGAGCTTCTTCAAGATTTCTAACTCGCGAAGGCCTGTCTTGTGCCTGAAAACATTAAATTTTCAATCAATTGAACTGATTGAGAATCCAAATTTGTATAACTTACATGATCTCATTGTTCCTGATGATCTTCACCGCCACGTTCACATTCCCTCTGGCCTGATCCCTCGCCCGAACGACGTTACTGAACACACCCTGACCAGTGTAGCTCGATACAATGTAGCGATTGTCCAAAATTTCACCAATTCTCACACGATAGTAACCCTCAGCGTCATCCCAGTTGTCCGTGAGCGCAGGATTCTCGTGAGTCTGCTTGCTGGCGACTATTGTACTGGGAGACTGCAAAGAAAAGCCCTCCATTGAGATCTCCATTTGAAAAATGCCACTTTTCTCCACACTTACATCATAGTTTGAAGCAATGTCTTGCTCAGCAAACATGTCCCATTCTCCCCTTTTGGCATTATTCTCCTTCACTGGACGAACCTCCTTTACTGGCTGCTTTTTCTCCTGCATCATCGCCTGCAAATCCTTCCTCGAGGCCGGAATCGGTGGCGTTAGAGAGTCTTCAATTGCCTTCTCGGGGCTTTTGTCCTTCTTCGGTGTTTGTGGAGGAGTCTTGATTTTTGGTGTCGTCGTCTCTGAAATGTGGCACACTGATGGCTCTCGAGAAGTCATCGCCGGATTGCTGTCTTCACTTCCTGCTCCCAATTTCTGCAAAAGAAATATCTTACTCAAAATATTCTACAAAAGTCTACACCAGAACTCACCTTAAGCAATTCCTCACGACGCTTCCTCCTCTGCTCGATGATCTTCTCTTCATCCTCCTCATCTTTGATGTCAATATCCCCCATTTCACTCTCGCTACTGGAATCCTTACGATTCTTGGGATGCACTTGACCCTCACTGAGTGAATCCTTGTACTTATCCTTCACCTCCTCCTTCTCGCGACGATCTCTGAATTTCTCCCTGCCACCCGGACGCATCCTGAACTTCTCTGGACTTCTGTCCATGCGCCTGTCGGGACTCCTGCCGCGTCTGGCCATGAAGGATCGATCGCGCTGGCGATTCCTCTCCATCTCCTGCCTCTCGTGCCGCTTCATGCGCTCCCGCTCCCGGAAATTGCGCTCCCTGTCACGCTCCAGCTCTCGCCTAAGGTCTTCCTTCTGGCGATTCTCTATCTCACGCCGGCCGCGACTTTTTTCAACCTCCTGACGCCTCCTATCGGGCTTCTCATCGCGCCCACGACGATCAATGATTTTCCGATTGTGGCTTTGCGACCGACTGCGATGCCTTTTGGCAGCGTCGACCTTCGTGATCGCTTCACCACTGGAATCGTCCAATAAAATGACATCTGATTCTGTTTTCCCTTTACCATCTTTCTCACCACTTTTTCCCTTACTATGTCCATCGTCAACCTCGGAGTCACTTAAATAGGCGCCGAGACGCGCCTGCAGTAGCGCCTTCTGCTTCATCAACTCCTCCAAGTTGAGATCATCTTCGATCACCGCCACGTCCGGACTGGCGACATCTTCCACGAGACTGAAAAATACCACAAACACACATTAGCAGTTATCAGTGAAATCGCTCAAGGACTCTCCAACTCACCCCTCAGTGTCATCAGACTCCGATGAGACAATCTCCAGGGCTGGTCCTGATGTTGGATCCAAGCTCTTCGTGATAATCTCCACCAGTTTCGTTGGGTCCGTTGGGATCTTGCCGCTCTTCTTGCCCTTCCCCACAGAGTGCCCATTGGAGGCCTCCACCAGGGGTTTCTTGGGCACTGGCTCATCATCCAGCACAACAATAGGAACAACTTCCTGTTCAGCTTCCTCCTCCTTTCGACGCTTTTTGTGCTTATGCTTCTTTCCCTTGTCAATCCGATCGCTCTTCCCGGATTTTTTATGCTTTTTCTTCTTGTCCTTCTTGTGCCTCTTCTTCTTCTCCTCCGGAGAAGACACATCCGTCGAGTTCATCCTGAAAAGCCTAGAAAAATTCATTTTTAGACGACACTATTCCACCCACTTTTCGAGGTTAAGTTGTCAAACGTTTAACTTTTTTCTCCAATTTCACCCACCTAATCCGCTTTCTCGGAAATCACTCGCAATAAGAAACACAATTAACACCTACGCCAGGTAAGTACGAGCAAAAAATCCTATGAAATTCACTACAAATTGCACTAAAACGGAGTTTTTTCTCCCCAGCTGTCCGTCGTGGAATTTTTTGTTTGGATGACTGTCAATTTACCCCTTTTTCCCACCAGAGGGACAATTCTGTTATAAAAGGAGATTAATTTTTACGAAAATCCAGAGGAAAATCCTCGATTTATTTCTCAGAGTACAGGGAAAATCCGGAAGAAATGTCGTAGAAATGATGATTTAGTGCTGTGGCTTCTGATTTACGACGCTGATGAGGAATCAGGCATATCTCCACCAGGCACCAGCTGCAAAAGGCAATTCCGCTGAGAAACATTCACAGATTATTACTATTATTTGCGAATATACCATCGTAATGTTATTCCCATTGAGTAGAATCTGATCCAATTTAGTTATTCTTCGTCCTTCCGGCGTGTTTTCATATTCAGTCACGTCTTCAAGCAACATATTGACGAAGTCATCAAAACCAAGCAGAGTTCCCACCATTTCTTTATCATTCTTCATAATTATATGAATCCGGGAACCAATGCACTTGTCCACAAGTTCTGAAAGAGATTAAAGCGATAATTGGAATGTATTTGTGGGTAAATTTCCGTCGAAGATCAAACGTTCTGGGAACGTGTTTACAAAATTTTACCAAGCGGCAGGAGCGTGGATTGATTCACAGGAGTGGATTGCGTCATTTCTCACTTTAAATTTTATTCTCTTTAACTTATAGATATTACAAATATCTCACTATCAGTAAGACTAATTTTTGCGGAGAAATTGAATAAAATACCCGGAAAATGCTCTTGCCAAACTGTTATACCAATGAAAACAACCCGAAGAGCGGCGAAGAGCTCACGAAGCGATTACCTCAGATTATCCACATGCCGACCACTGGAGCGGATAACACAAGAGGTCGCTAGGTGTAATTGAAGTCAAAATGGCTGCCCAACGAGTCTCGGCAGACCATTATTGTGTGAAAAGTGTCTAAAAATTGCCAATAAAGTGCTCTTGAATTGCAGAAAACTGTGTAAAAATGTCCTCGTGTGGTGTATAAATTAATGTACATTGCATTTACTGTGGAGTACTCTGGATTTTGCCGTGAATTTTGTGATTTTCTCTCGTGTCTGACAAGCAGCCAGGATGCACTTGTGAATGGTAAACTGACGCAGATATTTTTTCATTGAACAATAACACCCTTCATGAGATGTTTGCATTGTCCGGGAGCGTTCCTTGTGCTTCGCAACAGACTTGTGGGTGGAGTATGTGATATTATGGGGTTGTTCTGATGAAATTATGGGTGTAGGAGTGTTCAGAAAATCCGGGTGGTTTTCTTGCGATGAGCTCCATGGGGGCCCTCAAATTGTCTCCCGGACTGTTTATCAACTCTCCTCGGTCCTCTGTGGCTTGTCTGGGTGACTTTATGGTAAACAGGTTGGCGGGGGATGACAAGGAAGTGGTCTATTGGGCAAAAATCAATCGACGCGCGAACAAAGCATTTCCACCATTTTCCTCCCGTGCCTCCGGACCAATTAATTTGTTGACTCTCCGTCTCCGCAGCCGTGATGGGCTCCCCAGCGCTGTGGCTCGCTTATTTGTTCAATTGCCTCACAAATCGCTTAATTCAATTAATCATTCCTCGCGTAATTAGCACTTTTTTCATCCGCGCACTGCCTTCAGAATTTCCCAGAAAGCCAGGCATTTCATCTCAATTTACGGGTATTTTCCATTGCAAGACGCCTTTTCCCTTTGCGTCCGAGTTTATTGGTCTCGAGAGAAAATTCGGGGACGTGCACTTGAAAACTGTGGAGTGGGTGAGGAGGACACACTTGGCTGCAATCTCCCCGATATCACAAAAAGAAGGCATTTCCCTAAAGATCAGGGGTGAAATTGTTTGTCGCAGCGACAAGACAATTTTGTAGTAGTTTGCCAAATATTCGTCAATGCGACTAATTTGTCAATTTTTTTCCTATCGCTCTTCTGAGTCTGGCAATCGTCCAACCAAGCGAATGGTAATTAGAGATAATTCTGCTTCAGAGGGGAGGAATAAATTGATTTCGACGATGAGAAATTGATAGTAAAAGCTGAATTTATAGCGAAACGTACAAGTAAAAGTCGATAAAGACGGTGCCAGAAGTACAATTTACAATTATTGATTAGCACGCCAAACCGAATGATATTCTTCTTGTCAAGTGTGCTTTTGGCAAGAAAAAGGCAAGGAAAAGTATGTCAAAAATCTCAGTTCACAAGTGGATTCTCCATTCTGTAAGGAAAGCGCGTGTATTATCGCATATTTCAGCGACATAAAAGGTGTGTGTTGGAAGTACCTTGTCGCGATAACGCCGATTAACTTTGCTTTCTGCAGAAATGGCAAAAAAGTGAGATTCCATGTGGAAGAAAGGGCGATAAAGAAGTCAAATAATCGGACTTGCTAAGTCTTCTCGACTCCCTTTTTGAATGTACAAAGAGCTTAAATTAAAAGACTTGTGGCAGAGTAATTAGTCAGCCATCTGAAATGATTTTATTAAGGTTTGCAATACAGATAGAAGGCAATCAATTTACATCGTCGTATTAAACCAAATTTTCCACATGTCGAAGTTGGCTTGGAGATGTAATAATTCCCTTGACAGCACTTAATTTTCTTTTATTTCTCCCGCGCTACTAAAGGGAAAATGGGGCGAGAAAATTGACCTAATTTTTTCTCTTGTGAATTAATTTTGGCCTCCCGATTTTACCTTCTACCAAAAGGTTGTTCTGAAAAGGACGCAAAATGTCACATCCTTTGGCGCGCGCTAGCCGAAGGAGTCTTCAAAACATGGGAGTGGAAACTTGTCAATTATTGATTGATTAATGCCGTGAATGTTTCCCGCATGCCTTTGGCGAGAATGTGGCCAAAAATAGAATTGAGATTCAATGACACTGTGAATGGATTTTCTCATGGGGCGCCCAAGAGGCTTGAAAATTGAAATTTTATCGCGAAATGTGTTGAAAATTGACACGGCCTCTCTCATCTTTCTATACCTACACTCGGACAGACGGAGGTCTTCTGGAACGTGTTGGTGGTTAGAATAGAGAAGAGAGGGAGAAAGAGAGAGAGAGAGATTTCTCGGTGAAATCCATTAGGCGAGAGATTTGTGAAGTTTGCTTCTCCTTCTTGAATTTCTTTAACTCTTATTGTGGGTTAAACCACGACAAATTGATTTGTCAAGAAACATATATTTTTCCAATTTCCTCCAATATTTCATTTCTCTCTTTCTTCTTGTTTGATGAAAAATTTATTCATAAATTTCTGTGGTGTTGAACAGAGTGTTGAATTTCATCACCACAGAAATGTTGTGCTGTGGCTGTGAGAGAGTGAGAAAAGAGAGGAAAATGAAAATTCCAAGACATATTCTTTGTGTTTACTCAACAAATTGTCACTCTATATTTAATGAATGATTTTACACAATAATATAATAAAACAGTGGAAAGAGGAAATGTTAGAGAGTATATTTTTCAAAATCATTTCACGGATCTTCTGTGGATATCCTTTGCTGTATGCAGTGTCAATGAACATCACTCCCCAATTAGCACATGGAAGTTTAATCCCTTTTCTCTGTGGTTTTTATTTGACTTTGGCATTCACATATGCGTTTTGTGTGTGGCATTTTGCCGTTTCAACTTACCACGAGCAGCAATCGTCCAATATGTTGCCCAGTAGTGATGAAGAGCCGGAGGTGAAGTGAATTGTATTCCATCTACCTGTTATTAATTTCACCTCGGCGCGACTCAACAATAATAATAATTTGTACAGAATGAGAAGAGACGAGGAGGCATGCTTGAATGCAAGAGAAAAAAAAGAGAAGCAAGAAGAAAAAGAAGCGTATATGAAATGGTTGGAAGAAGGATGAAAGGCGCTTTAACACTTCTCTGATCTCTGATTTCACGCCCAGAGCGTGTGTCCTCAAAAACACTGCATTTGAGGATGAACGCTGAGTTCTGAAGACCTCCTGTCGTGTGTCTTTTCGAAGATGAAGAGACACAAGATCGCGCGGTGAAGCGACAGATGACGATATTTCGATTAGGTTTGCGGTGTTTAAAACCACACAAACACAACTAGTTTATGGTAAATTTATGCGAGAGCATGAAAAAAGTATTGTACGATGGGTAGAGAGAAGAATGGCAAATGATTCGCCTCCAGCATATACAATTTCCACAAGCCTTTCTCCATCTCTTTCCACAGCGAAATACTTGGATTGTTATTAGCATTCTGCCTCGGGCAAGATGGTCAGTGGTCTAGTAAGTAAAAGAGGAAAGGAATTATCAATGAAGAGTGCCCTTTTCCCAAAGATGCAAATCTTGATTTTTTGGTGGCTTCGATTGGTTTCCTGCGAAAAGTGCTTAAACAAAAAATCCAAAGCTAAAATGACTTTAAAAGATTCAGTCCTCCAGAAGAGCGAAGGCGACAAGAAATGATTATATGACTACGTCATGCTTCCAGATGACAACCAAATTGAATAAAAATGTCAATATTAGTCAATTACTGACTTAAAATGTGTGAATATCTTAATTAATTGAAGCTTCTTCTATATTGAGCCAAAATCAACATAAAGCCAAATGTTGAAGAGACCCGAAATGAAGGAAATTGAGTGTAAAAATAATATGAGAAGAAAGTTTTATTTCACTATATATATACATTCGTAGCATCGTAAAAATGCACGTTGCCCATATATTCTTGCCCTGAAGTGAGACATTTTGGTCGATTTCTTTCTCCTTTCCTCGCATTTACGGTGGTTTCACAGTAAAAATCTTATTAAACTATTTGACATATTTGTCGACAAAGAGTTCGTTTCTCATAAATCTTCATTTTTAGAGGCGTTCACTTTGCCCTGAGAAAGAGTGACTGTGTGTGCGAGCGTGTGTTTGTTGTGTGGAAGAAAGAGAAGAGAAAGAAGGTGGCGTTCTTAAGAAGTGAGGATAACTTTAAATATTCAATAAGCTACTGGTATTAACACTGACTAAAGACACTGTTTAGATGAGAGAGAGGGAGAGAGAGTCCCTTGTGAGAAGATGAGGTGGAATGTGGAAGGAGAGATAGTCAGTCCGGTGGTTATCAGAAAAGTCACCGCTTTTTAATGCTTTGCAGCACTGGTAATCGGTTAAATATACAACTGATAAAATTTTATTGATTTTCTTGGGTGGCCTTTTTGCACACACCATCATTGGAGGGAATTACTTGAAAATGATTGCCAATAAAAAGTTGAGTCAATTGATTTGTGGTGTGTCGATGATCAATAAAATATACAACCCCACAGTGTGTTGAATTCACATGAAATTATCATCTTTTTCTTTTGTGAAAATGAATTTTAAATTTGAATGGGCACATTATGTAGAGTGTGAAATGTGTAATTTACCCTCAACACACCCATTTAATCATGAAGGATTTGACATTATGCAAAAAAAAATCCACCCCTGAGTGAAATGTTAGACGAAAGTGAGAGAGAGAAAGTTTCTCTTTAAACTGCCCTCAGCGGGAAGTTTAATGGGATAAAAGTGTCGTTAATTAGGAGTGTGTTAATCAAACATAATTATTTTACACTCTGAAAGTGGAGAATGAGAGAATGTGTAATATTTTGATAATGCTTCTTAGTGTAATTTTTGCCTGTTTTTCCACCACACCAAAGTCAAGAGTGTGAGGATTAAGGGCGTCTAATACACAGTGCGAGAGTATTTAAATGTCATTCACTCTCCCCTCGGTTTTTTGGGGATGACGGCAACAGTTCGGTGGAGGTCTTTTTTTACTTCTTCCTGCCTCTTCTACACCTCTCAGGGGGTTTGCAAATGGGTGTGATGCGGTGGCTTCCGTCGGTGCGCACGCGTCCTCAAACAACCCCAGTAATGGTGCTTCTCTGCGATGAGGTGAGGGTGACGGGGTGGCAATTGCCAGATTGCCAAGGGAGGACGAGAGTTGCCTGAGGACGAGGGGAGAAAATTGTATAGAGATGCTGGAGTTATTCATCAAAGTAACGAGCGACTAATAAAGCTCTCTATGTCATTTAACAGTCCGACCAACATTCTCTGTGTCCGAACGCAAGGAAAAAGTGACCAAAATATTATATTGCAGGAATGTTTCATGGAGATAATGGGCCAATAAGGGTGACAATAGAGTGATTTTGATGTGATAGGAGTGCCGGAAGAAAATTTGATTTAATCAGAAGTGTTGTTCGTCCTCTCGATTGATTTTTTCCCGCCATTACAAAGAGCACACCAATTTTCCAGCATAGTCCATGAGTACAATTAATTCTCTAAAATAATGATACACTTTAGCTTCACTAAATATGGGCTCTAACTCAAGGAGCACGAAGGCACTATAAAATTATTAACATTTGCAATTAATTGATCATAAACACGCAATTCACTTCTTTCTGGCACTCATCATTTTCTCTTGCTGAAAAAGTCCAGAGACGAACTTTAGCGTCTGTCTCTCTACTTATTTTCCAAAAGTAAAGTGAAAATTAAACTTCTATTGTTTATAAAGTTAATCACTTGTGTAAACACTGCAATTTTTGCGACCCAAGAGTACATTTTCATGTTTCTCTTGTTCACTCACATTCGTTCACCGTGGAAACAATCATAGAAACAATCAGTGAAAATATAGCAGATAGTTTTTCCTGTATACATATGTGTGTGTGTGTGTGGAAGAGAGAGAAGAAATGCGGTTGTTTGCTTTTAGAAGGCATCATTTATTTATACGGTGAGAGATTTTTAAGCCATAAAGTCTTTTCTTTCTACTTCCTTTGCAATATCATCTGAAGCGCGGACATGCGGTGAAAAAAGAGCAGAAGAAAATGCACATTTACGCTTAGTCGCACTATAATTTTCCGGTTAGGGAATTTCTATCTATGTATTTTGGGTGTGATTGTTGGGCTACTGCTAAGCTCAGTTGGGTGAATTTTGTTACATTGTAATAGCAATTTCAAAGTCAATATTTGATATCAAACGCTTGAGATATAGTCATGTTATCTGCTTAATTAATACGACCTATTCGATAATTTGGGGTCACATGACCTTCTCAGGCTCGGTTTTCTAGGCATTCCTTATACATACAAGGATCTAGGGTGTGATGTTTAAAAAATAGTTCTTTCTAAGTACGCTGTTGAGAGTGAGAAAAAAGTTGGATGAAGTGAAATGTTGCATAATGTTAATATTTTGGATGAAGTCTTTAGCGTCATACATATGTGTATTAGTGTGCAAAAATCACAGCGGGTGATTGCTGAGTGAACAGCAAAGTGTTAATCTCTCTCTCTCTCTCTACATTTGCAGAACTCATCCATCCGAGCCAACCGTCGACTTTACAGTGACCGTGACGACGCCATCGACGTCACGACGAGCCTACACTTCGTAACAGCTTGGACGGCATGGCGGCCTCCACTCAGGGCGAAATAAGAGTGGGTCCTGGCCACCAGGTAAACGATATCTATGTACGTAATTCATCCAAAATCACGGTAACAAATTCAAAATTTTTCCAAATTTATCATTTATTTAATACCCTTTATTCTGTTTCCCCACCTTTTGATTCTTTGTTCCCTTTGATTTGGTTCTCTATTTCCCCCCAATATTCTGATACTTTATGTTTTTGGTGAGTTTATTACCAAATTTTGTGAAGTCGTTGACGATAAAAAAAAAGAAGAAATAGAATTGTGTTGGACGATCAAAGAAGAGGGGCGCACTTTTTCGAAAGTAGTTTCAACTACAAGATATACTTTTGAGTGTTGTATTGCATTATTATTTACCTCTCGTCTTGATTTATTTTCGTGTGCCTCTCGTTAAAGTCTGACCAAAGAGGAGAGATTGGATTCTTTTTGAGAGTGTTTTTTTTCTGTACATACTTTGAGGCATAATTTTTATTGGGAAGTTTGCTAGTTGCATATTATGATATTCTGTAAATATTTCTCAACATATGGTATGTGTTTAATTTTCCTTTATCAACTGTGTAAATCGTAGAAGAGAGCGAGAGAGAGAGTATTAAATATTTAATGATTGCGATATTGGATCATTTTGGTGGCAGAGTGGATAAAGGTAAACTGTGATTGATTGGTTTGCGCTTTATTACTTCTCACCTCTTTTGCTGTAAATGGCCACACAAAAGGAACTCCTACGCTGTGTAGATTATATCGATAGGAAAAGAGGATTAATAGATTAATTATATTGTGCGGTATTTTCTGTAAATTAAACCATTAAACTGCCCTTTTATTCCACACAGTGGTTCGCATTGGGAAAACCATGTAATTCACTCAATTTTGCAAATTTGGAAGTTGATGATTTTCCAATGGTTGTGCCCACACAATCAATGGTCTCTGAATGTGGGCGCTTTGGAAAGGGGTTGAATTTAAATTGAATTATCGAGTTTATGTCACACGAGCTGATTGAGATTGAAACTGCAAAATTAACTGTTCAATTTCATTTAAATTCCATTGATTGATTCAAGTGTTGAACCTACGAGCGAGGATGAGGGAGGCTGAGAGCGAAGACTCATATGAAATTATAATGATTCTAATCGAATATTTTGTAGATTCTGGACTGATTAGTATGCCGGCAAGGCAATGTTGCATTTTATTCGATGTTAGGGTAGATCAATAAGCGCGTTCTCCGTTCTGGCAAATGTTGATTAATTTACCTAACTCACAGAGGGTGGCTGATGGCAAATGACGATGGGAATACTGATAAGGGTTTGGCATGGGAGGTTTTCAACCATTATTTAGCATGAAATCACTAGTGCCACATTATAAGTGTGCAAATCTGTGTGTAAAATAAACAAAAGGAGGAAGAGAACTGTATATAGCTCTAATTCATGAATTCTCTATTGCGCTTAACAGAGCAATTTTCACTTTATACACACACAATGTCAGACTTGACTAGGTTTGGGCTGAATGTTTGACGTTGAGGGTGAATAACATCCCTTAAATCGATGAGAAAATTGGACGTGAGGAAGGGACAAGTTGCAGGCACAGAATCAGTCACTTCATTTGACCACTGCACTGTGCACAGCCCAGTTGAAATTGAATACGTTTCAGATTGTTATCTGTAAATTGAGAGGGAATGAAAAATTGTGGGCGATTTCTTATTTTAACATTAAAGAAACCTCAGAACGAAATGAAGGCTAAAAGTACCTACCTAAAGTTTGTATGGGAGAAAATAGTGACCGCATTTAGTGTTGCTATAGTATATTTTTACTTGAAGTTAGCTGGATTTTTGGTTCATAACATATTCCGTCGGGTGATTCTTGTGAATATTGCAGTATGGATAGATGAAAGCATTGACAACTGGGTAGGTGATTTTCGAACAAACTCTTCCTCTCTGTCTATCTTTCTGATCAGGGTGGAAAAATCGACCCCTATATTGGATTTGTGGTTATATCTGAGCACCGAGGTGCAAGCGAGAAGGACTGAGAGTTGAGGGAACAAAGGAGGAAAAATCCCTTGATAAATTATACATACAAATAGTGGATGCTTTTCTTCAGCACTTCAATCGTTAACCCGGCACAAATTTGTTCACCCCGAAGCGATTTAGTCTCTGACGAGGGGTGAAAACATTCATAGAGAGATGATCTGACTATATATCTATTGGGGTAATGCATTTCACATCCTTCTCTTGGCTGAATAAGTGAAAAATCACGTAGAGAGATTCTCTGCACCACGAGTTGTGGGAATTTTAACATGCAATTTACTTCCCTCGAATGTGTGATCATAAAAATGAAATTGGTTATTATGACGGGACGAGAAAATGTCTCTAGGAATTCGGTGGGCAATTTAAATGTGGGCCATGTTGTAAAATGGCAAGAGTAACTTTTGTAACAAGATTATCTCACCTGAAATCCAGTTAAGCGATTTAGGGAGGGTCTGAAAGATGGTAAAATGAGGAAATTTTTGGGTATATTTTTACCTGAAAATTTGAGAAATGCAGACGATTTACCAGTCGAAACTGGTGTGTGTCGAATTAATTTAGAGGAGCACAGTTTGAATGTTTGCTATCTAATCATGCGAACAGGGAGATTTCCTACAAGTGCTTTTGATATAGAGAAGACTCCCGAAAATGCCATGTTGGGCCACAGATTAAATTTGACGTCTTATCTGTAATTAAAATGTGATTTTCGCATGGTGTGGCAGTCAATGAAGACGCTCCTCGAGATATATAAGAAAGGGGGGAGAAGCTTAGGGAATGGATTTGGCTAAATACATAGATATGGGGATATTAACATAAATCCAATAAGTGTATGGTATTAAATGGATAATAAGTGATTACTTGTTGACAAATGCTGTTCTGCAATGAAAATGTGCGTATAAAAATTGTCTCGAGGGTGAGGAAATAATACTGGGTGTATTCATTAAGTTTTAACATGCATACCCACAATGATATGATGATCTTTTTATAGGGATTGCCTGGGAAATATATAAAATTTATGTGATGCGAATGTTGTATGCTGTTTTTCGATGGGTGTATATCAAAAATACATTATTTCCATCCACCATTTTTGTCGCATGATGGAAATATTGTCCAAAAATATTTCACACAAGCTTAACATTGCTATAAAATGGTCTCGTGGAATGTATACTTCTGTGGTTTTGCTGTTATTTGTGCCAAAAGAGTATCAAAAATTTATGTGCAGTCCGAAATAATAGCAATGGAATTAGGCATATTCTTTTTTTTTATACGTGTCGGAAAACTGAATTATGGATATTCTAAGAGTAAAGAAAATGAGTACAAAATTATTTCATAAAGGACAAATCGTTTCCACTCCACCATCGGAAAGATTAATCTTTTTTTTTCATATCCAATATCGCAATTATTTCCACACATTTTTTAATTGTGAAATCATAAAACGACGAGAACAATTTTATCAATATTTTGAAATGCTTTTGTTATGTGTGTAAAATCCTCTTGTCAATGGACTATTTTTCTCTGAATTATTATCTGTATTTTCCTTAAGAAGTCTTTATTTTAATTTGAAGAAAAAAAATGACCCCTTGTTACCATCATCACTTGCTAATCACAAAGACACTCATCTCATTATCATCATCATTAGAATATTATTGTGTGTAGATTAGCTTTGCTGATTACTTTGGTTCACGAAATAACTCTTTGTGAATTGGGCGAATGTGTTTGTTGGTCTTCTTTTTTTGGCCTTTAATTGCGTAAGTCGCCTTTTTGCGTTCTAAACAATAGATTTACTTATTGTTTTTTTTTGTTCAATATCAATTTCATTAAGAAGTGTTTTTTACTTAAATCCCCAATATCGATATCTTTGAGATGAATGCGGGAGATTTATGGGCGCGCTGACGGAAGCATTTTAGTAAAGGAGAAAAAATACAGCAGCCGCTCGAGAAACTCTTATGGAAAAGAGCTCTCCTAAGCAATTTGTACAAAGCAACAATGTAGTTCTATGTTATTGTCTTCTTTTTTCATCATAGAAACAATAAACAAAGTATAAAATGCGATATATTTGATTTTTTCCTCCTCCTGTGAACGTCACTTACTTTCTGCTGCTGCGATAGTCAAAGTTGTAACTTAAATTTTTCCAAACTAAATTGTGTAAATAACTCAGAAGAGAGTAAATGTACTTCATCTGTAAAGATGTTAAAGAAGAAAAATGAATGAAATATTTGGGCATGAAGAGAAATTTCACACACAATGAATTGATATTTTTGAAGAAGAGTTTATTCATTCTGAGAGTGTGTAAATATTTTATGAGACAACAGAGAGAATTTTAACAAGTTTAACTAAGAGTCATTTTATAAATATCTTCAAGCATTGATTGAGTAATTTTTCACCTTAACAGCTCTCTTCTCTTTCATCTTTTCCTGGGAATTATTTTTCAACAAAACTGTTGTGAAGAATCACGGCAAAGAAAAGGAGGAAAACACATTTAAGTTGGATGAAAAGTTTTCAAAGAAGAACAATTACATTTGCCTGTTGTTTGCCTAATTTAAGTTACTCCTTTCTTTTCTGAGTGGATTTTAATTGTAGTTTTATCAAATAGAGTTTTTCGTAGGGTAATTTTTACATATGATAAAGAAAAGTTAGGGTGAACATTAAACTTAATTACTGCATTATTTTGATGAGAAAAGAGTTATTAAGTGTGCCAAGAATTTAGCACTGAAAGGTAGCGTGAATGTTTGCGCGTGTGAGTGTGTGAGAGAGAAATTGAATGTTGAACAAATTAATCTAACGCGGTATGAGTATCTTTTTTCCTCACGCTATGATTGGGGATATTCTTAAAGGCCAAGTTACCAGATTATCAGCCAATTTCGAAGTACCAAATCGACAAGGACTCTGACCGTGACCTGGAAGATCCCCGATGGAGTCCGGGAGTTGTTTTGGATGGTGATTTGATGATGTACTTACGTGCAGCTCGATCAATGGCCGCGTTTCAAGGTAAATGCATTCACTGTCTTGACATCTCTTTTTCTTCCAACGCGATTGTATGCTAGGACAGAAGCTAATTGGGATAGATATGACGATAGGTATGTGCGATGGAGGCTCACCCGAGGATGGATGTTTAGCTGCTAGCAGGGACGATACAACAATAAACGCATTGGACGTTGTGAGTATTCTCTATTATTATTTTGTATGTTTCTGGTTCAAGTTCGCATCTCCAGTGCTTGCAGTGCTGTTATTATTCAAGTGATTTTAAAGTAATGAGATTCAGAGAGAGAAAAAATTTAATTTGCAATTATGTTTTGAATAAATATTCAAATCTGCATCTTGCTTAAATTGACAAAGATGAATAGAAACCTCTCTCTTTCTTTTTCCAACAGTTACACGATTCAGGTTATGATCCTGGAAAAGCTCTTCAGACATTAGTAAAGTGTCCCGTACCAAAGGGTATCGATAAAAAGTGGACTGAGGACGAAACGAAGCGTTTTATAAAGGGACTTCGTCAATTTGGCAAGAACTTCTTTCGCATTCACAAGGATCTTTTGCCGCACAAGCAGACGCCAGAACTTGTTGAATTTTACTACTTGTGGAAGAAGACACCGGGGGCGAATAATAATCGCCCGCATCGACGACGCCGTCAAGGCTCATTGAGACGTATACGAAATACAAGGGCGACCAATTCAACGCCAAGCACGAAGAAGGAGGAGACACCAGAACCGGCATCGGTGAGTACTAGAGATTGTATTTTCGGTGCTGGATGAAACGAATTTTGAGGTATGTTTTAATGACTGACACAATCACCTTTGCTTCGATCTTGCAATCTGCAGGAACAGAGACCATCGCCTGTTTCCAAGGAGGAGAACAGTTCATTGACTGAGGACGACGCTAGTGAGTGTGATAGCGACTCGAGTGCTACGAATAAGAGATCAACTCCAGCTGGAAGTGACTTTCTCGGTGACGAATCACCATCGAGGATGCGAACGAGGAACAAGCAGTCGTCCAAAGATCAGCCGAGCAGTAAGAGGCCGAAGCGTGGCACTGACACGCCGGACGCAACAGCTGAGAGTCCGAGAACACCAAATAAAGCTGACAAGAAGAAGAGCAAAACTGAGACACCGAACAAGGGGCGGAAGAGGCAGAATGACGCTAGTGACGAGAGTGATGAGAAGGACAAGAGGAAGCGTTCTGATACACCGTCAGAGAGTGGAAATTCAGACAGTCGTCCAGAGTCTGTTCTCGACGAAGTGGAGAATCCAACGGAGTCTCCGGAAGCGTTGTCTGGCTCTGGGAGTGTGTCCAAGGAGGCGGAGGAGAAGGCTCTTGATCCGCTGTCGGTTCAAGCGCCCGTGGAGAGCAGTTTGAGCAGTGGGTCGAATGCGAAGGAGGCGGAAGAGGAGTTGATAGTTCTGAGTAAGCCTGAAGAGCCTGTGGCGCTGGTGACGGAAGTGAGCGATGCAAAGACGCCATCTCCGGAGGAGGATTCGAAGAGTGTAGAGAAGAAAGTGGATGAGGATTCATCGTCCTCGTCATCGACGAAGGAGTGTCCACAGGAGATGCTCTCTAAGATTGCCAATATGAAGCAAGAGGTGAATCCGATTCCTGCTCCGAGTGACTTCAGTCAACCGCCGTCTCAGCCACAGCAGGCATCTCAGAAGGATGTGGTGTTCATTAAGCGTGAACCTGGCGAAGATTCACTGGAGGAGAGCAGCACATCGAATAGCAATCCTGAGGTGCAGGATGTTAAGTGCAAGGTGGAGATAAAGACTGAAGGAAAGGTGCAAAGTGAAGATGTGGCATCGGAGGCGAAGTATGATCCGGAAATGAAGCCTACCTATGAGGCAACGGTGAAGTATCCGCCATCAGATATGAAATTCCCAGGATCAGAGGAGCCAATGAAGTATGGTGATCCACTGAAGTACAGTGCAGACATTATAATGAAGTATCCAACGGACATGAGTGGAAAGTATCAGGCGCCCATTGATGCCACGAAGTACGGGAGTGGCCAGGAGGCGCCGATTAAGTATGAGATGAAGCCGTACATTGATCAGCCGCAGAATCTCAAGTATCCTGAGGGGGCACTCAAGCCGTATCCTGAAAGTGCGCTAAAAATGCCACCGAGTGGTCAGCCGGTGCCGCAGGATTCTGTGCATATGCTGAAAGGTGCTTATCCAGCGCCGGATTTGAAGGGATACCCACCAAATATCAAGTACACTCCGCCTCCAGCGGATGCAATGAAGTACGGTGGGAATGAACCGGTGAGTCCGGTGATGGGTAAGTCTCACTTTGGTGAGCCTGGACCGACGCCGCCACACGGAATTCCCCGATCACCCTATGATACACCACCCATGGTGAAGTTTGGTGATCCGATGATGAAGTACCATGGAATGGGCGTGCCCACAACCCAGGGACACAATCCGGAGGCGCAACAGCATGGCATGAAGTATCCTCCTGAGGGTGGGAGCATGATAAAGAGTCAATTTTCGGCAGATAATCTCATAAAGGGCGCCTATGATTCGCCGGGAATGAAGTATCCACCATCTGAAAGTCCTCTGGATGCATCTTCACGATCCACACCCAACCAGGACAGCCAGAGTAGCAATAGTAATTCTCAGCCACAACCTCTGCATCTTCATGGGAGTATCTCATCTCCTGTTCCACTCACATCTGCTCATTTGACACCGCAACAACCGACACCACTGATTGTCAGTCATCCGGGACTGTTGCCTCCTCTACCAGCGAATCATCCTTCCTTAATGAGCGCCTCAGCTTCTCCGTCGACGGTGCCACCGCCACCGACAATGCATCAGCCCCTGGCCATGCCACCGATCAGTGTTCCCTCATCCCTGAGTCAGGGTAGTTTGAAATTGCCACCTAATCCACTTCTGCCACCAACTGGACAGCAACATCCACTCCATAGGCCACATGAAGCACCACATCCGTCATCTGGACAGACAACTTCACCACATTCCCACCACCAGTCGGCCTCGTCGGCTCAGCGCAGGAGTCCTTCGCCCACGGCCGTGAGTGTGAGGAGTGACAGTGCGAGTAGTGTGGCTAGGGAGAGTGGACACTCAGCGCGGGCATCGCCGCCGCCACCAATTGCTGCAATGATTCCCAACAGTGCAATGGTGGGGCATCCTTTGCCACTCCATCTGGGCCATCATCCGTTGCCACCTCATCACCCAGCTCACCTCGGTGGGCCACTGGGTCACAATCCTCTGCTTCCACCCTCAATGCCTCTGCCGCTCTTGGGCGGACCACTGGCTGATCCTGGCCGACGCACGCCAATCTCATCTGCGAGTAGTCTTCACATGGGATCACTTCATAGCACGACGTCCCAATCACCTCACACTCCCAGCACATCTGCCCTGACGCCCAGCAGTTCATTCAACCGTGCCAGTCCGAGCACAGCTCCTCCTCCGGTGTCCCAATCATCTGGCCCTGGTGGGGTAGGAAGTGGACCACCGTCGCACCGACCGGGATCTCCGCTCCCCCTGACAGCGGGTCTGAGTCGCACGAGTCCATTGCATCTGGTGCCGCAGAGTCCAATTGCTGGCCACCACCCATCAGCAGCAGCTGCCCTGGCGGAGCGTGATCGCCATGCAATGCGCCAGCAATCACCACACATGACACCGCCACCAACGACCGCGGCTGCTGCCGCCTCATCTTTCATGCCCAGTCCACTCAGCAAGATGTACGGACCACCAGGAGCTGGTCAGCGCCATCTGGGCGCATCCCCACCGCCTCCATCGCACCATTTGCGACCCGGTGCCTCGCCACCTGTGGTCAGGCATCCGCAGATGCCACTCCCGTTGCCTCTGATCGGACCACCGGCCGGCATTCCCACGCCAATGGGTGTTCATCCGGCTGCGCAAAATGCCTACCCCCATCATCTCATCCACCCATCGATGTTCTATCCGCATCACCACAGTCCGTTCAATTCCCCATATCCGTACCATCCTTATGGACCCAGTTTTTCCTACATGAAGCCACCGCCACCTGGCGGGCCTCTTGAGCCCAGTGTCATTTCTCATCATCAGAGTGTGACTTCCCGATGCGAGGAAACGCCCACGCACGTGGAGAAGCAAATGACCATCACGAGTTCCCAAAGTGTGCAGCACAAGATCAAGAGTCAGCCACCGAAGACACCACAAACGCCAAGTTCTGGCAGTGCTCCGGGCAGTGGAGGACAGTATCCAAGTCCTGTGCATGCGTATCCACCGTCGCATCCGTTCCCCGAGAGCCCTCTGTCCAGCAAAACGAGCCACATGGACGCCCTGCGGGCACACGCTCATGCGGCGAGTAACAGCTTGGGTGGGCATCATCCGGTGGAGCCAGTGCACGTGGACATTGATCCGGATCCGGAGCCAGAGATTCCGAGTCCACCGCAGCACATCAATCGCGGACCGAGTCCGGAGGCGAAGCCTGACGACACAGAGTGTCACAGATCACAGTCTGCAATGTGAGTTGTCTGAAGTGGATGTTTTGAGTGAATTTCTCATGTGTTTTCTTCCTGTGTTTACAGATTTGTCCGACGGTGCGATCGTGGAGATTACAATTCGTGCACACGAACAGATTTGGAGTTTAAACCGGTGGCAGGTTCCACGCTGGCAAGGAAGCGTGAGGAGAGAGATAGGAAATTGGCTGAGAGGGAGCGTGAGAGGCGTCAGCAGCAGCAACAACAACAACAACAGCAGCAACAGCAGCAGCAGCAACAGCAGGCTCAGGCACAGGTTAGTAAATAAATGCCAGTGTCAGATTGATATTATAAGTGTAATGTGTTTTTGCTCTTCAGCAGGCCAAACTCAAGTCTGAGATCAAACCATTCAGCGACACTCCAGCTCTCAGGCAACTCTCAGAGTATGCCAGACCGCATGTGGCATTCAGGTAATGATGATGATGTTGACTGTGAGAAAAGTAGATTTTTCCGAAGCACAGAGAGACAGAGTTTGTTGCCAGAGAGGTTTTAGTTGATTCTAAAAGGTTGTTGTGTGCAAATTTTCAGCCCTGTTGAGCCAATGGTGCCACCATATCATCCAATGGGCCCAATGTATAGTAGAGAAAGGTAGTGTTTTCAATATTTGCATTTTATTTATACAAATACTCTGTTCATCCATCATTCATTATGAAAAATTGGGGCATCACTCCTTTTATCTATGGCTATTTTGGTCTCAAAACTCTAATATGCAATCGGAGGCTGTGTTTTCTTCCTTTCTCGCCATTTAGATATATACAAATACACACACAAATGCCTTATTAGCTATATATATATTGTGTAGATTTCAATGTCTCTTATTGATATTTTACCACTTTCTGCCATCCCCTTCGCTTATAGATTAATCAACAATTTCAGAGAATTTGAAGAGTTGAAGAATCAACAGGCAGCCGCTGTTGGGCCGGCAAATCCGCATTGGATGGAATTCTATCGCATGAGGTAATGATTTCTTCTTTTAATTTGACTTTCAACCCACACAGAAAAGTGAATAAAGTTGGAGAATTCTGTGAGAAACACGATAATTATTCTGAAAATAGGATTTACAATAAGATATTCAATTTGTGGTCTTATTATTTGCAAGTGTATGTATTGAAATTATTACTAATAGAGCTCTACCGTTTTTTTTTTTTCCTTTTCATCACGGTCTTCAGAGGCATTCATCCTTCGCAGTTTCCACTGTATGGAAATCCCGCGGCAATATCGCAGCTGGAGCGCGAGAGATTGGGTAAGAGAGAGATTTGTCTTCTTTTCAATGAGAATTTGTACTCAAATGATTGAAATCCAATTCCTTTTTCACATGTCTGTCAGGTATTCCGCCGCCTCATCATGTCGGACTCGATCCCAATGATCCAATGGTAAGTTCCTCCGCATGTGACTTCCAGGCCTTGAACACGCTAAATGCCTTGCTAATGGGAATCTCTCTCTTCTGCCCGTAGATCCGCCTAACGGGCGAATATCATGCCCATTCACACACTCATTTGCACTTACATTCGCAACAACAGCAGGAAGCGGCAGGATTTCAGCTACCACGTGAGTTTGTATTCGCAGATTGCCGGACCTGTGACAATTTTGTTTTGTTTCTTTTTTAAGAAAATAATGGCAAAGGAATGCGCGCGAATCTGCTTTTATTTACTCAATACAATTTATATACATATATTTATGAGGAAATTGTGATTGCATTTGTGGCTAATGAGTGATCAATTGTGTCTCTTTGTAGCGAATGTTCCACCGTACACTCGTCCGAATGTGTTGTTGCCTAGAGAGCCTCATCCTGATGTTCTCCTTCGCATGTCTTATGCTGATCAGATTCAGGTGAGATTTAAATTGTGTGCATTACGTATGAGAGATGTTCATTTGCTCTACAAATTGCAGGCCGCTGAATTCCAACGACTCGATCGGGCTCATTCATTCCACGAACAGTACTTTCGGTGAGTTGCTGAGAGCTGTGAAGTTGAAATTACTATCTAACGCCGAGAATTAATGTCTTGCAGGCATCACGAGAGGGAAATGAAGGTTAGAGCGCTGGAGGAAGCGACGCGTGGAAAACACTGAACCTTCCACGCGCAGTTCAAGCCGCTATGGTGATAACGTCACACAAGAGTCGTCACAATATCTAACATAATGTTCTCTTATTTTGTACTATAACTTGATAAGATCACTGAGGGTGTGTGTTATCAGAGAGAGAGATAGAGAGATATTTAGACATTGTGTGAAGGGCGATATCAAAGAAAGGATCAGCAGAGAGTTTATCAGAAAATCGACGATATCTCTGAGAAGGCAGAAGAATACCATGTAATTAATTAGTATAAGTGAATGGAAAGGAGAGTAATTTAGTGCTATGTTTTGTGTTCCAAGTGATGATTATGAGGAGTATTACAAGTTCTGGAGAGTTAGAAATTATTAATCGACAAGTAATAATTACATCTAAATAGAAGGATTAGTAATTTAATTTTAAATGGAACTTGCGAGAGAGGAAAATCTTCAATTTAGTGGTATATAAAAATTAATAAGAAAAAAGCGCTTTTTAACGTTTCATGTCTGCCAATAATGTCATTTAATTATTAATAATATCAAAGTGGAAAGAGAAAGAAAAATTATCAATCTAAATTACATTTAATTATATTAAGTAACAAAAAAAAACAAGAAAAATCAATGATGAATCAAAGATTGATGGAAGAATCAAAAAAAGAAGAATAGTAAGGAATTTGACCAAAAGAAAGACAGTTTGAGAACATGAAACCTTTCCCTCAGAATTTAGTTGTATTATTTACACACTTTCACTCTTCAATATTTGTAATGGATTAATAGTAATTTTTGTGATTTTGCTTCAAATGTCCTGCTTTTTAGCACTTTGTATAGTTTCATGACGCTTTCAAAGTGTCTTTTTTCTTAAGCACAATGAAAATAGACAAAAAAATGTGTGTTTTCCGCAAGGTTAGATAATTTTTTTACATAGAAAATATAAAGTATTTTCTTAGAACAATAATGGGGATTGTAAATGAATTTTTTGTAGTATTTTTTTTCTATTTTTATCATATTTGCATGTCCCTTGAATCACAGAATGTCTCTGAAAGGGACGAAAGAATAGCCCAACTCTACAGACTTCCATTTATAAATTAATTTATCAACGAGCACATCATTTTATTTATAGCAAGAAGAGTGTGAGAAACGGAGATAAATTAAGGGGTTTTACTCGTGGGTGTTAAATAAATATAGTGATGCCCTTCTAATTGAGTGACTATATGAGTTTGATAAATATGATGGCAAGATATAATTGAGATGAAAAATTGATATTAAATGTATTTTTCTATAATTAACAAGACAAGAGAAATAGCAAATCGTGTTGCACAACAGAATCCAACTCAATATCGCCGTTGAGATGGAGTGAAATTATCATTTTGACAACAAGGATGATGAAAAAGCATGGAAAATAAACTTTGTATAGTCGATTATTACCCTCTAAAGAGAAAGGAACATAACATTAGAAATAAGAAAAAATATATAAAATATTGAGAGTTTATATAGAAATGAGATAAAGAGAAAAGAACACAATTTTTAGTAGATGTCTTCATTGAGGAAATGAGAAAATAAATACATTGTAGAAGGAGAATTTAGTGAATATTATTTGTATGTCTATAATTTATAATTTTTCGATCAATGCAAAAATGCGCGCAAAAAGGTTTCGTCATCCGGAGAAAAAGATAAAAACAACATAATTGCAAGTTATCACATGAAAAGATAGATCGCGTAAATTTATTTCCTTCTTTTTCTCGCGTGTTTATCGTCTCCAAATTGATTCCTGCAAATGACAGTGTTTATGAAGGGAGGTTTTAATCTGATAAAACGTTCAATTTGTGCTTGAACGTTGTATACTCTGTAATGATTTTTTAGATGATAGAATCTTACAAGGTGGAAAACTGAATGCAAAAATGATGAATAAAAACTATTTACTCAAAGAATTTCTCAGATTTTTTTTTACTGAAAGTGAAAATGCAATCTCTTATGTGGTCTCTTGAAATTTCTTATTAAATTTACCGCCATCCAGTAGTAAAGGTCACAAAAGCGAAAGCGGCTGCAGCGACAGTGTGACGGATAGGAAAAATAAAAGAGGATACTGCGTCGTCCTGTCATTCAATGGTGTATTCAGGAATAGCGGTAGCGACATCTATCAACATCATGCAGCGCCATCTAGTGGCCACCTATAGTGCTCAAAAGCGACGGAAGCGATCCTACTGGCACATAGAAAAAGCAAATTTCATTTCCGTGCCATCTAGTGCTCATCAGTTGAACTACAATTTAAAAACGACCAGTAATTTTTATTCCTTTTTATTTCATAGCATTTATAATGAAATCCTTATTACATTTATGCACTTATAAGCATTCTACATAATTTTGCCATTCATTTATTGAACACTTGATTACAGAAAATTTCCACCTCATTTTATATTCGCAATTCTATTTCCATTTTCGTTCTACTCATACTAAAATCATGATTACACTATATTCTATTCTATTATATTTATATATATATTTATATATATAAATTCAATATTTCTCCAGTGTTCTTTAAATTTAATCTGGACACAAAATTCTCCGTTTTGGATCGAATAGTCCCATCGAAAGGGAATTAAACTGATAAAATATCTCCTTTCCTCACTCACAGAGGAAATCTTAAGGTATACTTAGACAGTATTATATTATATTAGGTCCTATAAGAAGAGTACAACTTTCACACAATGTTTCGTCCTGAGAACCTTACTTATGCTTGCTTTTCTTCTTCTTCTTATGTGACTTGCTGGATTTCTTCTTGCTCTTCTTCATCTTCTTCGACGCATTCAATTTGTCCGTAGACTCTGTCGACGAAGAACGTTTTCGTTTCTGCTTACGATGCTTACTTGCCCGCTTTTTGCGCTTATCGCCATCAGACGAATCTGAGTCTGAACTTGAGGAGTTCGAGACACTCGCGCTCGCCTTCTTCTCACCTCTGAGTGGTTCTGGTGAGAAGGACTCCTTCCCATCGGCAACTGGCAATTCCTTCGGCTCCTTCTCCTCACCAGCGGCCCTCATTTTCGCCTCCATCTCCATCTCTTGCTCGCCAGGCTGCGGATTCTCATAGTCCGGTTCAAAAGTTGACTCATCGCAGACGAGCTTCTTCACGTCCTCATCAACTATTGGTGGCTTCTTCACCTCCTCCTTTGGAGGATTCTTCTTCACCTCAGGACTTCTCCTCTTATCGCGTGTTCTCTCGCGATTCTGCGATTGTCTCGGGCTTCGCGAGCGCTTCTTGCTTGGCGATCTTCGACGACTACGCGGAGTCGGTGAGCGCTTCCTGTCTCTGGACACCTTTTCTTGACTCCTGCGTCGACCCCGTTCTGTCTTGCGCTCTTCCTGCCGTCTCTCGCGTGACTCACTGCCCCCGGAAGGCTTCACATTGCGATTATCCCTGGCAGGACGCTCAGCCTGTCTGGATCGCACGCCACGATCTCGCCGCTCTCGCGAGGGCGCTCTTTTCGTCTCCCGCTGACTCCATTGACCACGACGACTCCGATCATCCACTCTTCTCGGAGAATTGTGCCGACTCCTCTTCTCCGTCGGCGACTGAGCCGATTCCTTCTTGCCCGTCTGCTTCTGCGAGCTTCGACGGATCTCCGACTCCAGCGTTGGTGTAAAGGCCACCGGAGACTCCTTGTCATCGACAATCTTCACGCCAAGGCGATCTTTGATGGAACGCACAGGAGAAGTCTTATTCTTCAACTTCTCCTTGCCATCAACGCCACTCTTTATTTCAACTGATCGCTCAACACCGTCACTATTTGTCGGCACAGTAATCTGGAAGGTGTGCAACTCCTTAGCCGGACTCGTTTTCACAATCACCGATGACACAGGAGCCACAACATCCGCATCGTCCTCATACAACTTCCTCCTCTCAGCATTGATGCTCCGTATCTCAATTGGACGAATGGCATTGATGGCACGCGAGAAGAGGGCATTTTCCGCCCTCTTCAGCACTTCATTCGTCACCATTTTATTCCCACCCTTGTGCTCTGGACTCGAGGAGTTCCTCGCGTCACTCGGGATGGACTTTGTATGACTCTCACCAGCCTCCTCATCAAGTTCCCACTTCGATGGCTCCGGTATGGTCACGAGAACACTCGTGGGCGTGGATTTCTTCTCCTCCTGACTCTTCACACTCGCCTCCGTGTCCTCCATATCCTGGTCGAAGTCAATTGTCGGATTTATATCAAGGATTGAGTCATTTCTCATGAATGCCGGTGAATTCTTCTCACTCTTCTCCGCCACTAGATCACCTGTTTTCTCATCTGCCTGTCCAAATTCCATATTAATGTCATTCTTGTCCATAATATCCCCATACAGATCACATGACATGTCCAGCTTTTGCTCATTCACTTCATCCTCCTTCAGAATTCTATGATTTGGCGTCGTTGACTCCTCTTCAGCACTCTGCGCCTTCTCTACCACTTTCTCCGCCGCCTCCTCAACCACTGATGACTCAACCCTCAAGTCAGCCTCTACGCGGGATCCTCTAGACTTCTCCGACTTCGCTTCCTTCTCACGCCTCTTCTCCTTCTTGTTCCTCTTCTTCTCCTTCTCCATTTCACGCTCCTTCTTGCGCTTCTTCTTCTCCTTTGATCTCTTCTTCGCATCATCCTCAGACGACTCTCTGTACTTTTTCTCCTCACCACGCTCCTTCACCCGACTACTGCTCTCCACTCGCTTCTTCTCCTCACCACCTCGTCTGCTCGAGTGCGTCTTCGTGGACTCTCGCTCACGATTCTTCTCCTTGCTAGTCGCCCTCCTGATGTCCCACTTATTGGGCGTCCTCGTCCTTGAACGTTCACGATTCCTCCTCACTTCCTTCGAGCGTGATCGCGTTTTCTGCCCAGACTTCTCCTCGTTGCGCTTCTCCTCTATACGCCTCTCCTCACACGTGCTGCTGTCCGGCAGCGGATCCTTCGGTGACTTCGCCTCGTCGGCTACACTGCCAAGCGTCGCTTCTGAAAACGTGTAAGACTCTTTGGGATACTTCTCAAAGCGCTCAGCACCTTCCAGTCCCGGCACGGGTGGCTGATCCACTTCCTTAGCCATCTCCGGGAAGTTCTCCTTCTCCCGCGGTCCTTCGTCAAACCGATGAGGCTCAATAGGGGTTAAATTTGTGATGTACGGCGGCGGTTGGCCCGGAGGTCCGCGAGAAGGATATCTAGAGAGGGAAGAAAGTCAGTACACCATCACACATGGTCAGTCACACATTCTCACCTCTGATAGTTGTCGTCTGGATAGTATCCCATTGACGGCACAGCGCCGGATGATTGATAGTATGGATCCAGTGGCTGTTGAGGCTGCGATGAAGGATGTGGCAGCAATGGTGGACGATCGCGTTGGTTATAGTTTGGACCACGACCGCGACTGTTGCGAGCGTATCCTCGATTTCCACTGAAAAACACCAGAGAGCATCACAGTGAGTCAATGTAGGTGAAAGACGCGTTAAGAACACAGCAATAATCATCCAGTTGGCAATGTATTCAACCATATTTACTTTTATGGTTAATTATTCAAATAAACTAACCGATTATATCCTCCCGGTGGTGATTTATCACGATAACTCTCTCTCGGGAAGTCATCTCTGTCTCTCCTGTCGCCGCGTCGATGCTCTCTAGGTCGGTGCCTGAAAAGGACGAAAGTCACTTGTTAGATCCACCAAAAAAAGAAAGCACTTGATTGCCACCCAGAAATCTTGCATTCAAAGCCTCACAAGTGAAGAGAAAGGATACATTCAACCCACTCAAAGTGTGTGACTGGAGGATAGATTATGTGGAAGAGGACAAGTTAACATTGAGTCACTCTCATACAGGACAAACTGACCTAGGAGGTGAACGTGAATGTGGTGGTGATCTATTGTTTCGATTATGTTGTGGTCCTCGATCTCTATATCGACCAGCTGGTGAAATTGAACGTGATCTCGACCTACAAACAGACAGTAAAACAAGAGATACATTCAATCAACATTGCCTCATTTCACGCACAACACCATCAACAAAAACACCCCCAACACGCTTTCTCTTGTTTATCACACACAAACTCTCCCAGTCGCTCGTGTCCTCATGCGATGCAGCAACAGACATGTAAATGATAAGCGCCAGAAATTGCCAACCCTCCCACAAAAAAATCTTCACAAACTCACCGACTAATGCTGAAGGACGGAGATCGACTCCTCGTCCGATTCCTCGGCGTACGCGAGCGCTTTCTCGGTGATCTGGAGATCTTCCGTGGTGTTCTAGATCGAGATCTGCAAGCATCAAGACAACTTTCATCCCTTCAACTACACAAAGCGTTTGAGAATCTCACCTGGAACTCCTTGAGCTGCGACTGTATGAACTGCTCCTCTTCCTTCGTCTATCCTCCGATCGTCTCTCTGGCGACCGCTGACGCCGCATATCCGGACTCCTGCCACGCGAAATCCTTCTTCTGGGCGGCCTTCTGTGATCCATTTCCGGAGATCGTGATCTGCGACGCTCCTTTCGGCGCTCTTTCTCGCGCATTATGCGATTAAACGCCTCCAAGGGATCATCAATTATGCCCGGACCTACTTTTGCCGCCACACCTTGATACACTGATGCCAGCGTGTGAATTGGCGGTCCTGGACGCATTCCTCTGGATGGATATCCACCTGGAGGCATGCGATTGTGGTAAGGAACTCGATGATTTCCTCCGTACGGACCCTGATCGAACAACGGACGCGGCTGAGTCGGAAACAGCGGCTGTGGCTGCTGGTGTGGCGGCATGTAATCCCCTCTGTGGCGTCCATAAGCACCCGTAGGCATCATGTCACGATATCCATAGTGCTGATCAGGAGAGCGTCTCTTCATCTCATCTCCGTGCATGTGTTTGTCCATTGATCGACGCCGATGTGGCATTTCCTCAGTCAAGCCCGCATAAATGTCATTCTCATCCACAGTTGGCGTTTCTGAGCGCTCCTCATCCACCAGAGCAGTGAGATGGCGACTTCTAGGCGATTCATCGCGACCACGACCGTTAATCTGTCCCTCGCGAAGTCCACCGCGACACTGCAAGTGCGCCGGCGGAACTGTGACTGTAATGTTATCCTCATAATCGCTCTCTTCCTTCTCCTCAATCTTCTCAGGCTCCTTCTCGGGTTCCGGCGGCACCACAACGGCCACCTTAGGTTTCGAAACGGGCTTTCTATTGTAACCCGTCTCATTCTTGAAAGAGTTCACCGAATTCCGCAGAAAACGATTGGGTATCAGAGATCCAGGAGATGAGCCCTTCTCGTGGCAATCCGGACACTCATTGTCCTCAGACTCCAGCAGTGCTGTGCGTACACACTCATCGCAAAAAGAACTGCCACAGCACGGAATCATTACGGCATCGGTAAAGAGATCCTTGCAAATGCTACAGATTAAATCCTCGGGGATTTCCTGCTTCTTCTCCACTGGTGGCTGAATTACTGGTTGCTGAATTCTATTAAAAGAAAAGTTATTAGAAACCCTCCAGATTCAAATTAAATGGCATATACTCACAATTCATTCTGCTGTTGCTCAATAAAAGACCTGGGAATGCCTGTATTCCTCTTCACTTCTGTCATTTCCGATGATCCAATTAATGGGCAGTTCTTAATCCAGTGCCCAGGCTTGTGGCATTTGAAGCACCGATAATTCATGGGCACTTCACCAGTTTGGTTGGATCCGCGAATTTTCTGGTAGCTGAAAAACAACAAATTTTTAACGAAAGACTCGAGAAATTTTAAGAGGTTATACCTGAACTTGAATCTAATTGGTATGCATGAAAGACAGATAGGAAGATTTATGGAAAAAATCTCACTTTGCATGTATTGAAAAGAGAAAACTCACTTTGTGGGATCATAATCAGCTGTACTTTGCATCATCATAGCGTTTATCTTGTCCTCTTCCGATCCATTGATTCGAGACAAATCAACGTGCGCTCTTTCAGTCTCCACAGGCATCCTCGTCGCTGAACTCTTATCCATGCTGGGCTCCCATTGTTTCTTCGGCTGCACAGCCAGCGGAATCCTGGCAATGGTCAGGGAAGTGTTCTTCGGAATCAGCGTGGCGTCATCAGTGTACTCTGCAAAGAAAACAATCAGTCCTGCAGTCAAACCTCCACGCCACCCTTTCGCCATGTTCTCACCCTCTTTCGTCTGGGCATTGGTGATCTGCAGATCGAAGTCCGCAATCTTCCCGATGCGCTTCTGCTGGATAATTGCCTTCTTGAGATCCGCCACGGAAATGTGGAGTCCATCGAAGGTGATTGTGTCAAAGTCCAGGGCACTCTTGAACTTGTAGTGAACCGACATATTGGCTAGCTAACTCGACTGCTCGCGTTCACTGTTCCTGCAGAGCCTCAGGATGGGCTTTTTCACCGTGAATTTTCACTTTTTCCCCTCTCGCCTCTTGTTGTCAATACAAAATAGCCATCTTGAATCGGCACTGCATTTGTCACAATTCCCTCGATACTTTTCACTCCCACTTTTCCAATGATTCTCCTGAGATCCTCATTCTTTTCACACCGCGAACACTTCACATGGCCGTGGCGAAGAGCGTAGTGATGTTTATTGTATGAGCGAATGGGTTTTTTCACAGATTTTCACACTTTTTCGCAACCCTCGAGCAAGCTTGCAAATGCACACAGCCGCCACACGAGATACAGCATAGCAGAGCTGACAGTGCAGCCCACGCGATTCACTACTTCACTAGAATCCGCTATTCGATAAATGGCGCTGGTATCAGCCGGAAGAATAATTTTTCCCGACAAATTTTCCATTTATTTTCCTCCCAAAGCACTTCAAAAGCCTCAACATCCTAAACAATAAGCAACAAAAGTGGGTAAAGAGTTTAGAAAACAGTGGTTTTGAGACAGAAACAAATATTTTATAAAATTGCGGGAAACGCAAGGTGCCAACGAAACTCATTAGTGTACGACGAGGGGTTGGTCAGCTGGGCAGTTGTCATTCGTTGGACGCTCCTTCGGGGTTAAGAAATCTTCAGAATTTATTTTAGACGCGTTTTTCCCTCAAACTATGGCTCAGAATATCAATCCAGATCACCCGCAATCGTCGAACTTAGCCAAACAGAACGATGGTGGTGTTACGATCAATAACAATGCCGTTAGCAAAAGGTGAGTTGCAGCGTCTTGACGCATTTTGGCTTTCCCTTTTCGCGAGCACTTCCACTGATTCCCCATGTGCTTTTCCCACACAATAGACTGCAGAAAGAGCTGATGAAGCTTATGATGGGCGCAGAGAAGGGCATTTCGGCATTCCCGGACGGTGAGAACATCTTCAAGTGGGTTGGAACAATCTGTGGCCCAGAGAACACCGTGTATAGTGGCCACAAGTATAGGCTTCAACTGGAATTTACAAATTCCTACCCGTACTCGGCACCAAACGTTAAATTTCTCACACCGTGCTTTCATCCCAACATTGACCTCTCCGGAGTCATCTGCCTGGACATCCTGAAAGACAAGTGGTCCGCCTTGTACGACGTCCGGACAATTCTGCTTTCCATACAGAGTCTCCTCGGCGAGCCCAACACAGAAAGTCCCCTCAATGTGCAAGCGTCAATGCTGTGGACGAATCCCGCAGAGTACAAGAAGTACCTTGATGAGTTCTACGAGAAGAACAAAGACTTTCCCATGCCCGAAGTGTGAAAACTTGTGCTTCTCCACACACCAAACATTCAACACACACTTCGCTTTCTTGTACCCCAAAAGGAGACGTGTTGTCAGTGTCTGAACAATTTCCGCTATCCATTAGAGAATATCTTCAATTGATTTATCGGTAATGCAGCGTAAATAAATACAATTTCATTGAAAATCCACAAATTTTCCATTTCCAAATTGCATAGAAACCATTCAAAAATCATCGTCCAGCGCCATCGGGACTTCTTGGTACCAAAAATACGCGGTGAATTTCCGCCAGAGTGCGCTCGATCGGCCATTTCCGTGACTCTTCGTGCGGCGTTAAATGTGACAGCCGAGAGCTTTTTCTGCGAAAGCTCCACACGTCTGCGGCCATCTTTAAAAGTGATCTCTTTCTTGCGACTGTTTTGTGTGAATTTTATCAGGTATATTTGCAGCACAATAGTACACCTTTCACCCCATTTTTACGCCTATTCCCTGCCCCTATACACCCTCTATCCGCTCAATATGGTACATAGTCACATCTCATGGTATATCGGGGTGAAAATTCACTTGAAAATTATGTCGCTTCCGCAACACATTCTACAAAAATTGTGCTCACGACACGGTGGATTTTTTCTAACTCACCTTCTCACGTTCTCATCTACACCTTTGACGGGGCGACACGCGGCGAGTGGGCGAGTGACACACGCCGGGGGCACTCAATAGTGAGGCGGAATGGGAAAATGCCTGAGGGTGGAAAATGTGAGGTTTTTTTCTTCCGGAAAGTGTCCTGCGTGGTGTTGAAGACACCAATACATTGACATCTCTCTTTGGGGCCTTCGACATTGGAAAATGGTGTAAATTTTCCCTCAGCACACTTCCTTCTCTGTATAGTCTATGGATTTCCCGTTCTGATGCAATAATTTGTATATTTCAGCGATTTCTATTACCAGCATTCGTGCAATTATCAACAACAACCCTTGCAAATCATCTCAAAGGAAGCCAACAAGCCATCAACTGGACTGTTCAGCATCCTGAATTGCGTGCAAACTCAATTGTCTACACACCCTGAAGGAGTGGGAGTGGCCAAAAAACGATTCCAGAGAGAAGAATACCCTGAGAGCGACATTCTAAAGTCCCTTTGCGGCGCAAACCCAAGAGGATAAGTGTAATCGACAGCCAAAACCATCAGAATGACTGATTCAATGAAATTCGGGCCGGAGTGGCTGCGCAACATGTCAAATGACACAGGCACTGGAACAGGGAATTCCGCCCAACGTCATCAATTGGCAGAATTCCGGTGAGAGTTGAGAAAAAGCAGCATCCCAACTTCTTATTTACTTACCATGTTTCCTTGTAGATATGGTCGGGAGGAAATGCTATCGTTGTTTGACAAAAACATCAAAGTCCCGGACATTTTGCCAAAATTCAAAAACCTCTTCGTGGAGAAAATACAGTGTCCACTCGCACTGACGCCTAGCACTGAGGATGATCTCGTTAGTATAGCTTGAAACTCTGCAATGTGGCAGCATTACTCACTGGTTTTTTTTGTCTTTGCAGCGTGTGTGGCAGGTACGGAGCTCACCGGGACTGGGATTGTCAAGTCGCGGGGCGCGCGGTGGTCTCATTGATAGAGGACGTGGCCGAGGACGCAGTTCATATCATTCTCTAGGCGGCTATCAGCGTTCCACTTCACTCTATGACGACGAAGGGAGGATCATTGGTCGAGTAAGTTTTACTATCTTTGTGTTCAATTCTCATTGCTGTTTGACTTTAATTTTTTGAAATGGCAACAAAGAAGAAACTCTGTTCAGAATGTCCTATTCAATAGCAAGGAGATTCAAGTCTGAGAAACTAATGCGATGGAAATATACAATTTCACTAAGTTTATAATGTGCTTCCTTTAATTTCAGGGTGAACGATGGCCTGAACGGAACGGAACTGATTCGAGTGACTGGAATGGCTTGTCCTCAACGAGTCCACGGAAGGACTTCAACTCACACGGACGGGGTGGGAGTCAGGAGAATTGGCGGAGGAATCGCTTAGAGGATGATGCGTCTGAAGGGTGGCGCAGCACTTCGATTCCTGCAACTCGCGAAAAGTGGACTCGATCTACGAGTTGGCGGGATGAGGAGCCGGCGGAGATTTCGTCGCTGCGTGGCTATAAGAATGACCGTGGCTTCGTCGGTGGAGCACGTTTAGTTCATACGATGGGTGGACTGAAGGTGTGGGACCAGGATGACAATCTACCGGAGTGGGCAATGGAGAATCCGCTGGAGAGTGGTGGAAGCTTCGATGCCACGGGTGCTTTTCATGGATCGGACGAGGAGAATGAGAAGCGGAGGCGCGTGGAGAGACGAACTAGTAGTTCCTTCTCCGGGTCGGATAACAATGAGAATGATTCTGAAAGGAGTGGAAATGATGAGAGCTCTGGACATACGAAGGAGGATGAGAAGATGGTGGGCAATTCGACGGAGGATGATATGACGGCTAATGAGATTTCACGTGTCAGTCCGACAGTGAGTCAGGAGAAAGTGGCCACGGTGATTGTCACGACGTCTACGACGATCATTGCCTCGTCAATTGTCACCACAACGGAGGCGCGAACAGCGGAAATTGAGAAGCACCCGCCGGGGCAGCAAATGAAGAAGGAAGTAGTGGACATAGCGAGTGTGGATAGAATGCAAGAGGTGGCGGATGATATGGTTGAGAAATTGATAATGGAGGACGAACTGGTGGCGAGTGCTGGAGCGCCTCTGGTGAGGAACAAAATGCATTCACCGATGGTGAAGGAACCGCCACCACAACCGGCTCCACACGCGCCACCGCCGATGCCAAGAACTCAGGAGACTGACAGCAATCTCATCTGGTTCTATCGCGACCCACAGGACATGGTGCAGGGTCCATTCACTGCCATTGAGATGGCAGAATGGTATCAGGCGGGCTATTTCGATGACAATCTCTGTGTGAGGCGCATGGGTGATCAGAGATTCTCAAAGCTGGGTGAATTGATAGAGTTGTGTGGTGGTGATATGCCATTCTTTGCCCCTTATCGAATTCTGCCGCAACAGATGAATGAACCACCTCTCGCGCCGCCCGTCAATCTTATTGATGATCCGTCCATGTCCATGAATTTCCAGATGTTGCGCCAACACTACCTCCTGAGGCAACAAGCGCATGTGTATCAGAAGCTCTCCACGTCGGATTTCTGGCATATGCTGTCGCCCGAGCAACAGCGTGAGATGATCAACAAGCAAGTGGCGCATTTGGGTGTGCCGGATAACATCTACGCACTCCTGGCGGCCACTCAGATGGACTCGCAGGGGCACAATCATCCGATTGGACTGCAGGAATTAGCCGGAAGGATGCAGCAACACCCACCGGCGAAACTTCTCAATTCCACGCATCCTCCTCAGCCCACACCGGGCCCAATGCATCCCATGGGGCCTTTTGGAGCGCCTCATGTTTCCGGACCGGGATTTCCTCCTCAAGGACCAGCGCCCACAAACAATCCCGCCGCCATGGCTAGTGAGACCATGAAGCAACTCATGCAGAACATTAATCTGGGAAACCTGGTACAGCAACAACAACCGCAGCAGCAGCAGCCGATGGGCGGCCATCCAATGCCGATGGTGACGCAAATCCAACAGAAGAGCAATGATCAGCAGAGTCAAAATGATCGGATAAAGTCACTCATCATGCAGCTGAGTATGCAGAAGGGGATGTCACAGGCGCCGGATACAAGTGGCACAGCTCAGTGGGCATCAATGCAGCCTCCGGAGGAATTCAAGCAACCGCCACAGTGGATGGGAAGTGGACCAGTTGAACCGTCGCCACCACAGCGAGGAATGTGGGATGCGACACCTCAAATGGTAACAGCTCATCCACCACCTCAAATCCCTCCGAATATTGAGATGAAGACAGAGAAGCAGATCCTGGAGGAGCAGCAAATGGCACGAGTGGCAAAGATGAATGAAGAAAAGAGGGAGAATTTTTTTGATGTGCGCCGGCCAGTGTCGCCGGAAGTACCAAAAAAAGAGGAGAAAATCCAACAGAGTAGTGTGAAGAAGGTGGAAGAGAAGACTGTGAAGATGCTACAAGTGCAGGAGGAGAAGCCAGTGAAGGGGAAGAAGGTTGTGGAAACGAAGACTCAGGTGAAGCCGAAAGAGGAGGAGAAGAAGAAAGTGCAGCAGCAACAGCAGCAGCAGCAGCAGCAGCAGCAACAACAACAACAACAGCAGCAGCAGCAGAGAAAGATTGAGGAGGAAAAGAGAAAGCCAAGCAGTGCTGGGCAAGAAGAACAGCCGAAGAAGGATGTGCCTGATGTGAAGAAGGTGCCAGCGGCGGGGACGGTGAAGAATTCTCAGGGACAACAAGCGGTGGGAAAGAATAAGACGTCGAAATCTTCAGTGGCGCCTTGGTTGAACAATGACATGACGGCGCCTGGAATGAGCTTGGCGGAGATTCAAAAGGCGGAAATGGAGCACCGTGCTGAGCAGTCGCGATTTGAGCAGTTGGTGCGCGAGCAGCAGCAACAGCAGCAGCGTCTGATGGACATGCAGATGGCTAAAGAGAGTGTTCTGCCGAAGTGGAACGCGCAGGGAGCGCCGCCGGTAGTGAAGTCCCTGGCGGAGATTCAGGCTGAGGAGCAAGCCAAGGCGGCAGCCGCTGAGCGGGAGCATCTGGCCATGGTGGCGGCGAGTCAGGCGAGCACTGGAATGGTGTCCAAGGCGAAGCGTGAGGAAACACCGTCGACTTTGGCGTTGGGATCCATTTGGAACAACACTGCCCAGAGTCTGTCGTGGAATTCGGGCAAGTTGTGGGGTGGCACGAGCAACAGTGGCTTCTGGGAAGAGCCCACGAAGCCGAGCACCTCATTTGCCACGGCTGCTGCGGCTGGTGGGGCGCCTGTGGCTCAGAAATCCCTCGCCAAGAGTCAAACAATGACTAACATTCAGACTGCCAAGATGACAGCACCGGCTGCTGTGGCACCGAAGCAAGTTGTCGCTCAGAAACAAGTGAAGCCCACGACTAGCAATGCCAAGGGTCAGCCGGGGGGCGCTACGAAGCCGAGTACGTCAGGGAAGGTGACTAGGAAAGATGACGGGGGGACGGAGTTCACGACGTGGTGCACCAAAGCTCTGGCTGCGATGAACAGTACTGTGGATAGTAAGTTTCTCATTTTATCATTAGCGTGTGACTTGAAAATTGATTGATACGTCTGCTTGAATTGGCTCCCGAAATCACGTAGTACTTCTTACGATTCTTATCTATGTTTGTTTCTTTGCAGTTCCCACTTTTGTATCTTTCCTCCAAGACATAGAGTCGCCGTATGAAGTCAAGGACTACATTCGTATGTATTTAGGTAAGTGGTTGAAGGGTTTTCTTTATGGAACGACGTGGTTAACAGGGGTTCTGGACTTTCAGGTGAGACAAAAGAGTGTACAGAATTTGCCAAGCAATTCCTCGAGAGGCGAAGCAAGTATAAGAATCAAATCCGGGCACAAAATGCACATGTGGACGATATGTGCTCACCGGCACCGGCTATAACGCCATCAACAGACTGCCAGGAAGTTAAAGTGAGAAGCCATATGCATTCTCCGTCTGTCAGTAAAGCTAACACGTGTTCTCTTTCTGTTCGACATTCCAGGGAAAGGGCAAAAAAGTGAAGAAGAACAAGATGATGAAACTAGATTCCCGCATTTTGGGCTTTTCCGTGACAGCGGCCCAGGATCGCATCAACGTGGGCGATCGTGATTATCCGAATGCTTCCTAAATATCCTTGATATTTATTTCACAGAAAGAGAGAGGAAGAAATGAGTGAAAAATTTCAGAAATATATATATAAACATTTATGGCTCTTTAGACATTTAAAAGAAGAGAAAACCTGATGATGGGATATTTTTTCCCATCCACACACTTTCCCTCCTCATTTTAACTATTCTCGACGTAATTCTTAAGATTTATCGCTGTCTTTTGATCCTGTCTAAAGTATTTTTCCTATTCTTTTTCACACTGTTTTGTTGCATCTGTTCTTTGAGCAAACGGAGAGCGGGATTGTCTGTTTATCTTTCCTTTTTTGGGCGTTTTCATGAAGAATTCCCTTAACTTGTTAGAAGAGGAGGAACACACGTTTTTCTTTCATGAGTAAAAATGCAAGGAAGTTAAGAGAAAAAAAAACATGTTGAGTAAACAATTTTGTGCCTATTGTATAGAAAATGAAATTATCTTGTAAATAAAAGAGAAAATGAGAAGAACAAGGATTTCCTCGGCAACTTTCGATGTTGTATCGATTAAATAAAGAGTGAATAAGTGGAAGAAACAAATTGAGCATGGTAGTATACATTTGGAATACTTTTCACTTCGAATCGACTATAGAACTTTTGTCCTTCTTTGCAGGGACCGAAAAAGAAGCTGAGTAAGAAGGAGAAAGCAAAACTCGATGCTGAGCATGCTGAACATGTGCGCCAAGAGCAGGAAAAGGAACGTCAGAAAACACTTCAGGAAGAGCAGGAGCGTCAGAAGCGGGAACGGGAAGAGGCTGAAGATCGCCAGCAGCAAGAGCTGGTGGAGAATAGAATAAGGCGTGTTCAGCTCAAAGAGAGCGTGGAGTTTTTCCTGGATTTCAGACAAAAAATTTCTGAGATTTACGCTGAGCAAAAGAAGCAAAATGAATGGAAGCGATACATGAGATGCAACGGCTTGCCGAATGCCCAGAATCCTGGAGATTTGCGCCAATACATCCACATGTGGATGGAGAAGGAAGACATAATGGAAGCTAGTGAGCGGAATTGGCTCTTGATGACCAACGAAGAGACTCTTCTGACCCAGAATCGTGATGTTGTGGATCTCACGAGAGGAAACGTGAAGAAACTACAGCCTAACATTGGAGATTTATACGCTAGTCGCGTACAGGAAGTTCTGGGGGTGAGTTCAAAGCATTGTGGTGTGTGCAATGATTTTGAAACTGGTTTTGCAGATCATGGATGAACTGCAGGAGGCTATTCTAGATCCTGATGACTTATCTTTGGCCATTTATCGAGATCTGTTACGCTTGAGGGCGGAATTGAGAGAAAAACTCGCTGAATACATAGACAAATTCTCCTATCAAGTCCTCTGCAACATCGATAGAGACATGAATTTGGATGGATCCACTATTGCCACACACGTTTACGAGTCTGAAGTATTTAAATCTCAACTATGGACGCAACGCGACATTCCTCAGCCTCAATTGAGTGCTAAAGAACGTGCCAGAGAAGAGACAAAACACACCGAAGTGGAGTTCACTCTTCTGGACACCACACTCATTCTTCCACCCACTGTAAAGTGCTTCCGGGCGGCATTGCGCGGTCTCTGGCTCAACTACGATCACTACTCAGATTCATGCCACAGCTTCTTCATGCCACTGCCTATAACTCGAGTGCTTAATCTGAGGCAGAGCACGAAAATCGAGTGGCGGAAACGCAAAGAGTTGCTGGAGAAAGCACTGGCAGAGAAAAAGGCTCAAAGTGAGGCTGCCCTGTTTGACACAATGGAAACTCCTAGTGCTCCTACGGTGATCGACGTAGACAAGTTGTATGCCAACTACGAGACTGAGCAGAATAAATTGGAGAAGCGACGGAAGGGACCGGAAGGACTGAAGCTAATCTCCATGGATGTGAATCTGCGCAGTCACAGAATCGTCGGTGGAATTTACTGCATTGATTACTTGGATCAACCGAAGCAGGATGTGAAGATTGGTTCAAAATCCTTCCTTACAACGCTCTTGCATCCTAACAAGCTGAAGAGGAAGCACTTCTACCAATCCTACAAACCTCCACCGCCGCCGCTGCCTGGAGTTCGTCGATTGCCTGAAGAAATTGAGGCGGAGATCAAGTTGATGGAGCAAAATCTGGACAAACTCGCTCTGATCACAGTGAAACTCCCTGAGAATGTTCTCTGGTTTGAACCACCAATTGTCTGTCGCTGGGAGTGTCCAGCCGATGTGGAGGAATCTCTCTTGGAAGATAATGAAACTCTAGAAAGTCTTCCTCAAGCGTCTGAACAGCCTGACCAATCAGCGCGGCGTAAAGTCAGGTCTGAACCTAGGGTTACTGAAATCCGTGACTTCAATCTCCTCTTCATCCCACCGAGAATTGATCTGTACGCACTGATGCTGGACTTTGTGGTGCCTCGCTTGCCGGATGGATATGGTGTGAAGATTGAAAATGCTCCTGGAGAGAGGAAAGGCAGTCTTATGAAGTATGCCATCCAGGAGAGTGCTGTGAAAGAGGCTCGGAGGAAGCAATCCACAGCTATCAATTCAGTCATCCATCAAACAAATTCTCCACGATCACTTCATCCCAAAGTGCGTCTTCGCGGGACACTGAAGATTCTCACCAGGAAATCCTCACAAGATATCACCAGTTCATCCCAATCGTCTTCTTCAACTCCATCGCCATCCACAGATGAAGACGAAGAAGTGAAATGTGCACAGAAGTTCAGAAGATGCAGTGTCTCACTGGGCTCAAGTGGTAAATACATGCTCTCGCAGTTCATCAGAGACTTGGATCAACTCATTGATCTACAAACTCCTCAATTGACTGTCAAGATAGATGAGATTGCATCGAACCTATCTTCTCCACAAGAGGCAGAAATTCCCGAAGTTACCCGCAAACCCTCAAGTGTGAGTCTGTTGCGTGAGGATCGAGATCTATTGCGAGATCCTCGCTTTCTCTCCGCCTCGTTCAAGCGCGAAGACACCCCTGAAAAGGACGTGGAGATCATTGAGGAAGAGGAGTCAGAAAGTGACTCAAATGAAGAAGACACGCAGGGAAAGGCATCCTCTTATCCACCAGATAAATCTCTCTCCAAGTGGAGTACTCGAGATGTCCACGATGTGAAATTCAATGAGGATAAGCTCACCATACAATTTCGCACTGGTCGTCTAGGATGCTTTGGATTTGCCGCCAATCGATACAGCAATCTTCCTTATCAAACATGGGAATTGAAGCCAGACTTCAAGATCCCAAATGCTGTGACATTCACTCTCACCGCCGCAGTTGTGAGCATCGATATGACAATTCTAGAGGATGGAGTGCGACTCAATTCCCTCCAAGGATGCTCAAGCACACCTCTAGCACATGTTTTGGGAGCTGTGTTTCCTCTCAGTGAATTGAAAGTGATCATGAAAAGCACAGCCATCGATCTCTTTCCAGAATCTGATGCTTTTTGCTATACTGAAGGATCTTGCGAGAAGAATTCCGTGATGGAGACTCATCTATACGATTGCATGGGCGCCTTGGCGCTCACGCACAATTTCTCTTGGTCACGATGGAATCTTTTATCAGGCAGTCGTTCAGCCGTTCTTCTAATGCGAGAAGTTATTGAGCACAGAAAGCCGGTAAGAAGACTAAAAATATCCCGAATTTATTAAAGAATTGACTGCTGTGGTGATCAAGAACAATAGAATGAATGCGCTGAATTGACACTTACTTCTCCACAGCCCAATCAATCAACCTTGCTCGTGACTCCACTTAAGACAATCGTGGTGGATTGCACAGAAGTATCAGCTTCCTTCAGCACTGCTGGTGTTCCTGGAATGCAATATTACGCAGATTTGCATCACCTGGCCAGAGAACATTCACAACCAGTGTCGCGGGAGAAACAGAGGAACATGAATCACCTGCTGCGGGATAACGTTGTGCAAGTCTTAAAGTCCAGCAGACCGCTAAGCTTCTGCTAATCACTGTATTTTCCTTGGTATTCAAATAATTCTTTTTTCACTCAGTTGCTGAAGAAAATCTTGGCACTGCTCAAGTTGTAGTAGAGCAAATCAAACTCTTGTTGGAATGTGTGAATTCGCCTCTCCGTGAGTGCCAATGTTTGTTGCAGCTTCACATCATCCGATGAGCCAATCTCTTTCCTCTGATCGGCAATCTTCTCCTTATCCATGGCGTATTTCACCTTCACAGCCCGGAACCAGTGCAGCGAATTGAAGTCGTCAATCTGATCGAGAAGCTTCAGAATATACGCCAGTCCCATGACGAATCCATCATCTGTGAACAAGGCATCTTGTCTGTTCTTCTTTCCCATGCGATCCTTCATGCTAAGCATGTGTTCAACGAAGTTGATCGTGAGTGGCGGAACAATTAAATAGAACGTCTTTAAATGCACATTCTTTGGTCCTCGCAAGAATGGCGCTAGTGTGTCGACGAGGAGTCGAAAATACTCTGTTCCTTCACTCCATTGGCGCCACAAATGTTCAATTTCTGCTTGGAGATTAGCAGCTGATGTGCATGTAGCCGATAAAAGACCCTCGCTTGTGGCCAATTCACTCAGTGTCAGACTATCTCGCTCCTCACCAGTTGGCAGGAAAGCGCTGGCCATTGAACAAGTATGAATACATCCAGATCGCATCATTCTCACGTATCCCATGGCATTTCCAATGTGACTCACTAACAGTCGGAATGTGTCCAGATAGCTCTCACCACTTTCCGTGACGCCCAACTTACGGATACCCTTGTTGAAGGCGTCCGCTCTCTCGTACGCATACATCTGTCCCAATCTCTCCCTATTATCTCTGAACCACTTCTGATCCTTTACCAGGCGACTCTTGATGCGCTCATCATAGAGGAACTGTGACAACACGTAAATCTTTTTCTTCAGAAACTGATACGTGAAATTCACAGTCGTGTTCACCACTCCAATTCCGTGAGTCCTGAGTGAGTTGGCAATGTGACGAATATTGATGGTATTGAGGTGCTTATTTCCACTCGTGCGCTCAATGAACACTTGATTATTGAGATTGTACACGTATTGCGCCACAAAAACATGAATATTCCTCATAATGTCTAACACATCGCATCCCTGCTCGAGAATCTGCGTTGGCAAATGATCAGCCACTGTTACGAGGTTCATCTTCAATCCCGCAAGTCGTCTCATCTCTCCATATGTTCGCCAATCATGTAGCGAAATGGTAGTTAAATTGTAGAACATATTGCTGAGATAAGCTTCAACAGAACGCTTCAGACTCACATAGCGATCAGCAACTTTCACCACTTCCACTGCGAGTAGTGCTTTGGAGTTCACGAGTTGAGAACCTCTTACAAAGGGATTTACTGCGTCCACTTGAAGATTCGAGTGGAAATCCAATCTCAATCCCGTTTCAATTTGGGCGCACAGTCGATTGATCACTTCTCCTGTGAAGGATTTCATTACAGCCTCTGTGAATTGCTCCTGGCATGTGAATTCTATCGTCTGCACTTCGTCCACTGCTCCTGCACACTTGTCCACACCGTCAAATGTGGCCAAAATTCTCTGATGATCCACACCATAGTCAAAATACTGCTTCAAATAACTTCGAAACAGCGACTGATGCCAGAAGAGAAACGACGTGTCGCACACGCGATCCAGAGTCTCCTGGAGATCTACAATGATGGTCAATCTGGCCAGGATTCTCGCCAATTTCTGCACATACTCGATATTGAGGCTCGTCGCATTGGCCTCAAACACACTCAGAGCAATTTTCGCGATGGTTATTCGCGTCCTCGTGGCCGGCCCATAGAGACACCGCTCAGTGATTTGGAACGCCGCCAAGGAGTCCAATGTCTTCTCATTATAGTTGTCACGGGAGAGAGTCTTTCTCGCTGCATTCACCAAATACACACCCTGATACTCAAAGTGTTGAATTATACTATTCACACTCTCAACAATGAAGCTGCGGAGTTGCAGGAACACTTCTCTTATGGCAATGAGGAATTCCAGAAGTTTACCAATGCTCATCAACGTGGATTTCTGCATTGGCAGCTGTACAATCACATGCAGATTTGTCACACACTTTATCAAATGGCTCATTTGACCAGCCAATCTCACACCAGCCGTAAAGAGATTGGCTCTGGAGCGTATTTGTTCAATCTTCACTTCATTCTTCGCCACTTTGTACTCCGTCATCATTTGCAACACCCAGGAAAGAGTGCGAAATGTGAATGAATTTACTTCTTTTGATAGATTTGATGTCTTCCCAGTGAGAAAAATTTGTCTAACTTTACCAGCATCACTGACAAATTTCTCCTGACCCTTCAAGAGAGTGGCTGCGTGCCTTCTAATGAATACTTCGGGACACCACACGATATTGCTGATGAGAGTGATGCCACAGAACTTGTTGCTAATCTCCAACAACTGTTTGAAGCACTTCTGATCGAGATTACCGAAGAAAGTGTGATAGAAAATGCACATCACACTCACTCTGATCACACATCCGCAATCGCTGAGCTCTGAGAGATCTTGAGGATACTTCACCACGTCGCTCAGGACTCTCTTGATGTGTGCTTGCATCTGAGTGGCAAATCTTCCCATTACTTTTGGCAAAACACTCTCCTTCACTTTGGCACAGCGCTGCAGCGCACTATCCACGAGCCTTCCCTGGAACAATTCATCCAATTCCCCAATCATCTGCATCAATCCATTCATGTCAGTCGCTGAGAACTCCTTGAATTGCTGGGCATTCACACAAACGGTCGTCATTTGCTTCTTGTACGGCCCCCAGAACTGCTTTAGGCGCAATCCGGCAAAGATCTCATCGAAGATGTAGATACTTATGATTAAATCACACATTTTATCAAAAACTGTCTGCAAAGAAACATAAAAAAAAACACCAATAAGTATAATAAGGGAGCAAACAAATGTGTTTAACTCACATATAAGCATGTGGAATTTTGTGAATTCCCAAGGCATTTGTTGTCATCGAAAAAGGCACTAAATTCTCGGACGGTGAGCTCCAGGACGTCACTGCAGCGCTGTAGGAATTGTCTTATCTTGAACAAGAAGTCCAGCACACCCGAAACCTTCTTATTGATCAAATTCACGGGCGTGTCTTCCTTCATCTCCACCACATCTTCATCGTAGTAGAGAAGGTTGAGTTGCAAACTCTCAGATTCCACTCTCAAGCAATCAATTTCATTACAGAGGAACGCAAAGACGATTATATTCTTGTTGAGCACTTTGTTGTCCGACTCAACAAGTTGAAAGAGTGATATATTCTCATTCTCCCCACTGTATCCATAGTAAATTGGCATGTTGCATTTCGTGAAAATCTTTTCTCCTTCCGGAGCTGTTTGATCATTCTCAAGAGACGTCAATAACCGATTGTGTGTTTCCAGGAACTTCCCGAACTGCCTCAATTGCTGCTCGCCGCAGATGTCTACAAAATAATAAGCGAATGAGTTGCAATTTCATTAACCATTTCTGTGATTTTTCCTCACTCTCTGCTGCCTTTCCCACATTCCTCGGTGAATCCATCTTCAAAGACTCACTGATATACTCTTTGGTGAAGGAATCTCAGATAGACATTTGGTTGGGCGACTCCCACTTCCTGTTTCACTGCAATGAGGCCAGAAATTGTTGGTTAGAAAAATTCCAATGCACTTTAACAGGTTTACCACGAGATTATCTTTCCCTATTATTTTAAGTAAAAAAAAAACGGAGAAAATGGCCTAATTTTGTGTGTTGCAACATCCAAATTCCTCTAATCAATAGAAACTCAACTCACAATGATAAGAAAATGGTGAAAAACGAAGGAAAAATCTGTTTCACGTTATCAACCAATTCACATGATTCTCCTACTTGTACAGCTGATATTTCACCTTTAATTGCCTGATCGAACCCTCCACTACATTTTGCACTATCATTCATAGAGAAACTCCAATGAGAAAATGCAACAATCAATATCACAAAAATTCCTTCACAATATTTATGTCAACAAAAATAGCAAAATGGCGAACAGCGCCTCTCGCGGGAAACGGCGCAAGCTTAGTGAGAGCGAAAAAAAGCGCTCAGGCTTGGATGACGCCGCTGCGGGGAAAAGAGAGCGAGCTTCTCTTGGCATATTTTATCTCTCTGGCAGTGCAATCGTGAAATACCGCATTACCTGGACCATCTCGTGCTATTCCTAGCAGGAAATCACCTCAAACCCTTCATCTATGGTAGGTGCACAGTTTAACACCAGTGAATTAGTGGGAATATCGTGGAAAAGTGATGAAAACCGCCTTGAAGGGAAGCACAGCACTTTTGCTTGGTGTTCATGGGGAAGCCATGTTGAATTCAGCGCCGATGGTGATAATTTTGAGAAATTTACTGTCCAATGGAGGCCCCCTGGCAACAAAAATCTGTAAATTACCGTGTTTTCATTCCTTCACTAAATTTTTGGTACTCCTGCGAAAAGTGGTGTTTTCCCGTAAATGCCTGTGCTGTGGATACGTAAATGCGGAGTCTGTGGGGCTTCCAGCTCAATATTACGCCAATATGGCGGTGGGCTTGTGCGTTTTTTTACATCACCGAGGCCAATAAGTGGAAGTTCGAGGATAGCTCATGCTTGATCTCGTGAGAAAGGCAATTTGTGTACGCATTTTTGGGACTTTAGGGCTCGGGCAGGAGACTCTCAGTGTTGATTAACTATTTTCATACTACTTCTCCGCTTTCAGATTGGCGCTTCCTCAGTTTAGGATGTCAAACGCCAACGTGAGCATAAAACTCGAGGGGAGTGAAATTCAGTCGTATCTGGAGTCTTTTAACAAGGAGATTGACTCTACAGCCGGACCTTCGTCTGTGCCTGTCTCGGAGACAGAAACAATCACCATTATTCGCGGAGAAGAGGCTGAATCTGGCGGGGAAGATGAAGACGACACCGGGACATACTTCATAGACTCCTCCGGGAATTACTACTATCAAGCCACAAAGGAGTCCGAGCCAGTATTGACATCGCCACCTGATTTCCTGACTGATGACGAGGAGAAGGAGAAAGGCGGCAAGCAAAAGGACGCTTCTGGGAACCCAGACTATGTAATTATGCCCTCAGATGGGAATTCTGGAGAGGTTAGTTACGTGCTCATCATGAACGGCCAAGAGGGGAAGAACCAAGCCTCTACTGGAGCATCAGGTGAGGGTGATTCTGGTGAGAATGTCGAGGAGGATGATGAATTTGAGGCGGGCGAGGACGGAAATGTGTATGACTTCGAGGAAGACCCAGACAAGCTGATCGGAATGTCGGACACTGAAGATGACAAGCAGAAGGTGATGAAGATCATCTCGAAGAATCAAATGCAAACAGTGTCACATCTCTGCAACTATTGCAACTACACCAGCACCAAGCGATACCTTCTCTCACGCCACATGAAGTCCCATTCGGATGAGCGTCCGCACAAGTGCAGTGTCTGCGAGCGCGGCTTCAAAACTGTTGCCTCGCTGCACAATCACGTGAACACGCACACGGGCACGAAACCACATCACTGCAAATTCTGTATGAGCTCTTTCACCACGTCCGGCGAGCTGGTGCGTCACGTGCGTTATCGCCACACTCACGAGAAGCCTCACAAGTGCTCAGAGTGCGACTACGCCAGTGTGGAATTGAGCAAGCTGAAGCGTCACATACGATGCCACACAGGAGAGCGCCCTTATCAGTGTCCTCACTGCACTTATGCCTCCCCGGACACGTTCAAGCTGAAGCGTCACTTGCGTATTCACACTGGCGAGAAGCCCTATGAGTGTGACGTGTGCAATGCCAAATTCACACAGAGCAACTCTCTGAAGGCGCACAAGCTGATCCACAATGTGGGCGACAAGCCGGTGTTCCAGTGTGAACTCTGTCCCACAACTTGTGGCCGGAAGACAGATCTCAGGATTCACATTCAGAAGCTTCACACATCCGACAAGCCGCTCAAGTGCAAGCGATGCGATGGACTCTTCCCGGATAGATACACGTACAAGGTGAGTTTCGTAAAGGTGCTTTGTGTAATTCTCTCTCAACACGATGATTACACTTTCAGATCCACACGAAGACGCACGAGGGAGAGAAGTGCTACAAGTGTGATCTCTGCCCCTATGCCAGCATCTCGGCTCGTCATTTAGAGTCTCATATGCTGATCCACACGGATCAGAAGCCCTATCAATGCGAACAGTGCGAGCAATCGTTCAGGCAGAAGCAATTGCTTAAGCGACACATAAATCTCTACCACAATCCGGATTACGTGCCGCCAGTGCCGAAGCCAAAGGGTCATCACTGTCCGCACTGCAATAGGAGCTTCAGGCACAAAGGAAATCTCATTCGCCACTTGGCTCTACATGATCCCGAGTCATCGGTACATGAGGACGCTCAGGCGCTCAAGTTGGGCAGGAAGAAGCGCATCTTGTATCCGGATGGCGGCGAGTTTAAGAGCGAACAGATGGACACTGATGAGGAGGAGGAACTGGAGGATGAGGAGGATGAAATTGAGCAGGATGAGCTGATTGAAGAGGCCGAAGAGACTGGCGGCGAGGATCAAAAGGAGACGCTAATGGTGGAGGGTGAAGATGATAATCAGTATGTGGTGCTGGAAGTCATTCAGATGCCCGAAGAGGATGAAGAGGGCCAAGGTTCCAGGCTCAATGAGGAGTTTCTTCTCTCTGACCGTAAGTAAAGTGACAAAAGTTGTGCAAATCGTGACGGAAATACTGACTATCTTATCTCTGTGATTGAAGATATCGAGGAGGAAGTACTTCAGGGCATTAGTGATCCCAACAAGAAGCTTACGTTGAAGACGGAGGACGATGAGGAAGATAAGGATATGAAGGATTGCTTTGGATTTGATGTAAGTTTGACGTAGTTTTAATGATAAATGAACAGATTAATAATATTTCCTGGTCAATTTTCAGGAGGTAGAAGAGGAGACAGTCGTGAGAAATGTCCCTGCGCGAAAATCCAAGAGAATTAGTAATATCGCTAAGGAGTAAAGATATGCTCTCCTATTTTATGTTATAATAAGAAAAAAATAATTTTAAATTCTGATAACATAATAAAGCTATCAATGTCACATTTCTCTAAGATACAGAGTTATCAATCTATAGGGAAATTTATAACTAAATAATTGTAGAAAGGAATCAGTTCGAGATAATAAAGAATTTCAGTAATAAAAACAAAAACACAAGGACTGTATTTCTAAAGCCGTCCACACACGTGAAAGCCGCCAAGTTCATCCTGAGATTTTTGCTTAGAAATCGCACGATATAGTGTGATCCAGCTGAATCACACTACACACTCTTGCCTGAACGGCCTGAAGGTGAAGAGGGAAAAGCAATTTTGAAGTCAAGAATTTTTCCTACATCGCGATTATTGCGAATGAGCGTGAAATTCTCATGTCTTTCAATAGCATGCAAACGCCTATTTTCCATCGCACGAGGGTGGATTTCTCAATTTGACCGGGGAAGGTTGATCGCTTTTGAAACGCAGCAGAATTTCTTTTTGCGCTTCGCTCTATATCAATAGACAAAAGATCAGTTTCGATGAAATTTGGACTTTTTTATACAACTCATATTCAGAAGTTCTTAGAGTCATCTTCTCAAACAACATTCTTTTGCTTCCACCAATTAAAACGTGAAGATTAAAGTTAGATAATACAAAAGTGAGAAAACTGCATTTTTATCATAATTTAATCCTTTATTCTCCGTCTCTAGATCGATTTTCCTCATAATACTTAGCGTTTTGTGAATGCGACGTTTTGGCGGGAAGAGAAATATTCCTCTCGAGGAGAGGAAGTTGCTGCGATTGTTGCGCGCAACCAGAGACAGTGTGAATTTTCGCAGAAAAAGATCAAGTACAGTGAGACTTTAGCAGCTTTTCTCTCCGTCATTGCTCTAAAATGCGGAAATTGCACTCGCGATTGCCACACTTTGGCGACTTGTTGATCTCAAAACAAGATCGCGCACGAGATCGCAGCGTCACGCATTGCTCGGCGATCGGATTGTAATTGAAGAGAAGGAAAATTACATACGGAGGGATTGTATGGGATTTCGCAATGGAGAAATTATGGGATGAGAATTTTAATGAACATATGCAAGAGTGTGATCCTTTTTTCCCCTTTTTTCTTTCATCGGGAAAGGAAAAAGAGGCCAAAGCCTGCCCCGAAATGGAGTGAAGAATGCAGAAAAGTGCGTAATAAAAAGGCATAAAGAAGGTGGACGAAGTGCTGGCAGAATGGAAGGGGACTCGAGAGCCTCTTAGATCACTCTGACTTCTGGTGGGGCGCGAACATATCGTGAGTTGCCGCATTTGATGATTATCCAAAGTTGAGCACTCGACCTAAGACTGTGCTTTAGAGCAGTTTCACCTGCTGTCGCGAGTGAAGAGTGCCTTGCAGCATTAGTGATTTTACCTGTGGGATTACCAGAGGCAGCCAAATATTGAGGACACCCAGCAAATCTCCATCAGGTTGATTAATTTAGTTCAAATGGTTCAAATCTATCAAATCGCCAAAGGGCCGCTTTTGCAATAAAGCGCGCTCTCTCTCTGTGAATTCTTTCGAGCTTCTCACTGGCGCAACATTTCTTTTTTCTCCTTCGCACATTATATAATCACACATACAATTTTCCTCGTCAAATCTTTTAAAATCGTGATGAACTTTTGAGATGGTTTTTTACCAACTAACTTTAATTGAATGGCGAGTGTTTTTTGCGTACCTGCCAAATATCATTGTTGAACTAATAAGTCGATGCGGTGAAAAGATTGCAAAATCCTTCCCAATCAGCTTGTATAAAAGCATTTTTTGAGGGCGGTAGAGAAAAAAAAATCACGTAAATTCGATGATGAATTCAATGCAATTCAAGTGGAGGTTTCACAACACTTTTCACAGCTTTCAAGGCACTTGTAATAACATCTGAAGGGAAAAATTAGGTAAAGCACCAAAAACTGCAATTGAATCGTATAATTACTCATATTGGCCGTTTGCCATATTCAGCCGTCCAAAGAGATTTACACATCGACTTAGCGACAAAGTGCCACAAGCGCGGGCTTTTTTGTGGACAAAATCAACTTATGCAAAATACGCAATGATCATTTTATGACTTGCACCAATATTTACCGTTGAGAGAAGGCAAAAAAGCTCCGTGACAGTGATATTCACTGTCATTATCAATGTTGAGAATGGCAAACATGCTTTATTTGCACATCTAATGCATTTCTTCGCGCGCTCGCATTGTCTTGTTAACAAGACGAATGCCAATTACATGTTTCTTTCCACGTCTTAATAACATCGGCGCGGTGGGACTTTGACTGAAATTGGAGAGCTGTAATGATTTATTGCACTACTTTCTTGATAAATTAATTGATCATTGATTGAGTGAAGGAGAAAAACTTTGAGAAATTTCGATTATGTCATTTCTTTTTGGAAGTCATTATGAAAGAAGATCCATATCTAGGAACCAAGTATCTCCACACCCCAAATATTAGAAATTAATTTAACTTTCGATGTAATAACCCGAATTAAATGATTTTGAGTTCTTTGGGAAAGTTCTTCAAATCCTCTAACAGCAGATATTATATTTATATTCTTATTCTTCATACAATCCCAACAGATTATTGACTTAGAATTGATATTGAAACCTGTCCAAATGACCTCAAACTCGTGTCAGTTCAAAACATTTAATAACTGTATTTCTTATTTGACTGTGACTTGATTATTTTGGTCAATTGAAGAAAATTAAAGTCTACTATTGCCCGACTTTATGCCATATCTTGAAGTCATTATTATTCTTTAATTCCATACTAATGGCAATTAGATATTGTTGCGAAATGCAACATATTCTGTGAAAAATAGCAAGTAATTCAACAAAATTGCCAGATCTCTTCTTGATATTTACGAATCTCGGCCACTGTAATCATGAAATTTCACAGTATCATGAAGAATTCCAAAATTGTTTTTCTAATCATAAAATTTGACCGTCTATAAATTTCACAGCTTTTCTGTATCGTTTTATCAAAAAACCGCACACAAATTATTGAATGAATTGACATGCGAAAAAATACTCAAGTTCATTGCTGTTCAAATGTTTGTCACCATATTACAACAATTCAGATTGCATCACTCAATTCGGCAGTCCAATTCAGGCCTGTCCAATGAAAAGTGAATGTCTTTATGCAATTTTTTGTGGTGTAAAATGAAAGGTTTATCGATGCATAAGAGACGCACGTTGATAGGGATGTGAAAGGACGTTCAATGCAATTACCTGCAGAGTACTTTCGATTTCATAGGGAGAGACACACAGAGACAAAACAAAGCAGGAAAAAAATCTTGGTCATTAATCATCAGCAGACCCTAAAAAATGACCTAAATCCTCACTGATACACTTTTATCCATCGCCACATCATTTCTCTCATATTCCGCAATATCGCCACTTTTCTCTCTGTCTTTCTTTAGCTTAAGGTGCTTCTCGCCTATTTTCTATCCATTACGCCAGTACATTTGTGATGATGCAACGACAAACATTGCACTGAGCATCGCCACAGAGAGAAAAAAAACGTCCAGACGTAACGGCTGAATTGAAGTAAAATTTTCAAGAAGACTGGACACGCCGCAAAAATGATACTTTTGTCAACATATTGTTCATAGTGTGGAATTAAAGAAACGCCAGGGAAAAGAGATTGCGAGAGATGGCCAAAGTGCCATATAAAATGTGATCACCAAAAGTGTGCATAAAAACTTTCTCCGCTTGGCAATTACATTGAGATTAAATAATGTAATCGGACGCCTTGCTCCGCTCTGAGACAGTGTATTAGGATATGTGCTACGGCTGTGACTTTCACGGTGCATTACATTCAGAGAAATCTCGCACTAGAAGTCGCCTCTTTACAGCCTACGACTGTAAATTGGTTGTTAAAGTTAACAAGCGGGCTTGGTAAAAAGTTTCATAATTAAGTCACTCATTAAATGAGTGTGTAATGAACCGTGAATCCCGAATAATTGCTCATTTAATGAGTCACTCAAGTATAAACCATCGTTATCACCTTTCTGCCATCAAGATTTTGAGCACTGAAAGCGAGTGACAATTGTGGCAAAGGTGAGGATTCAGTCTAGGCCATTCCAATTGCTCTTATTTATATTTTTCCCTTGGGATAAGTCATACTTTCCAATCACAATTGCCAATGTGTTGTTATAGCTTTCGTGTCGATCCAGCGATAGTCAAACGCTCATTTTCTAACCATGCATACAGACCAGCGTTTTTATTGCATTTAGCCTTTTATGCCCTCAACATTCTTACGAACAACTCGTGGGTCAACAAAGTCCGTTGCCTTGAAAATTCTCGAAGAACCCGCGCGCATTTGATACGAATCATATTGAGTCACACACTCGCGAATTACCTCAAAACTGCACTTTCGAATGCACAAGTTTTCACCCCAATAGAAAGGTGATTCAATTAAAGCTATATAGCAGCCACAGATAAATGTTGACGTGAATTTCCAAACAACTTGCACTGTGCGAAAACTGGTCTCCGCGTGGTCACTTTTCTCACTTGCATTTCCCGGTTGGTTTTTAGCACAAAATTGCATAAGATCGCTTGAATTAATAGCCATCCAACTCGTTTCGCCGTCTCACGAGAGAAAATAATGTAATCCATACGCGTGAAAGCGCCCAAAGTTGCGGGAGATCATCTCAAGATCATGTCTTTGTTCTCATGCGAGGTTCTTAGAATAAATTATCGGCTACATTATCGTTTTCTCACACATTTTTCTTCCTCATAAACTCTGTGCAAACTTGCCGAAGTGCCATTATACATCAATTTTCAATAATAGCCGAGGTAATTTACTGATGCGCGCACAAGCACTTCCTCCAGGGCGAAGGTGAATCTTCTAAATAAACGTTGAAACTTGATGCTAAACAGCAAAGACAATATGGAATCTCGAGGACCACTTGAAGTTTTGCGTGTCTGCACGAGACAAGAGTAATTATCACGTCTAATGATCATTTTGAGAATACAACGAGGAAAAACTGAGCGATTAAAAATCATCGAACTGGCAAAATTGGAGAGATTTTTAGAAGGCCACGTTCTTTTCTTTAGTTTGAATTCTTAATTTTTAATAAATGAGGATAAATAAACAAAACATTGAATATTTATAAATATATTTAGCCAGCAAATTGTCATTTGCCCCCCGTCATTTCTGATCTTTCTGCTTTTGCCGAAAACCTGTAACGTCTATGAAAAGAGGGGCAAAACTGATGAATGTGCTTTTCCCTCGCGTCGACAGCAAACTCGCGCTAGAAATTCACATTATCCGTCCTTGCAGTGCCCAATGGCCACGACCAGAGTGATCCTGAGTTACCCGTGGAACGGCGGCGGGAAGGGCCTGACCAAGACCACCGAGGAGGAATTGGGTATCAGTGAGAAGGTGCTCAAGATAGCGCGCAAGGAATTGCGCGAGGACGCTTGTGCTCGCGAACAGTGCCTTCAGCAGATCCGCGACTGGCTGAAAAAGAACCCAGATGTGGCGAATGTGCGTGTCGACGATAAGTTTCTGCTGCGCTTCCTGCGCGCCAAGAAGTTCAGCATCCCCATGGCGGAACAGACACTGCTCAAGTATCTCAACTTCAGACGCACCTTTGCCCACATGACCACCAAACTGGACTTCCTCTCGCCCGCCGTTAATGAGTTGATCTCTGGCGGTTACATTTTCGCATCGCCGGTGCGCGATAAGAATGGCCGTCGCGTCGTCATTGCCTTTGCGAGTGAGTAATTCGGCTATATGCGATGGCGTTGGAATGATTTTGTCCTTTGCCTTGCAGAAAACTTTGATCCATCACGACACTGCAGCGCTGACATGGCTCGAGCTCACTTCATCACATATGAAACACTGCTTGAGGATCCCGAGAACCAAATCCTGGGCTTCACACACATTGGTGACATGAGCGGCGTCTCTGCTGCTCATATAACTTGCTGGAACGTCACGGAATTTGCGAGGATCATGAAATGGGGTGAACAGTCCGTCCCGATGCGCCACAAAGAGATCCATGTGGTGAATGTGCACACGACTGTGAAATACGTCGTGGATTTTGCCAAGTCGCTGGTGTCGAAAAAGATCAACGATCGTCTCTCTGTGAGTCTCAATATTCGTAATTTGGGATTGAATGAAGTACCCAAAATCCCAGCTCTACATAAACTAATCGATCCTAATTCTGCTATTTCTCTGGCTTGTAGATTCACGTGACTGTGGACAATCTGATCAAGAAAGTGGACAAGGAGTGCCTGCCACTGGAAATGGGCGGCTCGATGCCCATGGCTGAGATGATCGAGTTGTGGAAGGCAGAGCTGGCGGCCAAGCGAGAAGTCGTACTGTCCCTGGACGAGATGGAATTGCTCAGCGACCGAGGAATCATCAGCAGTCGCGACAAGAACAACAACAGCAACAGTTCCACACAGATGGACTCAATCGCTGGAAGTTTCAGGAAACTCGAAGTCGATTGATCTGTCCATTGAGATTCATTTTGGCTAGGTTTACACACTCTGCTTTTCAATCTCTATATCTTCTTTCACACTTTTCTCTTCTGTCTCCTCTCCTCTTCCTTTTCTTTCTTCAATTCTCGTGAACGACGATCTTTTCATTCACTAACATTTAGAATAAGGACGTTGTAGACGGTGAATTATATTTATGACTTAAGAAACATTGTTGTGAAAGCAAGATTATAAATCTCTGTGGCAGAAAAAACATGACTGCACTTCTCAAGATTTATTTTATCGTCTCACTGAATAAATTTTCTTACCAAGTATAAAAGAAATTATAGCAAAGCAAATATGAAAATGTTGATCAATATGCGATCACCGAAGCACTCTATAGAATCCAATAAAACACTTCGTAGTGGCATCTTTAATATGTAAAACACTCAGAATCTCTTTCTTTCTCTTCTCTATATTTCTCTTATCATTATGTTTGTATCATTTTTTATAATTTGTAATTTAAAAAGGGAACATAGACGAATCCTTTGTACGAAGAACGTGAGATAAATAAAATACACAAAAAGACAAGAGATACGAGAAGGGATTTCACGAGTATTCAATCACTTGTCTCCAGCTTGACCAATACTTTAGAGCGTTAATGAGCGCTTCAGCATCACGCACGCTTTCCGTCTTGTTCCTCACTACAAACACCCCATAATCTCGATGCAACTTACCTCTGCGAATAGCCTCATTGATGAACGCTCGGGTTTCGTCCAATTGATGTCCTGTCGGCGATTGAAGCGTGAAATTCCCGAGAAATCCAACAGCCAGAGAGACTCTTCGCTCCTTCAGTCCCTCAAACTCGCCCTGAAGCGCCCATCCTTGGGCTTCATACGTCCGTCCAGCATCGCTTATAAGGAAATTGTGCGGCACATCTGACAAATTGCGGCCACGGTAACTTTCCTGCAGAGATCTCATGACTTTGGCGCATTGCTTGACGTCAGCACAGCGATTTCCGCGCGTGTGGAATACTAAAACGTGATCCACCATTCGATGATTTAATGGCTCCCCCCGAGCCTCTCCCGAAGCGCCCCATTCTGACCTCCCGATGAGATCGAAAGGGAAATTTGTGGGTCTCTCCTGACCTGCACGTGTTCGATCAAAAACAAATACTAATTCACAGGCCTGCGGAACTTCATCTCAAGGCATTACCTTCAACTATAAGCAGATATATTCCAATACCAAGCCCGCAAATGAAGATGACGAAAAAGATGCAGAACTCCAGGAAGCTCTTTGATGAGGTTCGAGGTGAGGAAAGCAATGGAGTGTTTTCATCAACATCTTCACGCGGTCCTTGGCTGATTATCACATGAGCATTTTGGCTGTTGATTGACCCGGAATACTCTCTTGAGGATCCTGAATTCAGAAACAAGCATTATGAATAATTTTCCACAGGAAATGATTAATATTTACCCTCCATTGTGTAAAATCAGCTAAATTGACTAATGTCCGGAAGACAGGGAAGCTGTATTTCATAGTCAGCTGGAGATGTTAGATCTATGATCCGAGTTCACCCTCATTTTCTCCTAATTGCGCAAAAACAAAGCGATTAGTAGAGAATGCAAATGTGACCCAATTCTTTATCATATGTTTTCTCTAAAAAACACACTTCGAGGTCATTTACTTTTCTACACTGAAAATGCACATTTTCCTGTTGAATTTTACCTGTAATGTGTTCTCACAGCACTCCACACTGTTTTATTCTGCGATAACTAGTTAGAGAAGCTATGTAAAATGCAATTTCTTTTGCAAGAAGGAGAGAATTATTCCTTTGTTTACGTTTCCCTGGGACACTGCAAACTGACGATGATTTGACGTCATCGTGCCACCCACAGCACCACCTTGCGGAAAAACATCAAAATGAGAAACGAAAGCAGTTTTTAGATTTCCTCCTATATTTCCACCAATTTTTGAGAGTCTCTCCGTACACACTCTTCATCTTCGTTCATTCACTTAGATTGGAGCTCAGTCGAAGGAGTAGTCAAAGTAGGAAGAATCAAATACTTGGACACGCACGAAACCATCTTCACCGCCAGTGGCGAAACTCTTTCCATCCGGATGGAAGGCTAAACTGTTGATGGGCCCGAAATGGCCCTTCACGCGGGCAAACTCCTCCTCGTAGATGAGATAGAAAAAGCGGGCATCGAATTTTCCAGCCCGTGCAGAGGTCGTTGTCACTTCCATAGCATCTTGGCCACCGCCTGAGAAGCGAAAGCGGATTAATCACAAAAACGAGCTGAAAATGCTATTTTGAGACACATACCCAGAGCAACGTGATCCATTATCGGACTGATGGCTGCAGAATTGACGTGTCTCTCCGTTTTATAAGTCTTGAGGCATGCCAAATCCTCAGAGTCAAAGAGTTTGGCTGTGGTGTCTTTCGAAGCGCTGACGAACATCGTGCCATCCTTGGACATCTGCATATCATTGATAACCATTGAGTGGTCGTTGACGGAGTTCACCTCCTTGCCCATTCGCAGATCCCACACCGTGATCTGTCCGTCTTCGTGGCCAGTGATGATGGTCTCATCGAGGGGACCCCACAGCATCGACGTGATCTTCGACTGCAGGATGGGGATTCGCAGGATGGCGCTCGCATTGGCCAGACCCTCGTCCGGGTTTCTCACGTCGATGATGAACAACTCACAGCTGTGTCCCATAGCCTTGTCCGTGGAATAAGCCGCCTGGTTGCCGGAATAGCTGAAGTTGCACGTTCTCACCGAGGATTTGCAGGGAATCGTCGCAATTGTGGTGCCACGCTCCACATTCCACAGCCTCGTGCTCATGTCACCACTACCAGTCATCAGCTTCGTGGTAGTCCAGTCCACGTCAATGCACCACACAGCGCCCTGGTGCCCATTGAACGTGCCCAGACGCTCACCATTCAGGGAGAACCACACATTTGGCTTCTGATCCTTCGAACAGGAGAAGAGCAAATCACCCTCCCTGTTATACTTAATCTGCGTAATAGAACGCTCGTGGCCCTGGAGTACTAGGGGTTTCTGTGAAACAGAGAAAACCAATGAAACCTCCCGGAAAAGTTCCAACATTGAGGTTATGTGTCACATGCTTATGGAATAGTATTTTCCAGTACTAATTCTACACTCTCAGATAATCCTTCACATTGAACGGATAGAGAAGATGCTAGACCACTGAAGTCTCACCATTTTGCTTATCCTCAGTAGCTTTTATTTCGGGAAATTCAATGATTTTCACTCAACGCACACGTTTTATTATTCCCTGACGTCATCACACTGACAAATATTCTCACAACGCGGCGCTAAAGTCGCTGCGAAGAAAACCTTTAAGCGCGAGCAAATCATTCAAACTTGATTATATCGTTAAATTTTTATTCAATGTAAATTACTTTTTATGATACATTCATAAATACAAAATTTCCTTTCTATGCAACCATCAAATTTGTTGAATGACAAATAATACTCTTTCTTATAAAATTCCTTTTCTATGCTTCTGTTGTACAAAAAATTGAGCAATGTTTTTTCCAAAGCCATGAGATTTTCCCAAAAAAAACAATGTAATCCATTCCAGCTCAATTGAATCCTCTGAACGAGGCACTTTCTCTGTTTTACATACAATTTCTTTTACTGCTCATTTGTCAGATAAATTTGCATTGCAAATTGCAGACAATGATTAGTCTTCTATTCCTTGTGGGCAAATTTTAATAATCGGGATTACAAAATTAACAATATTTATTTGGCAACAGTCAAATCTCTTCGGTTATAGAGACTTGTGTGCTTTGCAGGGCAATTTTCAATGCAAAGAGGATTGTCTTAGGCTGGAGAGTTGAGAATTCTTAACTTCGTCGTACTTTTGATTTTTTTTCCTTTTCATATCACAACATTTCTTGGCTTTCCCGCTGTCAATGAACGCTTTTTCGTAGATTTTCTTCCTGCATTTCTCCTAACACGACAGAAATTGTCATATTTTACGTAATTTTGGACGGTTTACTCGTATTTGATCGTGACTTCTCTGTCCCAACAGGCTTCTTCACTTCCTGAGGTCAGAAGTTGAAATCAAATGAGGTTTCTTTATCCAAAAATTCTTCAGAATATGTGACAACAAGTCTTTGAAATGATGGTTTCGACCAAAAATTATTGCATTTCTCACCGAATGTATTGAAAAAATAACGATATTTTTCTTGATTTTTCACTATTGCCTACTAAGATACGTATTTTTACTATATTTATCTCTAGATTTTACTAAATTTTCAACTATTCAATGAATATTTTATGGTAAAAAAGATGGATCTTAGGTTAGAAAGGCAAAAAATAAGATTACAATTGAAAAATTATAGTTCTATCTTCAAAGATTTATATCCTAATCGCATTTACTTATAACTTTCTATCCATCTTCTTGATTCAAATTTAATTTTTATAGCATCAAAGAGCAGTCAATCACCAAACGAAGAACTTTTTAGATTGAAACCTCAGGAGATTTTCAAAATTTGCCTTTTTAATTCAAGCATTTTTATTGCATGAACCTCAAGCCTGTCAATTCAGCGAATTCCTGACGCTCATCTTATGTGAGAAAATTCCTTATTTCTTGTTCATTATAAAAGATCCTAAGTTCTAAAATAAAAGGTAGGAATAAAAGCCATCTTACATCCTAAACACAAAAAACAGAAATTTCTTCCTATCCCAATTATTCCAGTGACTTGTGGAATTCTTCACTGGCTTCCTTTCGGGTGAGAAGAGAAAATTTTTCATGAATTTGACATACTAACATTATAAATTATTATTATTCTTGTAGAGCTATAATTACAAGGCACTTAAGTTTTGTTTTTGATACGTGATTGCTTTTACATCTGCCTTTCATCTTAAATACATAAACTCTTCATAATCTTACGCTTCTAAAAAACGATCTATGCTTCTTTTATCACTATGCTATGTAAATAATTATGCTTATATCATAACTTTAGATATTAAGACTTAATATCAAAAATACATACAATGATAAAACTATCATATAAAAATGTTTTCTCGTGTAAAAATGATGGACGTTCATTGCTTGTATGTTATAATCAACATTTAATATTGCATTTTCACTATTCTTCTATCATCTCTTCTCAAAAATTTTCACATTACAAATAGCTTTGCAAATTTTTCTAGCAAGAAATCAGTTCATTTCAGCTCTTTTTTTTTATTCTTTCTATGATTTACAACAGCAAAATATAGCTTTCATGCACATACATTCATGTCTATTCACACACTCACACATTCGTTCCTGATACTTTATATAATCTCAAAATCTAATAGAGAAATATAAAATTTATCATTCTTTTAACCAATAAAAATATAAGAATTTACTTTAAGGCACTGATTTTCTCCTCTAAAAATCTAATAAAACTGACTGCAAATATTCCATCACTGTCGGTATTCTTTTCTCCCTTTCTAGATCCACGTTAGACTGTCCGTTTTCACCTCTGAATCCATTAGATTATCAACATCGTCCAAAATATCATTGTTGAAGCCTTCACCGAGCTGCAAAAGTGAACAGAATACAAAGAAAAACGTCAATGAGTTTAATTTAAGTACGAGTTTGTGTAGATTTTGAACTTACTTGTAGAGAAGGGACGAGATCATCTGTATTCTCTAAAGTACTCGTTTCCAGATTTCCACTTTCTGCAGGACAAAATAGTTACAGACATTCTCCGGGACACTCAATTGCAATTTAAATTTACTAACCACTTATACAATCCATGCTATCATCCATGTTGGCGAGGAAATCGGGGGTGTGTGGCATTGAGTAGTGATTAGAGGTGAGGCTCAGGCCGCTATCGCCGGATTCCTGTCGCGAGTGGTCAGTCACACCCGGTAGAAAAGGATCCATCTGGAGACTGATTGTCTGTAGAAAGAATGGAACAATTAATATTCACATGCCTCAAGAATAACTGTAAGACAAATACTGACCTGATGTTGAATTTCCTGTTGGCGCTGCTTCAGATATTCACGCTCCTTCTGCAAATTCTGAATATTGAGCCATCCTCCGGCATTCCTTGACAATTCTTGTCGCTGAAAATGCTCCGCTGAAAGTAAACAACTCAATTAGTTCATCTCACATTTGCCAGAACTTCTGTTCTTAACAACAACTCGAATATGTATCACACTTTCTATCAATTGATGCGCTTCTAGCCAGATTTGTTGCTTCCTAGAAGCGCGGCAGATGCGGGAAAAAAGATAAGCAAAGGATCACGCGAAGTGTGATTAATCAATTGGCGGGAAAATTGAGGTATTGGAAGTAATAGTTCAATATACGTACGTATTCTTGGGTCGAACCAAGAAGTTGTACGGTTAATATGGTTAATAAAGTAAGTTTCACCAGCAGAAGTCATTGCCTGCTCCCATCCCTCTGGCAGTGGCCCCAAAAGGGGATCAGACGCCACCGATGAGGACGACAACTTTGTCACTGGAGTGCCTGAAAGGATCGAAGAAAGAGTCATTACTATCCTTCACTACATGTTCATATATCATTAACAAAAAAATACCCCATGAAAGATTTATTGACCACAAATTGATGTTTCGCGTGTTTCTCCTCTATTTCAACATGCCCTCAGCAAAATAAAACCACATCAAGACAATTGAATCTCCTCTTAAGATTATATGCAGCTTGTGTACATATGAAGTGATAAGGAATCACTCATTGAACCTCTCAATAGATAATAAATTGACACATTTTAATTAAATCCCCTCAAATCAGGCAAGACTCGTGTTTCTTTTTTTCTGTATTTCAGATTAATCAGAGTAGATGAATTAATAGGCAGACAGCATGTGAGTCATCTGTCAGCATGAATATGAACATTGGTAGAGTCTTATCACTAAATGTTCCTCCCAAAGTGCATTGCGCGGGTCAAAGAGCCGTAGAAATCGCGTGGACTTTGATTTACACTCTCTCACAACATTTATATTCTATTTATAATGCCCTCCCTCATCAATTACATATATTGCTCCGATCTATCTGAATGTTATTCTACTCAAAAGCACTGCATCTGCACTAAAGGGACATGGACTATCGGACTTTTCTAATCTTTCAGTTACGTTCAGTTCAATTCGGGCTATGATTAGCATTTGGCATTAAAATGATATTTCATCAATCAATCTAGGTGCATTAAGGAGGAAAAATGCCTTCTTCTCACCGCTGCTCTGCTGAATTGCTGCGGGGGGCTGTGGAGCTTGCTGGGGTGGTGGCTGACTCCTTAACAGTGAATCTGCACTCTGGTGGGCGGCTAGAGCTTGCTGTGCTGCTAATTGTTTCCTCGGGTCTTCCCACTGAGTCGTACGTGTCATATGACTGCAAGGAGGGAGAAACAAATACCAGTTACTACAAATTCCTTTGAAAATCGATAAAAAAAAACTATCAAACAGGTGTCACACAATCCTGAATAGCCCTGTGAAGCTATAGCAACGCCGACAATCCACAACAAGGGTAGAACGAAAGAAAGAAAAAAAACACTCCTTTTGAGTATGCTAAACGAAATAATTTGGCAAAGGAAACTATGAATGATGAACACATCGTCAGTGACGTTCAATTTTTCAGAATGTATGACGTCGTGTTGAGGAAAATTTACGCGATTTTCTCAACATCATCTGCTGACCATTTTCAGCCATTCACCAAATTTTATATTATCCCACACTAACTCACACTCACTCTCTGCTCTTCTCACTCTAAATAACGAAGAACGCACGCTCTGAGTCAAAATCGAGAGAAGTCACATGAGTGCTGATTAAAAAGAGATCCTCGTGTATCTATTTCAATGAAAATTGTATGTATCTCATGTTATATATAAAATCTACATGTAAACCGGATGTTAGAGGAATAATATTTTGGCAAAGAGGCAGTATGATTATTTGAAAACTACATGACGCCAAGTAATTTTCTCTAGAGTACATCTTCTCGAAACAACTGCACATTTTATTATTTCATCTTTTCTCTCAGTGGAATTACAATTTCTCCAAATTTTCTTCACTAAAAGTCTTCATGGCCTTGCGATCAATGTACTAAAATGCGCGCGCATGTATAATTTTATTGAAAATCGGGAGGAAATGGCGCCTTAAATCTGACTTTTACACTAATATAACATATAAAAGCATTAAATTTAGATCAACATTGCACATTAGAGACACAAACATACAAATATTCTGAAAAATTCCCCATCAATTAAGTGGATTTCGATAGACTTTATTGTTACCTGTAAGCAGTCATACATCTGTTTTCCTCAATTAATTCATTAACTGGCGAATCTTCGGCAGACATACATTTTGCAAAATTATATCAATGTTGTATATTCTGTATATGAGCAAATGGATGAAAATTACAGAGTGAGAGAAAGAAAGAAGCAAAACAACTGACCATATAGCAAAACATCTCATCAGCCGACCATATAAATTCTCAATTCTATAAATATCCAACGCTTCTGTAAACCCCTTTTTCTCCTCCTTCCTTGTCCATACAAAACGCCCTTGCTTTTCACAGACTTTTCTCTCTCATTCTCTATTCATGTTCCATCCGAGAATCCCTAGTTTTTCCCGCACTTCCCATTGAACTAGTTTCAATTTTGGCTCTTAGTGAGCAAATAAAAGTGAGGAGAAACACGATTTTCACAAGAATTACATAAAATATTTCTTCTTTATTGGCTTCACTCTTCACAAAAATTGTTATTTCACCAACAAAAATAAGCTATGAAATTGTGGAAAAGACCTCGAGTAATTTACTCTTAAATTATTACGTGCCAATATTTAATAATAAAACGTGTTGGAAAAATCTCAATATTTCTCCTCTGTCTTCATTACTCAAAATGCGCGCGACTCTCAAAACACATTCTCTTCAATAACTTCAATTTTATTTGCTAAGAAAAACAAACAAATGATAAGCCAAAGTATGAAAATCTAATTAGGTTTCGATGTAAGTTTACAGATCTCACATAGTTAATCCTTTAAGACCATGTGAGACACATTTGTCCCATGAAGAGGATAATTTTTTGCTCATATTTTATATTTTTGTTAAGAAGAGATGCAGTTTCTTCGAATTCTCTGACTCAGACAAATTTCAGATTGATCCAAAATTTACAAGATTTTTTATGAAATCAATTTTATCTTACAAAATTGAAAGAAAAATGCTAATTTTGATTCCTTTCATAATATAAAATATTTGAAGAATAATAAGAAACTATGTCACCCTGTAAGTTTTCATGTGATATATATGAAAAAAAAACACATTCTCACTGAAAGCGAGCATATCGTGGCTGAAGTTGAATTCAATCCTTATGCACAAGAGCATTTTCTACACCTGAAACAAGCTACACCTCAGTTCTTGGAATTGAAAACAATTCCACACAAACACACAACAAAATAACTCTGTGCGCCGTTCATTTTCATAAATGGTGAAACAACACCACTTGGATTTCAACACTCACACACTCGTTTTATCTTAAATGACTTAAAGTTGTAATAAACAAGTTGTAAAAAACCAGCGTTGGTCTGCGAGATGATCAGAGTAATATTGGTTATGGTGAAGGTAAAGAAAAAGCAATCATAACTAGAGACTTAATTCGAAAATATTGTTGTATGAAGAGTTGGTTTTGTGGTTTGGAGACTTTTTATAAAAAGGGTGTATTACTCAAGTTTACTGCCTTAGTTGAACCAAGATCAGAACGATCTGCTATGCAAGCTAGGCCGTAATATAAACTTACATAACACTGGAGGAGTTGATAAGTCTACATCTCTGTTAATTCATTACCTATCTAACTGCTTATCTACCAGATTACTCCTTATAAGACCTTCTTTTGTGCACACGTGTTGGCAATTTATTAAAATCTCGAGTCTCTTTTTACTTTACTCAATTTGCATAATCAGGAACTGATCATTTATGAGAGAGCAATAGAGGTACAAAATTCAACAGAGCGACTGTATTTGTCAGTGATTTCATGACTATACAGCCCAACAATCGCACACAGGTAACATATAAAGATAGGCATAAAATTAAATAAAACATGATGAAATGAAAAAAGTACTTGTCTGAGCACCTTTGCTTCCATGTATTGCTGAGTGCGCAATCCGGTTGAGTCTCTCTCTCTCTCTCTCCCTCTCGTACCTTTCTGTTAGTGTATAAAACCGCTGCTTACTTTTTTATACACACATCCTCTAATGCCTTTACCTTCTATCTTTCCGTTCGTTTTATACTGATTTCACCTATACGAAGAATTAGCAGCATACAATCCATTTCCTCTCCACCATCTCTGAATCTCTTTCACACTCAAACACAATTAAACATAATTGGAGACCACCACAATGAAATATATACACAAACTTGATAATATATACTTAAATTACACTGCGACTCAATCAATTTGGTGACTTTCCGACCTGTGTTTATCGGCAAATATCAAGAAAAGCGATTTTAATCAACTTTGTCTTCACCTCTCTCTCTCTCTTTCTCCCTCTCCCTCTACGAACATGAGTTCAATCCGCGTCATTGCCAAGAAAAAGAACTACATCTTTTTCAGAACATTTACAAGAATTTTCAAAACACTGATCGAAGGAAACACCTGAATAAAGCCGATAAAGAAAATTGAGATCAATGTCCAAGTGAAACACACAGAAATTTAAGTCATAATGTATGCATATTGAGGAAGAAATTTTAAAATATATTATTTATAAAAGCATCACGAGCTCGAGTTGAGGCTTTTCACTCGATTCACTCTATTTAAAATGAAAATTAAATAATTAATTCAACTTTGCCTCAGCTTTCTTAAAACAACAATCATTACATGATGACTTCTCAATTTAAATATCAGAAGAAAAACCTGAACATATCATTTTCCTCATGCAATGCACACTGAGATATTCTGTTTTTCAAATCAGATATTATAGATTCCAATGGTCATTTCGGTTGAGGAGGAATAAAAGTTGTTGACACAGTGAATTAATTACCGCATTTACGGTGACACAGCGCGGCGTCTACAAATATAAGACTGTGAGCAATGAAAATCTATTTTCAGCTTCCTGCACATGTTTCTCAAAAGATCTCTATTCTTCCACTTTCCATACGCGATCTTTTTTTCGGAAGATCGCACGAATTGATCACATCCAACAGGATAAACTCTCAACTTTTCTAGGGTTAATAGATTGCAGAGGCGAGAAAAAAAGAGTCTGTATAATGCCATGGGGGCGTTGCAATCATATAAATTTAGTCAAGTGTGACTAATCGAAGTGTGATCATGGGTGGGTTTCCATTCCAATTACGTATTGCCAACTCTCAGTTTATAACATATAGGCTCAAGACTTCATTCAAAATCAATTTCCCATTTGTATTAGCCAGTGGCGTAGCAATTAAGACCGTTTTCTGTTCTCTATCATTCACACATTTAGCTTAACCCTGAAATTGCAGAAACCCCTCAATAGAAAGCAGAATGCAAAGAGATGTTGTCCGATTTGAGGAGATCTACCTGACTCTTTAAGACGTAGACATAACGATTGTTTACTTAAAACGTGTGCTTTTTCTTGAGACAGAACTTTACAAACCAATAATCAAATTTTCTATTTTCAAAATCACGTTTATCGATAAGTGCAATTTATATGCCTGTCTAAGGCGTTTAGAAATATTCTTTTAATTGCCATTTCATGTGAATATGGCAACTAATACTGCCCTGACTATCTTCAAATTCATACACTTCGTACAGCGATAAACACTTGAATATTTGTCATTTGAAGTTCGTGAGTTGGATCGAGATTTTGTTCGTATGTCGTGTCGATAGACTTTCTTTCTTGAGTCCTACAGAATGTCATAACTTTTTTCGTATGCGTAGGATCTTTCGTGTATCTGATTTTGTCTAGTCATGACATGTTCATATGACATTCTGTTGGATTATAATTCCTATTAGGCAAAGAAAGCCGATAAAGGGTAAAAAGGTAAAACTACGCCTCTGGTACCTACTTCTCTAGCTTTTTATTTCATTTCACAGCAACAGCTTTTAGGTTGTGATGAGAAGCCATGCAGCCTTGTGATTTTACCCTGAACCAAATTATCTTTCAAAACCTACAAAATCTATTGGCATGTGAAAGTCCCTCCCTGTTCTGGATAAACAACCCAAAAAAGATGGCGTGCGATTGCAGAGCCTCGAGGAAAAGTTCTCATCTCCCCATCTTCAATGAATGTCGCTCACACACTTGGCGTTCTTAATTCTAGCATTTGTCTATTTTTATTTACGATTTGTCATACAAGTGGCGCCTTTTGCTTTTCATCTCTACTGTCTGAAGGCGCGTTCTGGGTTGTATTTTAGGAAAATCTCTTCAGACAAAAATATAACGTCTTCAGTACTCTTTTTTTTTACATCTGTTTTCATCGTCCAATTTCAATTTCACTCCGTCTCACTCGTTCCCATTCGCGAGTATCGTGACATCGGTGACGATTTTACACTGTCTTTGCGGTCATATTAAATATTGTATACAGCTAAGAATTTTCCCCACTAATAATGAAATCTACAGGGTTAATATTGTATCCGATCGAGGTGTGTGATCGTGATGTTTTATTTTCTCACCACTTGTGCGAAAATATATTGACGTCTCGGTTATTTTCAGGCAACACCATCGCGAGAGATTTTCAACGTAGTTCTGGGTAAACATATTCTCAAAAAGAGTGCCACAGAGAGTGTGAGCATTCTCTTCGATGGCTGGCGACAAGAAGTTGGCACTTTGATAATGAAGAAATAAACAAATAAAAAAAATATGCTACGACACTCTCTTACTCGTTCGCACAATGATCTCTCTCTTCTTCATCGTCAAACTGTGGTTATTACATCCAAACTGTGACAATACAAGACACTTTCATTCAGCCTTTAGAAATAATCGACATCCCACACTTCTCTTCATAAAACACACCTCAAAAATTCATATATTGCCCAATTCACTCTTCAGAACTTAACTGGAATTTCAAAGAAGCTAGACAACAAACTTCTTCCAACTCTTTGCCACCCCTTTTTTACTGTATGTGTTTGAGTTTTTGTTTCACCTCAAGTGAAATCTTGCAATTTTGCAGCCACGCAAGGTGAATTGCACCAATAATCGTGGGATTAGCTTCGTGTTTAATAAAATTTCCGTGCATCTTCTTTGTCTATAATAATACTATATTAATATATTATTATTTAACATACAAACACTGGTGGCAAGTTTCTCTTATTTTACACAGATAGCACAGATACAAGAATGTCTGATGAATTCAACAATCAATCTTATTTTGTATCCTTGATACGAAACCCATTCCGTTAGGCAATCCAAATATAATTGACACCTTTGGAGAAATTCGATTTTAAATCACAATTATTCACCTTGGAAGAAACACACTCGACATTACTATTATTTCTTATTCACACCACAGCAGAAAGTTTGACGGAAGATTTTAATACTAAAGCAGTGTTGCTTAGTGAATTACAATTCCCTTTCTCATGAGAATCACATGAAAGTTCTCACAATTTATCCTAGAACTTCATTACATTGTCATGATCACACGTTTAGGAGTGTGGAATTGTTTCTTTTTTTTTAATGAAAATATCTTTGAATTACTGCAAGGCCTTGATAGACGTCTATCTTTCAAGTCTCTTAAAGCATTTGGATAGTGAATAAAGCGGCGACGGAAGAAAAAACTCGAGAAAAGTCGACGTTTTGCCGCCTGAAAAAATTATATTGTGTGTTTACTTTGGCGCGATTGTCTTATCTCAAGTGGATCTTGGAGGCTCTATGAAAAAAAAATGAATAATATATTACATAAAAATTCAGACACACTGTTAATTACGCCAGAAATAAAACACTCTTCCTTATTATTTCAGGAAAATGAGTGATTGTGCTTCAAAATTTATTCAATTAAAAAAAAATAGGGGCATTTTTATGTAATTAATTCTACTTCTCCAACTATTTTGAAACATATCATATTTCTTTAGGGTGTCACTTTGAATGCATATAGGAAAGAAATTATTGAAGATATTCGACTCTATTTATAAATTTCTGGGAATGCAATTATCAGCGTCTTTCAATTCTTATCATAATATTTATTTGTCATTTATGAAAAAGCACTGAATGGACGGACCGACGAATGAATGAACACGACATCGCATTATCCGCTTAGTTTTGATCCTTTTACTCACAACACTTTTTAATGCTATTCAACTCGATTTGAAAGAATAAATAAATCCCCTTCGATTTATCTTTCATTGATATCAAGACAATATAAAATGATAATGATTCAACTTCATTTCACAAAGTAGTTATACTTGAGCAGAAAAAAATACACAAATCGTGTCTCTTCTTCACTGCTAATAACTTAATGCGATGACCTTTTATTGTGAAGAAATTTTCAATCGTGATCTTCACGAGTGTTTCTGTGATTCTTCTGCCATTTCAAGACGCACAAATTGCCATTTCGATGCGCACTTTTTCCACCGCTCATTCATACGCGATCATGATTTTTATTTCACCACCATATTAATTATATAATTTATCAAAATGTACTATTTTTATACCTCAAACATTGCGTTTATCTTACCCATTTTCGCTTAGATAACGTCACAGATTCGCAACAAAATGGATGTTGATCTGCGATGTTCGCGACATGTGAATACGACCCAATTTGTATCCGGTTCTGTCGAAATTCTCAGAACAAGTGATTTTCCTCATATGCGTCACCACAAGTAATCACCAAATGAATTCACCGAAATCCCTTTCTGCAATAGTGAAGTCAATTCTCCTCACCGCACTGCATAACTCACCATGCTTCTCCTCAGCCTTGTTTGGTATTCCAAAAAAAATGGTAGCAAGGTCAAGAGAATCGAAATTCACTAATAAAACATCCGCCTACGACTGTCATGCATGATCTTTGGCCTGATCTCTTCAACAGTCTAGCGTCACATTTCCCTTGCAAATCTCTCACCCATTCCAAACGTAACACTCCAGCATTACCCTAATTCACTCATTCAATAAAAAAGAATTGTTATAGCCTCTCTAATTGAGCAATGAAGATGATATGAGGGGAGTTTTTTTCTCTCTTTCCCAATATGTGATCATATTTCCATACTTTGATTGACACAATTATGCTCTCTTTATAGGGGAAAATCACTTTGCCTTGAGTCTCTCCCAGACATTATACATATACACTACACATTGTCAATTAGTCAATAAAGATATTGTCTGACCAATAGGGGTGCTCATATTAGTACTTCTCACGCTATAAGATAGTCAACAGTACAACACTGTGCATATCGCGATAAAATCAACAAATGCAAGAAATTGAAGGATTTTGGATGTCGCATAGCATCACGACTATTCGATTCTAATCATATTTTAATTTCGTTGGAAAACTCTTCCAGACACTTTAATAGATCGCGCATACTTATCGATGTCCTTTCTTTTACTCACGGCAGACTTATTTCCACGGCCACAACTGTACATGCAATTCGATTTCACATAAACTGACCCATCATTCCGACTATATTTCAACCTCTCACAAACCCTGGCTATGTTGGACTTTTCGCTTGTGATAAGATAGTAAATTAAAGTGAAATAGACTTGATGCTTATCACAGTGCGTTCGTCAGTGACAAGGTGACATCAAGTGAACAATTCTGGAGCGCAGTTCAATCGCCAGCGCAAAGTTGGGGATCATCAGCGGCCACCCGAGTAGAATTATATCCCAACAGCTGAACAAATTCTTGATGAGCAGCAGCACCACACATACAGAAACTCTCTGGACAATACATTAAATTCAGTATCTCTTTCACACTCACTTCCTCCTCAAGCATGAAAAGGGGTTGGTCAGTCCATTCGCCCCGAAACAGCCTCGTGAATTGTGGGAAAATCACACTCGATGAACAACCTCTTGGGCACAGACCCATAGAATAGCAACAAGTTGCTAAACTGGTGTTTAGTCATACACATTTTTCTTCTTTTTCACTCTCTCAACACACACACATCATCACGGACTTCTTCGACTTGTGCTCCCTCTCGCTCGCGCTCTGTGTTTCTTGTTAAAGTATAAACTCCAAGTCCCAATATATCTTCACATACAGTCTGATATGAAATTCCCAAGTTGGAAATGTTGATTTTTGCCAGCAACCACAACAAAATAACTACATATAAAAATACTGCATTAACTTATCACAAAGAGATTAAAGGAAAAGGAAAATTAAGTAAAAAAACAACTCCCAATCCAGTCTCCAACGAGTTTCCCCCTCAAACCAGAAGCACTGGCACCGCGCCGCATAAGAAAGCTGATTTGCGAGCGAGATCACAAAGGAATAGGCATCGTCTATCTCTGGGTAATTTAACAAACGTTAATTGAGTGGGGAATTTTTCAACCCAGCGAAACTCCATCAAGAGAGATTCTCCCTTCAGCGCAGAATTTTTATGTATGGAAGATCACCAAGATCATACATTTAGTCAAGATATCAATAAATGCAAACGTCAATTGCAATTGTGAGACGCCCCAGAAGAGACTTGAAAAATATTGAATGCCTGCTTGTCTTACTCATACCACCTTTTTCCACTCATCATCGTGGCAAGTTGAAGAAATCAATGGAATAGAGGAAATTGCTGAAGACAGGCCCAAAGCCAGGGTGCGAAGGAAGGGAGAGAGATGAATACAGAGGATTAGAGTTTGTTGGACATACGTAGAGTAACAAGAAAATCTTCATATACACTCTCAGAAGCACACAATCTCGAAATTATCCCAGTTAGATCACACTCAACTATAGAGTTGTACTCTGGACAGGTAATCGCACTTGATCTTAATGACAATGCGCTGCAGGAAGTGCATTTTGGGGGCCAATTGGCAAAAATTATGCGCTCTAGAGGAGAGCAGGGCCAATTCGAAGAATACTGAGCAATACTACTTCCGCTTGTATTCCTTATCTCGGAAGTTTTAGGGCCTTAAGTATCCTTGCTAGAATCTATTAGGATTTTCAGGAACTGTCGGGATTGGTTTCCGAATGCAAAGGAGTGAATTGCGTGTGATTTACACTGCAGCGGAAATGTAATCTCAGTGGGAAGAGAAAGAAGAAAATTGGGTGAATCTCAGCTATGTGCTGACCATTCCCAGCTTTCACTATTCCTTCGAAATGGCCCAATCTCTCCTGTCGCACTGTGGAATTGAGGACGTGTCGACTTACTTGAGATAGTAGATCTGTCCCTCCGCCGTGCGGGCTTGTTCCCATCCGGCCGGCAGGTCACCGAGTTCGTCCTGGAGCTGGATGGCACTGATCACGTCGTAGCTGCGCTGGGACGCGTGCACAGCCTTCAGTGGCGTCTGTGGCTGTGCCGGCGTTTGGCTGGCCGCTGGGGCGGCGGCTGCGGTCTTCAGGCCCGCTGCATGAGTCTGCTCCAACGTGGCAGGGCTACTGTGGGCCCGCGAGTGGCTGATGGAGAGGCGCTGCGTGAGGACACTGCTGGCCGGGGCGGCGTTGCCCCCAGTCGCGTACACGATCGTGGTGCCAGAACCAAAGGCCGAGTCGTTGCTATTCTCGCGCGAGTGCGAGACGGAGGGCGACTTGGAGCCCGTGGACGGCGGGTTGAAGAAGGAGTTGGGCAGCTTGCGCATCCGCAGTGGGATCTGCAATGGGCGATTTTGCTCGCTGGGCTTGAGGACTGTGTCGAAGAGCGCCTGAAGCTTCGTGGCGGAGTCCTCATCCATGCGCACGACTAGATTGCTCTGCTTCTGGTCTGCATTATTGTTGTTGGCCGTGTTGCTGAGATTGCTGCTGCTTCCGCCACTGCTGTTGTTGAGCGCCATGGCTGCTGTTCAGGAAGACACACCAGCGCGCGATCACTGACCGGAAGTTCTCCTGGGTAATTTTATCAACGGCGCGCGATATGGGAAAAACTGGCCAGTTCAGCGAAAGCGCCACTTCACACAGTCACCATCTTTCTTTTCCACACACTGTGCCTCGATCGGCCCCCGCTCTCCACGTCCTCAGGTGTGCTCTGGGGCAGGTAAATTCAATTAAATCCACCCTGCGCCACCATCAAACACACTTGTCCGCAGCTCCAGTTCCCTCGGACGTCGTCACAGGCCAGATTCCTCTGGACACGCACACAAAAAAACAAGTACAGGGGGGACGAGAGCTTTCGCACCGTGCAAATGTTGGAAAAGCAACTTTGCAACGCCGAAATATCAGATATAGCGCAACAAACGGCACAAACGTCTTAAATAAAGATGGAAGGGAATTAAAATAAGTAACTAAATAATCAGATCCACCACCAAACAGAACACGTCTAACCCCAGCAACGTCTTTTATAAAACTGCGGAAAAGTGGGCTTATTTGGGCGGAAAAGAAAGGGACGACACTAGTCGAGAGCGAGAGAGTGAGATGGATATCGCTGTTATACAAATCTGTTATACGCTACCAGCGCCTCTGATGCTTTCACCAGCGAAATAATGAATATTTCAAATTCAATGGAAATATAGAACTTTTTATATTCTTCCGTTGCTCGCTATAAAAATTAAGATTTCCACATTACGCGCATGTTCAAGTGGGATATGAAAAATGTATAATTTTCATTCAATTTACAGTCTTCTCTTCGAAAAATATTATCTCTGTGTCATTGAACCACCTGCAGAAACTCCCTCGGGCACTGTTCATCATATGGTTATTGCGAAATCTCGTATTAAGGAGTTTGAGTCCTAATGCAAAAATAGAGAATTAAGTTGGTTTGGCAAAGATTCCGCTAAGAACATTACACAATTTCATCTAACATGCCTAATTCTCATAAATGACCTAGGACTAGGAGAGCAATAAGTGTCCTCATATCGATTAAAAGGTTGAATGAGCCTAGATTTTGATCAGGTTGTTGTTGAGATTCTGCTGACGCTTCCTCTTCGCATCCATGGCATCTAGAATTGGCTGTCGCTTAGCGTGATACTTCCTCCCCAGTTCATCAATCTCCCTCTCCATCTCCTGGTCAATGTTCTTCAGTCTCTGCTGTAGATCATCGAAGCTCAGGAATTTCAACTGCAAGACCACAGATCATACAGTAGAGGAATTCTCAGCTTCCTGGCCAATTACTTACAAATTCAAAGTCACCATCAACAAAGTTCCTCTGATATTTCATGGGATTCTCGAGGTTTCTCATCTGCAGATTGATCACATTGTCCGCAGCACCCATTTGATGGTGCAGCATCTGCTGCATTCCCGCCGCATTTGCCGCTGAAATCTGATTCAGCTGCAGTTGCAGATGCGACTGATACTTTTGGCGCTCTTCATTCACCACTGGAGGCGATGTCGCCTCCGCTGGTGGCGCCGAAGGCGTCACAGGAGTTCCGTTCTCCACGTGAGGCACATGTGGAGTCACTTCTGGCATCACCTGAACACCGCCGGCGGCTACATTTGTCTTCCTGTCGAAATGATCCATAAACAGTGGCCGATATTTGGGCTTTTCCGGATCTGAATCGTGCTCTACAACAGAAGAGATGCATGAGTTCCAACTTTTATTACATTTCATATTCCACATTCCAGCGGATAAAACCATTGTACCTTTCATTGTGGCGTCTTCAGAGTCACTATTGATGACCATCGTGCCCAGATTTGACTCCAACTCCACCATTGTACCTGTATCCGGAACCAGAGTTCCGCAATTTGTATGAGCAATCATTGTATTCCCGTCCGTGTCATTATCCCGCTCAGGTACAAGAGTTTTCGAGTCATCAGGAAACTCCTTAATTGTCTTCGAATTTGCCGCCTGGTCATCGTCATCCTGCAAGAAAGTTGAATATTAGATTTAGACAACTTCAGTAGACAAGATACTCACAGTCTCCTCGTGCTGATTCTGTAATTGCTTCGCCTGATTGATGGCCATTTGCCTATTGCTCTGATTTTCCCTGATCTCGTGCGCTTCAGCGATCATCGCCCTGAGAATACTCCGCGGTTTCACATTCTTAATGAACTCATGCTGCAGCAGATCCGTCGCCGTGGCCCTCTCTTCCGGATTCTTCACCAGGCACATGCTGACGAACTCAATGAACTCCGTTGACCAGCGATCGGGCTCTCGGAATGACGGTGGCGGTCGCTGTGGGATCATGAAGATCGCCCTCATGGGATGAATATCGCCGTACGGTGGCTTTCCCTCCGCCATCTCGAGTGCTGTGATGCCCAGCGACCAAATATCAGCCACGCAATCGTAGCCGATCTCCTCAATCACCTCCGGAGCCATCCAGAAGGGCGTCCCAATCACCGTGTTGCGCTTCGCCATCGTGTCCGTCAATTGACCAGCAACGCCGAAATCCGCCAGCTTCGCGTGACCCTCCGAATTCAGCAGGATGTTGCCCGCCTTGATGTCCCGGTGGATCTTCCGGCGCAGATGAAGATACTCGAGGCCTTTCAGCGTATCACTGAGAATTGTGGCGATCTCCTCCTCGCTCAGTGTCTTCTTTCTTAGCCTCATGATATCCGAAACACTGCCCGCTCCACAATACTCCATGCAGATCCACAGATCACACTGCTTGAAGTAGCTTCCGTAGTACCTGACCACGTAAGGTGAGTCGCACTGCTGCATAATGGAGATCTCCTTGATGATCTCATGCAGGTCCGACTCCACCGGCACCAGTTTTATCGCCACAACCACTCCGCTTTCCTTGTACAGCGCCTTGTACACACTCCCATAGCTTCCCTCGCCCAGCTTGCAGATAATGTCGAAGACCTCCTCAGGCGGGCGAGCCAGGCTCTCCTCTGACAGCTTCTTCAGCTCACTGCAAAGACAGCCAAGACCATCAACTTGAAGCCCCTCACGTGCACCCCAAGAACAGAGCATCCCCAGCTAATTAAATTACATAACAAAGCGTCAAACACAAAGTAATCAATAAGACTTTTCAACTTTTGTCTCGCCTCGCGGGGGGCATTTTCCCAACAAATTTCCACCCACGCGACACCACGTACTCATCACCCACACTCCCCACAAGCAAATACTTTACCTCTCCTGCATCCTTCTGTCCTGAAAACCCTGATTTTCCTCTTGTATTTACCTCGTGGAAGACGACGACATTCTTGGGAGAAAACAAAAATCACTCAAGTAAAAACGCGATTTCCCTAGTAAAATTCAGCCAATCTCATAGCTAAAACAACTTCTGTAGCTCTCAGTGGTGTTTTTCAGCACCTGGTGACACTTTTCCCGTGAAAACTCCGATAATTTGGCCAGAAAATAAAATTAAAACACAAGATCAAAAAGTCTTCCTTTTTCCACTGAGAAAATGACAATATCACAGAGTGTTAGATTTTGCCACAGAGTGGCGCAGCGAGCAAAAAGAGGGTAGATATCTTGTATGAAAAATGCCGCAGCCGTTGTTGAATTTTACAAGATATGGAAAAGCGAGTGAGAAAGTGTGGAAAAGTCCTTGGCAAAGTTTATTTGTTGTAAAATTGTCAAGTAGAAATAGGTATATTGGATATATGAAGAATTATCGGTAAGCAAATTAGGAAGTGAAAGGATTGGAAACAGACATGATTTAACTAATTTTACGAGATTTTAGGTATTTTAGAAATCAGCACATGTTAATAGGATGGGATGGGTAGTTTTTAAAAATCTGAAGGGAGTTTATAGAAATATGCGGGTAGTTTCCAGAAATATGAGGAGAGTTTCTAGAAATGAATGGGTAGCTTGAACACAGTAAAAGATAAACCAACATGATCATACTTATTTCCTTACTTAATTTATTTAGAATTCTCTTATAACATAACACAAGACTGTAGGCAATTTATTCGATATTAATAAATCTCTACTACTTTCTAGACTTTCTAACTGGAATAATTTAATTTTCTCAAGACACCCTTTTAGAGGGTTCCTTTGTGGCTAAGATTAGGACAATGTTTTAGAATATCTTAAGTCAGACATTTGATAACACACTTAACCTAGGGTTACTTTAGTGGGGAACGATTTTCACAATACTTTGTGGGAGTGCTTTGGTTGCGCTGCTGCCGCTGCTTGGGCTTCACACCCAAAGGACGCGCATGCTTTCGTCTTCTTTCAGCAATCGCGATCGCAGGGCAGCTTTCTTAGGTGGCACAGCCGGCGCAGAACCCCAGCAGCGGTGCAGATTAGTCAGTGGAATACCCACTTTGGTCAGAGTGGTCGGAGGATCAGGATCGGGTGCTGTTGAGTCACTGGAGACCGAGGATGATCGAGGTGTGCTGATCAGTGGCAAGCCGATCTCCTGGAATGAGTTTTAGAAGTTAGTTAAGGTCAAGAATGCTCATGTTAGGTGTCAACCTGAAAGGAGCTCATGGAGCTGAATCCACTCTCATCTTCAATGCATCCTGGTTTGAGGATGCTGCTTTGACAGGGTATTGGCGATGGTCGTTCTGGCATTTCCTCGTCAGTTTCTGGCTTAGAAGAGGCTGTTGAATTTGAATCTGAGGTGCTTCTCAGGGATGAGCGACTCTCGCGAGAGTCCAGTTTGTGGGCGAACAAAAGGTTCTTCGCTGGGGTGGTCAGGAAGAAGAGGGAATCATCAATGGTGGGCTCTGTGTTGGCCAACATTGGTTCGTGGGTGTTCAGCAAGTTGTTCACATTGCGAAGCAGGCGGAAGGCTTCCTGGGACAGCTTCTCTGTATCCATTGTTGTGCCCGGTGTCTGATTTTGAACAGAAGAATGTCTGGGCGTACGTCTCCATGTGAAGTCCCGGAAGTTGCTGTAGGACGAGACAGTCTGGATGGAGTATGTGGACTCATTCATGTCACTCAGGATATTGCGGCGTGGCAAGGTGATCTCCAGGTCACTCATGTTCGTGGTGCTGCGAGGCCTGGTCGGTGAGGACGACATTGGAAGTTCGGCGGGATCGATCTGAAGGGCGCTCTTGCTCCTGCTCAGTGATTCCTGTTGCATGGCGTCCAAGCTTGTATGGCATCTTTTGAGGAAGTGTGCAACACTCTCCATCAAAGCGCGGTACATTTGGCGCGATGATTCAATCTGTGAGCGAGGAAATGAGGATGTAATTACATCTGAATATGGAATGTGCGAAAGGTTTTCCTCATACTTGCTGCATTTGCCATTTGAGGGTGTCCACTTTATTCTGCAGAATCATCATCTCGACTTGTGGATTCTCAGCATTGCTGGATGTGCAGTGCAAACGGCGATTTTCCTCAATGAGGTTTTGGCATTTCTGCAAGACAAAAGGTTTGCAATCAGAGTCAATGAACAGATAATGCTTGTGCTGACTGAACGTCTCGGCAAAATTCCTTTGCCTATCATATTTCGCAATTTATTGGGCACGTGGTTAAGCGAAAAAAATGCCTCAAACTTACATTCATTCATATTTCATTGGGAAAAGAATTCAGATGGAAAAAGAGCTCTAAATCAAGTAAAGTCGGCAAAGACGTTCATTGACTTTCTCCATATAATGTATCTTAGGAGTGCGGACAAAAGAGTTGTTCAGCGTTGATGAAGAAATGGTCTTATAGTTAAGCTCAGAAGAAGGTTTTGAATACAATAACGCATTCAATCGTGTGAGATGGTATAAATCAGTTAGAGAACTTTACGGTTACTGAAGATGAGAGATAGTTTTTGCAAATATGCATGAGAATTGGACGATTTCCCTCTGGTAATACATAACATTTGTATGATACATGTTTACATAGTCCTCAAGAAGGGAAAGATATTGATTAAACAAATGCTATCCTAGTAATTCCCCTGTTCGTGCTCATTTTGCGTGATCAATTTTTGTGGTTTTGGAGTATTTAAAGTTTAGATGAGCTGAATTAATCAATGAATAGTAGTTGACTTTCATTGAAGGTATTGAAAAGCTTTAAGATTTAATTCAGTCTACCGAACCAAGCAAAGTGTGAACTTATCAATTTCTTTCTCTCGTGTGACACCAGGCAAAAGCATAAATGTTTCAACAATTTTAATTAAATTGTTGTCAAATGTGAGTAAATATTACAGAGAATGCTTTCGCAATTGCATTCACCTTCGGATTGGATACAAGATTTCCAATTACACATTGTTTCTCTTTTGTCACCACACTTTGTTAAGTATTTTCACCAATTTGTCTGTCTGTCGCAATTTGGCAGGAACAATAAATTTCAGTGTCACTTCCGTGCGCCTGTTTCGCTTTTAAAATCTTACCCCAGAAACGGCAGAAGCATAAAGTGTAAATGTCGTGTCAGAAGATCATCAATGCGGGACGTACAATCGTCATTCCCGGGATGAAGAACAATCATGGGAAAAGAAGGGAGAACCACACAATTGTGGCAAAGAGTGACCGGAATACAAGTTATTCGTGTTGGGCTTTTTGGGGTTGTGCCTATTCTCAATCGACTTCTCAGGTGGAAATGGAATGAAAAAAAGAGTGGAGAATTACCTCATGAACCCGAGAGATGTACTCTTTTGCGATTTTTCTGTATATTGTAATACGTTTCAACTGGTACGTGTTTGTGTAAAGTGGAAATATCTTTCTTCACGCAAGAGCAGCAGAGCGAAAAGTTTGATATCCGCTCCAACTAGAGTACGCAAGAATCTGATTTTTGTGTGAGAGAAAGAACTGAATGCATCATTTTCACCGCGCGTCCCGACAATTGTTGTGATTTATTAGGAGTCTCGAGCTGCCAAAGGTGTACTTTGTCAGAGAGAGTTACAATTCCGGAAGAATATAGTCCTAATTAGTCTCTATACATCTTTTCAATTTCATGCAAAGTGTGGTGAAGAAAGGATGACATAAGAAGGTTCACACTTCAGTATGTATGAATTACAGCCATTTTCTTGGAAAAAGTAAGGTCTTTTCCATTTAAATCTCCATATGCGGTGATGATAAAGTCAGTAATTTAATTGTATTGCTAAAATTTACTTTCACTCTTTTTCAATCTGGAAGTCAGTTGTTTTTTTCTCTCTCGCCACAGCCTGAAGAGCACTTCTGGTGGCATAAAAGGCATACATCTGAGTATATGAAACACCTTGGCATGGTTTCAATTTGTTGATTCTCTTTCAAAAGCCTCCACAAGGCAATTATTACAATTGTATGGACATCTTTATTGAAAGCGCCATAGAATGAATAAATTTAAATTAAGAGCCATACTTTGATTAGCTACCAAACATTGCCTATTGAAATGCATTGAATTGAACGTGGATCAATACTTCTTTTTGATCCTTTCGGGGCACTCGAGTGGGTGGAGCTTCCGAAAATATCCATTGGTCTCAGTTTGATGGCCATTACATTTGCACAGCAGTTGAAGATCATGTGAAATTCTCTATGCTCCGCTCTAAATACCCAGAAATCTCGTTCTCTGCTTGGTCAGGTTATTTAACTCTCAATGAATTGTGAAGAATTTATTCTTGTCATGCGTTGAATTGAAGGATTTCGTGCGTTTTTACCTAATAAAAAATTTCTTTTTATTGCACATCTAGTGTAATTTGTGTGGGAGATGAAATTGCACAGACTTCTCATGGATGCACTTTATAACGAATTCATAGCTATATATATATATATATATATATGTGCAAATTCTCATGCACGGCTATTGTCTTCTAAAAAGTGGTGTTAGTTTTTACCATTGAGCTGCATATGGAAACCTTTTCTCTTTCTATCTCACCATCGCACAAAGAGCTGCAGATCAAGAGATGTCAGATAAATTGCTCTTAACAATAAATTCCAGAATATCCGTATTGTATTCTTTGCAAAATTGCTCAATAGACGTGCATAAATGCAGGGAATTTTATGATGAGATGTAACAGATTTTCTTATATCGGTTTTTCTCAATAGTAAAGTTATCACATAATAAATGCGTAATTCAGTTCGTAATAAATTCGTATTCTAATTCTCAGAAACGGAAAAAAAACTTTCTTCAAACATAATCCGCACTACATAATACAAGTTTTAGCTTGTCCCTGAGTGCGATTACTATGGTTTCTTCTCTGTTTGCTGATAAAATAACAGAAATGTTATAATGCACAAGCAGCATAGCTGAACATTTTGCGTACTCACCCGTTGAGATGATTTAATTACAATTGCAATTGAATATTCATTTCACTTTCATGATCATTATTTCACCTTTGGTTTCTTCCCGCAAGGCATGCATTTTGACCCACTCAAGAATGGTTATTTTATTCCAGGAAAAATACGTCTTCGCTAGGGCATGAGTATTAGCAATATTTGTCAGATTGTACAAATGTGATGTATCGTGAAATCTTAAGGGGAAATTAGCAATTAACGTACACTTATTATGTTTCGTAAAGCTTCCTCACTGTGAAGCATGACAATATTATTGGGTGAGTTATTGCAGCAAACGATAAAGAATGCTAAAAAACACATCATTATATGGCGTAAAAGGTGTGAAGAAAGATGACACAGTTATAGTGGTAAAAATTTTTGAATTTTGAACAGGGTACAATATTTTGGCACCTGCCTTAATGGTGTGAAACATAAACCCAGAAATACAGAAAGTCAACATTTGGGACAGATTACATCCACCGTTTGTTTTTTGCCTCTGAAAAACGGAATGGGTAATTTTTCCCCCAACAAATTGTACATATAATCAAGAACCATTTGCAATTCCCACTGTTTTCTCTTACTCATAAAAACCAGTAGAAAATTTAAGCAGGAAGCCTTGGAGATTTAAAGTGTTTGGGAAAAATTTCTCCATACAATAATAAAGTACAGGAAAATACGAGTGATTTATCTCGAAAAACTAGTTTTTCAATTACTGAATCACTCAATTGATTGGCGTTGAAAATAAAATTGATATTCACTTCCATGCTAATTACTCATAATGTTTTATCTTTCATTCAGTGCGTATTAAATCGCCTGCGGTGGTGATTTTTTGCAATACTGATGAATTATTTCTGGTATAGACCAAAGATGTCAAGCGAAAAGATGCTAAAAGACAGCCCACGTATAATTGACAACAATTTAACTGTATATTCTCTGGCAAAAGAAACTTTCTTATAATTCCGCTTCTCTTGAATGCTATGGAGGAGTGTTTTGACCCCTGGCTTTGATGCTACAATTTCTATGATGTTTGAGATTTTCCCTCATTTTGAAAATCACGCGGAAGCTTCTTATTCATAAATGTTTATACGGAAAATACAGGCACGAGTGCACACAAAAATTTGATGGTTTTCCCCGTCGCGACTACATGAATGAAATCTCAATTATGGGAATATTTATATGTCGCAAAAATTATAACATATCAATGTTTGAGGCCCTTTGCAACTCTTGGCGTTTGCATGGTATTTACTAAACACTGTGTTGCTCAATAAGTCGCCACGAAAAATACACAATCTCCTCATCAATCTTGTGGTATATATTTCACCTTCTGATCGCTTCTTTTGTGCAGATCGGTATTCAATAAAATTCCAACCATCTCTTGTTATCAAGAATCAGCCATACTATTCAACGAAATAGTTGTACTCACGTCCATATTTATAGGTCTGTATATAAACAGTGCAATGTAATGCTGTTGTATGTAATATTTTCACCTCAGAGAGCAAACTTCTAAGTCAGTTGCATCGAGGCCTTTTTCTCTGTATGGCATGGGAGTGCGAAACAAGAATAACAAGAGGTAGGGAATTGGGTCAATCTCTGTGAGCAAAAGTCTCTCCATCAAGAGTACCAAGATAGTGTTCTTCGCGCTGGCGGCGAAAGAAAGCAATCCAACTGTTAGTCAGCAATTAATTTTCCAAAGAAGTGTTGGTCTCGCTCTTTCTCTCACTATAATTATTTATAAGGTGTGGGATCTGATCTGCAATTTTTGCCTATACCATCTCTTGAGGGTCACTTCTTCTCCCACATTGACACCAATTTTAACAAGACCATGCAGAGATGCTGAATGTTTTATATTTGCCATGAATATAACACGCAAAATTTGCAAAAACACCCAAAAATTTTGTAAAAAATTAATGAATTTATCCGGCAAGAGTGTTTGGCCATTAAGTTTGACAAAAAACTGTGAGTGTGAATTTAAATGTAGCGCAATAAACATCTTGTTTAATGTTAGCCACTGAAATAAGAAAGCTCTTTCTGCACCCAAAAATGGGCATTTCATTACGGATATTATATACTCGTGCGCCGATGTATATATTGCAGTTACATTACACAGAAATTAACCAATTTCAAGCTCTCATTTGCGTCAGTGTGCAGAAAAAAGGGGCAAAAAGTATAATGAAATGAAGGGGAAAATGAAATTATTTATGTTTGTGTCACCGAAATTTTCGGCATATGTAATCAATGTAAAAGTGAGTGACATTTTTATCGTGACATGAAAGAGATTTCGGTAGCTCAATGTGGGTGGGTTTTGCAAAGAGAACCACTATTTAAGCAATTGGCAAGAGATTATTATGAGCAACACGTAATGTGGTGAAGGGTAATGGAATTATAAAGATAATTACAGATAATTTTTATAGCTCAAAGACAATGGCAAATCCTCAAACATCATTAGTCACCTTACATTAACTCAATATATAGCAATTTCTTCTGCACATTTCCCTCAATCACTCAAGGAATGTGTGGTCACATGGGTTTATCTACATATCAACTAGAGAGAAGAGTCGTGAGATTAATTACGTGTGCAAATTAGAGCAATTGTGTTGTGGTTGCTCTTTAATTACTCAATCACCGCTGCTTCTGGGCTGCGATGATGAGTAGAAGAAAAATAAGAAATTTCATTAGAGCAGACGAGTTGTGGTAGGTGAAACAATTGGTGATTTAATTGGCTTATCACAAGCACTGGATGTTTTGTTAAACACATGTTTTTCTCTTCTCACACCTTCTATTTGTTTATCCTTCCTCTTAAGAGTATGATCATTTCTTTGTCTTGTCCGTTGATAAACAGGAAATGCCATCCGGATGAATGTTAAGATTATCAATTTTGGACGATATTGTTTTTAAATTATAATTAATCAACGTTACGATGGTTGCTTAGATTTTCTGCGAAGAGGTCAATGCAAGATGAAAATGAAAGCAGATTTAAATAAAGTCAGCAAATATTCACAATGTTACGTGATGAGCATCTTAGCAGGTAAAAGTCGGTGACATAAGGAGTCTAAATCTCTCTCTCTACACCCTGCCTACAGGTAGTCATGATGTCTCCGTAACGTGAGGAAAAGGGATGCAAGTATTTTAGGTGCCGAATTGACAAAATTCTGTGAAATTTGCGCATTGCAGATGGGGAAAGTGCAGTGCATGCATTATAAATCGTCCACCCTCTCGGCAGAAATATTTTGTCAGACCTCTCAACACCGGAATATTAATTTCTACAGTGGAATGTTGCACATGGCTTGGGTAAAATGCGGAAGAGTCAATCTGTGATGGATTTCTAGACAACTTTCAGATTCCTCAAGCGTGGGTGAAGCGACTCAATTATAATGGGATTCCTCAGAATTGTTTAGACTCACCTTTCGCAGCCGTAAAACCTCGCATTCTGTCGAATCTTGGGTTTTCCTCGGTGAAATTCGCTGTTGAGAGATCGTCTCTTAAGTTTCGATGGAATATTTTTGCCATATGCTCTGACGAAAGTTACCTGAGAATTTAGCCAGAAATCCTTTATTTCCATTGGGGTGACTTCTTCTCCACTATCAGGACTTTGAACTTCATCACCGGGTGATTTTTCCTCCTTGGCGGCCACTTTGGCAACCTCTTTGGCTGGAGGATGATCGTCAAAATTCAGCGGAATATCCAGTGATCGCGTGAAATTTGACTGATTGAGCATGAGTGATCTGGCGAACGAACTTTGGAAGTATTGACACTGAATCCCAGATTTAAGATCGAATTCCGGCTTTGGAATTCGCACTTCATTACTCTGCAGACGTGTATCCATCTTAATTCGCTTCTTTACAATCTCTTATAAAATCACACTCACACATTGACCGCAAAAATAGAAATCACTATGAACTTTATAACGTGATTTTGGTCAAAAATTGGGCAATTGTTCTTCTCTTCTAGCTTCAAATGTTTTCAGTGCCGAGATGAAGTGCAACCGAAATCAATCGTGCAAAAGAGAACACTTATTGAACACACAGTTTTAATTAACTGAACTTTGTGCAAACGTCCACTTGCCACGGAACTTCACCAACGAATGAGGTGAATGAAGACACCACAAGAGTTTAGAGAGATTCTCTTCCCACAATTCCACAATATTCAACATTCAAGCTGTGCCGCTTCACAGATGGCGCCATATGTAACCCATATGATATTTGCTGAACTTTCCAATGAAGACGCAAAGTTTGACTGATCGAAAACTTTCATTTATGTATATATATATAAAGAAACTTTGCTTTTTATTTTCATCATTTCTCATCATTCACATAGATTGTTCACATCTTTTCTTAAAATTTCTTTTAATAGCAATAAAAAACAAAGAAAATATTCTTTTTTTTCTTTTTCGGTCCTGTTATAAAAAATATAAATATTGTAGGTATATTTTTTCTCTGATTTTTTGTGATATTTCTCTTGTCAAGGGCGATAAAATCTAAAACATAACATTAGTTTGTATTTTATAAAATATCTAAAGACAAAAAAACCACTGAGGTATAAAAATCATTTCAAAATATTTTGCGAGGAAAAATATTGAGAAATGCAGTAATAATAAAAAAAAATCAAATAAAGAAAATATTATTTTATATAATTCCTTTTACTGGCATTTTATAGAATTATATACTCTGCGATAATATAACATTAGATTTATAATTTCTTCCTTCTGCAAAAGAGTTTTGGGCAGTTTTTTGTAACCTGATTGAATTGTTTCTATATAGAGGACAATTTTTATGGAATTCCTACAATTAATAGTGAAGGAAAAAAATTGAGTCGTCACATTTTTTTCTCTATAATATGCATATAAAAAGTTATACATTTATACTAAAAATGTAAGCATATACGTATATTTTTTTCTATAAATTCACTTATATAAAATATTGACTAAACAACTAAAATGATCACTAGCTGAATTCATGATCTCATATTTTGCAACAAACTTCTTGTTCTCCTGTGTGTTTAAACAAAAAGAAATACTCAATACTATGGCACAGTATTTATCCTTTTCCGTGTTTTTTATTTACTTGAAATATTGAAAAAAAAAATGCAGTGCGCGTGAACGTTGTGATTTAACCCAGGATTAACAGTGTGTTTTAGTTAATTCTCTCATGTATAGGAATCAATATACATAATTACACATTGCCCTTTGTGATGAGAAACTCATAAAAAGTAGTTGGATACATTGAGACTAGCACAAAGAATATAAAATAGGTAGTAAAATATAAAAATTGCCGATACGAAAGATTCTTCAATTATTGGGAAATATGGGGATCATAAGGAAAATTATCTAAAATATTTTGATTTATAGAAAAGAAATTAACTGAGATTTTTCATTTGCTCACACATTTTGTATATAAAAATTACAAATGTAAAATTATTATTAATATTAATAACACAATGTTTCTCTTTCTCATCTAGAAAATAGTGTATAATATACTATATAAGACATACAAAATAAGCAAGAGAAATATATCTAGCGATGAAGTCTCTACAAAGAATTCATAGCTATTTAGTCTATCGTTACTTTTAAAACCGATTATAGTAAAATCCAATTATTCATTTTCTTACATCTCGAGAAATTATATATCTGCATCTCGTCTCAATTTTCTTTTTTTCAAATTTTATTAGGACTTCTAGAGTAAATCTTAGTTAACAAAACTTTAAAGACCATCGGTAATTCGATGCTTTTCCTACACAATCATCCACATTTCGTAATTCGAAAATGGATAGGTAATATGTACAATTATTATTAGTATAGCTATATCTCAATAAAAATTTCTAACATTAATAACTTATTAAACACGTGATTCAGGCACTGTTGATTTCTCTTGGTCAGTCTCTGAGTTAGACCCAGGGTCGATATCAATTCGATGTGCTTTCTTCCACACGACCAGGTCCATGAGGAAGGCGAGGGCCATTATTCCCGCTGTGGCTCCTGTTTGGATTCAATGGTAGAATATTTAAATTCACTTAGCACTTAGGCAAGGCGCTCTAAGCCCTAATCATCTAATGTAGATCAGTTCAATTTTAGAATCTGTATTGCATTAGATATTTATGGAAACAGCGAAACATTTCAATATTTAGATGCCTCGGAATTTCAATTTGTTTCTTTTATGTGAGCAGAGCTTCTGTAGCTCAACTTACCAAGGAAGAGATGTCGGAAGGTTGTAATGTTGTAGAGTGAACAAGCTCCTGGTTTTCCGCAAACTGTCTCCCACACTAGACACGCCGAATCCACAACGGCTCCGTAAATTATCGGACAGGGCACATTCCCGAACAGGCCTATAGCAAACTGAATGATTCCCATTGCCATGGCTTTGTCTGTAAACGAAAAGACAGATTGGGTTATCGTGTTTGGCGTCCGGAAAGTATGTCTAGGTACCTTTAGGATCTGTACATCGCATGATGAGCAGCATGCTGCCCACCTCGGATGTGCTGTGCATGAAGACGAAGAAGGAGAAAAGGGAGATGAAGAGCCAGAAGTTCTTGCAATTGCCATCACAATAGCCGCTGACAGCGTCTGGATGATATGGGCTGTCCAGATTGGGTGGAATGCACTGACATCCGGTGAATGTCATCTGTCCGTTCTTTGTGATACTGGCGTTGCAGCCGGCGTGACAGGAGGAGAAGTAAGTGAGTCCATCAGAACCGCAAATGGGTGAAAAACGATCCATGTCACATTGGCACGTGAGATTGCACGGAGGCTCGAATTTGGGCAATGGCGCCCGATTGTCTGGCCGGAAGCCAACAAGATCGTCCATGGGACAGCCGACGAACATGAGGATTGCCATGCCACAGGCGTAAACCATTGCTGTGAAGGCAATCCATGCGGCCACAGATCGTGCTGTGGGACTGAACTTCAGGATCACCACGCCACTAATGACAATACCCACGCCCATCACGAGGATGCCACCCACACCAGAGATCAGATTGGCATCGTGCGCCGTGAGTCGGAACTGAGATTCCATGTACTTGGGCAGGAAGGTGTAAAGACCGGCCACGGGGAGGAGATGGAGCACAGACGAAGCTGTCCGGAACATGAGGATGTCATTGCGGAGTTGTCGCTTGATCGTCTTGGGGAAGTCTTTGAGCTGGGGCGTCTTGTACTCCTCCTCTTGCTTCTCCATCTTCTTCTGCGCCTCAATGGCTCGCATCTTCTCAGGCGGCGGTATCCGGTTGCCTCGCAGGTGCTTCGGGAAGGAGAACATCGCCAGCGACGTGAGAGCCATGAGGGAAGATACCAGCACGAGACCTGTATTGGAGGAGATCGTAAAAGGTCATAAGAATGCTTGCGACACATTTAATTAAATTCCACTGTGAGTTAACATGTAAAAATGCATGTTATGCGCAAGTTCACCATTTTCAGGTGGTAATTTCAATTGATTCTCTGCACCTCATTGTCTCACTTGCTTAATTTCTCATCTTTTTCTCGCAAAATGATTGTTGTTTACATGGAAAATTAAATTCAGCACCTCTGCCATATAAAATTTTGGACAACTTGAGGCAATTTTTCGATGAAATGTTGAACAAAGACTAAAAGATATGCAGATGGAGAACGAAATTTCTTTTGTCTTCTTTTGGGAAATGTCAAGAAGAAATGTTTTATGCAATGGTGAGTTCAGTTCATGCTCAAAAATGGGAATCAATGGCAAGAGGCTGGACAATGTGGGATGCTTCGTGAGAAAATGCTCTCAGAGAGCCAATGGAAGTTTACACTTTTTCCTGACAATGGTCTCATACAAAGTGATGCGTTGACTTCGCATATTAATTTACCATCGAAAGAGGCGCGCGATTAAAGCCATAAGTAAGACAAAAAAAGGGAAGACGCGGAGTGAGGCAACGAAAAATCAACGCCCTGTTATTAAGATGTTCTCGATCGAAGGGAGAGAAACAATCGTTTAAATAACATATACATTTATGGAGAGCATCCGATCCGCGGTTGCATATGTATGTTGAATGGGTGGAAAAAAGAGAGAATTAAAATCAGTGTGTGAGGTCTGGGCTGCCAAGTAAAATGGCCCATTAAAATATATTCCCTCATTGTGTGTAATTTCATGTGATTAACCATCCCACTTTTGGGAGTACAATTTCGCCGTGTACACATTGTCCAAGTACTCACCCAACCACCAAGCGCCCACCCATTTGGGATCGGCGGGCCCGATGCCCGGGTCCACGGATATGTTCACGTACACGCGCGTGCAGAAGGAGCCCAAGATGAAGCCTGCAGCGGGTCCGAGGATTCGAACGCCGATCGTGATCGCAATGTAGATTGGAGACTCTCGACTCGCCACGTTGTCGTCGATGTACGGGATGCCCAGCGTCGACACAGCCGTTTGACCCACTCCGACACCCAAGAGACTCACGAAGAAGATCACCAGTACAACTGTTGTGAGCTGGGAGTGATTCTCTTGCTCAACTAGTATTTCACTTTGACAATCTGCAAGAAGAATTAATGTTAAGGCTTTATAAAAATATAAAAAATGCTTTAAAATCGTCCTTTGTGGTTTGTCTCCAGAGATTGCGTATCGGAAATACTCAGGCAGCAAAGTCAATCCAAGTGTTAATCGAAAGGTTGTGCTTGCTTACCTCCTTCGGAGCCGAGGGTGCTGTTGTTGTCAGAGATGAGACAGAGATTGAGATTTGACTCGGAGAGAAGGACACTCGTGGGAGAGTTTGTGACTAGTGACACGCCTTGGGAGGCGCTGTCGAACGTCTTGGAATTCCCGCCGATGCCATTGAAGACGTTGCTGGCGTGCAGAAGTTGGTCGCCATAGATAAAGTGCGGCAGTGTGCAGCCAAAGGAGGCGATTGCAAACAGCACCATGCCTGAAACACGGAGCAATGTGTGAGGAAAGTAGAAGGAAAGTGGGAAAATCGATTGACATACCACAGGCGATCCATCTGGGTCGATGTCCTCGGCCGGCGTAGTAGGTGAGGAAGAGGGCGGTGCTGATTTGACCCACTTCCGTGGCGCTCATCAGCATGCCCGTCGTCTTGGATTTGATCTGGAACAGCTTCTCGATTGTCGTTATCACACTCACGAAGTATGTGTAGTACATTCCCTGTTGAGGATTGAATTATGAATGAGTTTTCGGGGTGGGTGAAATGTGAATGACCGAAAGGTTTACCTGCAAAATCCATGCCAGCAAGAACACAACCATGAAGACGTGTGTTGTGGCGAAACTGCGCGCCCACTTGGGCTTGCAGGAGCCAATGCCACAACTCGTCTCGTCCTCAGGGAACGGCCGTCGTCCTGTTAGTGGATCTGCCTCGGCAGGCATCTTGTCCGCGTGTCCATTCTTGGGGTGTGTGAACCCTGTCTTGCCGTTGACCAGCAGTGAACTGTTGTTGTTACCTTGGCCACTGTGCTTCCCATTAGACTGCTCCTCGCTCTGCGGTAACTCGCGCCAACCACCATTTCGGGTGTCTCTGTTCGGCAAAGGTTGGTGACTGTTGGCTGCGAGATGTGATGGACCTAGACGAGATCCTAGTTAGCCTGAGATTGCGTTAAGATCCGATTTCACCTTACCTTTTGACCAATCATTGTTGTTGGCCAGTCGCTCGTCAGTGGGTAACAATGGACTCCACGTGTGACACCCATTCACGTTCTTTGTGATGCCATTTCGACCATTCTTCAAGGGTGACGTGTTCGGTGATGCTGCCACATCTCCTTTGAACTTGCTCGTTGAATTGGCAATGTCGTCTTCGGACTGTGGGAGTGGTTGCCAACCACGTCCAGCAGACATCACGTCTATTGTTGGCACTCTCGTCTCTGAGCGAATATCGTCCTCAGGGCTCATTCCTTACGCAGGGAAAGTATCACGACTAAAAGATCACGAAAGTCTGCAATGGAGGAAAAGAATTCCCTCAATTTGGCAACATTGTCTTAGGAATTTCACCTCTCAAAAATCAACACTATTTTATGTATTCCACTCGAGACCTCATCGCAACTTATTGCTAGGCACAAATCGTTGCATAGCTGAGGCACACTCTAGAATTTGTTATATTGTTATCAGAGGAATTCCTATACAAAAGCTGCATTGATAACATTTTAAAGTACGGCCAGCGTGTCAATTGCATAACTCATGTGCGGATGGCCAGGAAAAGTGCGCACACACGTCGCAGTGATGGATTGTCTATTTTGCGAGCAGAATAGGAAAAAATAAAAAATTCAATATAGGAATTTTTATTCAGAAATTAGAGACACGTCGCTTCTTCTCTCGTTCAATACATAACGTTGTAACTGTGGTGCGATAATAAATCCGCTAATCAAAGACGACGTCGTTGGTGCTAATTTCAATGACTAACAAAATTGCTAACCAGTGCGTATTAGTTGTCATTTACTGTGTCACAGACCTCTTCTCACCATGGCGAAAAACGGGAAAAAGGCCCGTGAAATATTTGCAGACACAAAAAACTGCGGTCCTATATTTGCCCTTCATTGTCCACACTTTCTTAAAGTATTCTCTAGACAGCGGCTAATAAACGAATTCCACGAATTCACACAACAATAGATAATAAATTGCAGTGACTTGAGCAATTAATTTGATCTTGAGACGGTAAAGTCACTTTTCTGATTCGCCTATTTGACCGATGATGAGTGAAATTACGCGAACGCTGAGAATTGCCGGTCGCGTGCAGTCTGGCGCGATGATCAATGAGTTAAAGACAAGTTTCCTTCTCTTCAGCACGATGTTATACATAAGTAACATACATATATAGACCTTATTCCAACTGCCTCTCAATCAGAGAGAGAGAAAAGCCTTAGAAATGGTGTTCTATCGCCCCTTTTTGCATTCCGCGCTGAGAAAATCGATCCAGACTGTGTAATTACAATATATGTGTGCATGGAAAGCGAATCCATAGGCGAATGTGTCTAATTCTCCAGCAATCTTGCTCCTTGCGATCTTCATGGGATGAGAGGCAAAAAAGTGTATTGTAAGTCTCGTCGTTTGTCAACAAAGTGGCTAGACACTGTTTGACACCATCTGGAGATTCTGCAAAAATAACACTTCACTTGACCTTCGCCTTGAGGAATTGTTGTATAAATGTGTGCCTCAAAAATAGCACTCGTCTTGTGATTATTTTTTACGATGATGATGTACTGACGAGGGGGTGATTATTTTCACATCGCTTTTGCTGTTACACTAAGCAAGGCGCGCACCTACACTGACGATGTGATAAATTACTGCCTTCTTACAGTGCTATTACACGGACAAGATTCTCTGTGCCGACTAATTGGCTACTTCTTGCCCGATTTATAAAATTTGCACAGTTCCGAAAAGTGATTTCGCTGCCACAGAAGATATGAATATTTATATAATTGCACAACTTGTTTCTACAAATCATGACACCAACTCGGATTGATCATTCTCATTCGTATGTTTTCATTTTCCAGGAATACTGGAGAGTCAAAGGCAGACTAAACTCACTTTAATGAGCAAATAATAAAAGTATACTCATTAAACGAGTGTTCTATTAACGAATTCAGATCGCTTCCTTTGGATCTTAATTTAGAAAATTTCTATAAATGTCAGGTTTATCTTCATCATCATCATCATTCAAATTGTGCACCTTATTACTAAAAATCCCCACAATTATTGCTAAGTTTGCTTACTTTTGCATTGGACGAAGAGTAGGATTTTGGTGTATTTGAAATTTATGTATTCAACACTGCATGTGTGTCTTGTCTTTGGGTGTTGAATGGAAAAAGCTCAATTAAATGGACAATTTCTATGCAAACAATTCTCATAATGCGAGAGTGTTGATGAAAATGTGGGACATTGACTCTGGAATTTCCCAGAAGTGAGCCTCTTCTCTTGACTCATATATTATATGCCATTCACTTCCCTTGAACGCCACCAATCATTTCTGTATTTTCGTGCAGAGTTAACCTCCTCAACCACGGCTTTTTTCTCCAACTTCATCTTTCCTCAAATCGTCTCGTGTTGAATTTGAGAAGGTGTAAATAAACAACAATTTTCGTCTCTTGCGATCATTAACCCTCTTGGCCAAAATGCTATGGCTTTTCGCTCGGGCATTCTTTCCACAAAGAGACGCTGGGGGACTTTCTTATCCAAATAATAATGACTCCATGCGATGTGTAAGTTTTTCTCCATCACGGGGAGACACTTATTCATGTTTTTCATTCGTATTTGGCGCGCAAGAGTGAAGCCAAAAGAGCGCAAAAAATTCATTTGTTATATTTTGGCACCTCAATACACGCCATAATCGTATGCGGCATAAATGAAACGATACGCTTCTTGTAACTTTAGCTCCCGCAGGATAAAATTCAAGATCATGAATCATTTTTCAATTTAATTATTTCACTCATTCCCGCAACACTCTCTCGGAATTTCTTTTCTGTCTCTTCGCTTGTGAATAAATTGACGGAATTTTGATAAGTCATTAGAATTTTGATGTGTTTATATGCGAAAACAGCATTGCTTTAGTGTCATTGGATTAGCTACACACTCATTAATTAATCATAATCGAACATTGTGTATATTTTTCTGTCTTCACCACACTTTTTGTGAACCTTTGCTGTTGAGTTGAAGGGCGGTGAAAGACATGTGCAATTGTAGCGCTGGAAATGCAGTGTGTAATTAATAAAATATTGCATTAATCGCACAATTGTAATTGCCTTTTATCGCGCCTTGATCAATTTGGCAAATTTTTTTCTTCACCTCATTCGCACATTGCGAAATGGCCAAAGAGACGCAGTCGCGATCTCTCCACGAATCGCCAGAAAAGAATTAACTAATAGTATATAAAATGCCTGACCGTTTTTCTCTCTCTCGTGCTTTTTTTTGAAGAATGTAAAGGACAGAAATATGGTCAGAGTGGGAATGGAAAAAAGGAAATTCACAGTATAAATGAATTCTTTGTCATTCAGCACGCGATTTCTCTCTTTTTCTGTCTTTCGCATTTTAAATCACAAACTACGATTTTTCAGCTTGCACAAAAACATATTTCGTGAGTTATTATGGCGTAATAATTTTTGCTATGTGCAGAATATGTATTTTATATGTACATAAATGACCATAAGTGAGTATGTGAAAATACTATTGATTTTGCTTACAATTCAGTACTAATTTGCACACTTTTGCTATTGAAAATTAAGCTTTAGGCTACTTTGTTGGGCGAGGCTTTCGAATGGGCGGAGTTTATGTTGTTTAAATCCTGTCGGAGTCATTAACATATCATAAAACCGTGCGTAATTCATCATCAGAATGTTTAGTGCTTGATTGGTTATTCTTTTCAACTCACTTCCAAAGTACTGCGCATTAAATTAGCTTTTTAAGTTTGAATAACTTTCTAGTTAAATATTTATATTAAAAAATATACTAAAACTTAGAGCCTGGAGGAGCACAGTTCCTCTTTGCCCTCCTTTGGCAACTTTTACTACTCTTCGCACTACATAAAAAAGAGTCTCCTGCTGCTCATTGAGCTCATTGTCTGATTTTGCGGCGATGCATAAAAAGCCCTCAGAATCTGTGTTATTTAGAGATGAATGACAACAAAGAGACTGAAAGTGTTTTCGCCGGGAATTTTTTCCTACTTGCACAGGCGTTGTTGTCAAACTGTGTTCATGTTGAGAGAGATTTGAGACTTCCACGATACCACAGAATGATTCGGCGACATTGTCATTAGGGTAGGTCGCAAAATTAGAACTATACACACATTTGTATTTGCAGAAAATTCACTCTATGGCGCACACGCGTTTTTTCCTGTTCTCCTCATGCGACTATAAATTGCGTTACTGCGAAATAATTTCGCTCACCGATGTTTGTTTCATGTCGCTGGCGACAATTAGAGTGGAGGAGGCCCAGAAAAGACATAAAAACCACTACAGAAACAATCTTGAAGCTGATAGCGAGGAATTTTGCGTGTTGTATTTGACCCTGAATTTTTCTTATCAGCGTCGCGAGTTTATTTCTCTTTCTTGCACTTTTACACTTCTTTTACACGGTATAAGTGCTCTTATTTTTGTTTTTCTCCACTACATTCGTCTGTGTTGGTTTGCCTTAATGGAAGGTACGAAGACAGGCCCAGAATTTGAGCTTTGGCCAAAGTGACGGTTGGTTCTTTTTTTTTTGAAAAAAAAAAAAAAACAGAACTAGCGTGCAAAACAGATAACTTAATCTAGAGTTCTTCCATGCAAATATTGACTTTTGAGAAATATGTTAGCCAAACAAGGCAGAGATGAGAGTATAATTTTATCACCGTCAGACACATTTAAAGTATAATAAAAATAAAATGAAAAAAATCCTTGACTGCAGTGAAACACACAATTTTCACTGCTTCTTCCACACCAACTTTATCTCGCTGTTTTCCCAGACTTTTTTCAGCTCGCCGCCACACGCGCAATACATCGTCATATGCAAAGTTTCGTCTTATCGTCTAGCAATTTCTACTTGCTCCTTCGCTTATCTAATCTCTTGGCCAGTGTGTGCAAAGAAGAGGCCGAAATTGTATGTGGAACATCTTGTGCAATGAGACGGGAAAAACATATGCACATCAGAGATGAAATTGTACTGGAATTGCGGTTCGATTAAGTGCCTTTTTACTTCTCTTTCATCGCTCCACATACAATTTCTTTCGTGTCTCTGGACATGTATGTATATAGAGTGTATGTACTCGTATTTTTGATTTCATTGAGAATCTAATTGCAAGAGGCTCTCGCACACTAATGCCCCAGCAAAAGGCATGAGACCGTGCCGTGGAATTGCGAATATAATTTTCCATGAGACTTGATATTGAAATCGAAAGCGCGCGTTACATTTTACGCCATAATTCCACATCTCACGTCTGCGATTACAATCTCTTTGCTCTTGTCCAGTCTCCGAATGTGGAAATTGTGCAGAGGGAAGAATATCGTGATGCATATGCATACGCTGAGATAGAAAATCAATGGGTTATTTTAACCATATTGCTGCTATATTGGAGCTGAATGATGATGCAGTAATTGGGAATAATTGTCGCTATATAATTGCATATGATGCCTGATCGAAGGTATCTTGATAACACGTCTGCTTCATCACCTATCATTACGTCTAAAATTCGGCAATACTCTGTGGTAATCAAAAACTCCCTAATCCCAATAAAACTCCATCCAGACTTATACAATGTTTTCTTAAGCGAATTTCTATTGGCGCCCACTTGCTAAAATTTTATTTTCAGCACAAAATCTGCACAGAAATACAATTTAAAGATGAGCAAATTTCATCATGAGTTAATCTCTACTATAGTGACTTTAAAGTTTAAAAAGCGAGAGATGGAAATTTCTTTCCATACCACCAAGTGTGCGAATGCTCAAATAAATGAGAAACTATTTCGCCAGCATTAATGGGAATTTTGTGCAAAAACCTCGCCCACATTCGTATTTTTTGGGATTTGGTCACAAAATGAAGATTTTGAGAGAATTGACCAACAAGTAGTGGCTAGGAAATCGACTGTTCTCTCCTCGAACTTCTTGCTCGTCGAAATGCCTTCGACTTCAGGTTTGTTTTCATAGAATCACGAATACTTATACAATTTTTATTGGGCAGTGAGAGAGAAATAGAAACGTGTGTGATGTTATTTATTTCAAAATAGTCAGAGGGGATAATTAGCCTAGAACAAAATTTCTTTTACATGTGGTAAAATTTTGGCTAAATTTTAAAGTATAGAAAATTGACAGACACATGTTTTCGATCGTGGTTTCGACCCTGAAAATATGTATTTAACTTGTTTCTGTTATTTGCCGAAAGTCATTTACGACACAAAATAACGATAGCCCACACTCCCCTATACTAAAAAAATGGTGAATAAAATATGTTCAGAAGAAGAGAGATTTGCTTGCATCAAGAAATAGATATCTTCCAAAATAAAACTTGTCTATTTCTCTCCTAAACATACAAACTCATGCTACCTTTCAATTATACTCCTAGTTTTTGTCTACTATGTATTTTTATGAACCTTGTCCAGCTTTTTTTTCTATGTACACAACTCAGCATAAAGTGTGTGTTTGGTAATTTTTCATAAGTGATGAAAAAATTACAGTGATATGAGTGAAATCTCGAGCTATAAAATACTACGATTTGCCTATTAAAGTGTGAAAGAACTTTTGGTCATGGACAATTTCGGAATTATGATGAATCAGAGTAGTATTCTGAGCATTTCACAATACTTGTGGTAGACAGAATGTTCTAAATCAGTATTATTTGCATCAAAATTTATCTTATCTCTAATGCACATTGGCCCTAAGTCAACATCACATTTTCCATTGACAGCTCATCCAATAAATGTGTGAATCCGGAGTCGACTGTGTGTCTGGCGTGGAGGAAAACTTATTGAAAACAACAATTTGGGGAACAAAGGAAGGCACCTTTTAAACTAAGATGAGGCACAAAATGGTAAGTGAATTTGAGGTCAACTTTCAGTTTTATTTCATCTCTTTCCTTTTCGCTGAAAATCACACTCTGCGAAAGTGAAGATTATGAAGTTGGAAAGAAGCCTTCCTCGCACGGTTTTTTGTGTGAATGTCTTTGCCTAAGAGACAAATTGAACGAAGCTTAAACTCGCGGGCAATTAAACGCCCTCATGAATGGCATTTTTGTAAATTTCGAGTGGGCTTCTTTGCCGCTGTTCTTTTCCATGGGGCCTGCACACACTTTTCACTGGGCCACAAGAGAGATGGCGACTATTATTATGTGGTGTAACTTGATGTGGTGTACAATGTGAAGCATCTCCGCACACAATTTATTTATTTAACTTTGAGCGCGAGGGGATAAAGTGCACTTCCAGTGGGAAGAGAGGGTGGACATGCAGAGCAAACAAACAGTCGCGCTTGTGCGATAGTTACAGTGTAAGTGGAATATTACAATGTATATTAAATCCACTGTTTTGTTTGTATAATATTCCTATCTCTCACGAATATTTCACTTTTGAAACTAAATTTAGAACACGCAACTTGTGTGCTCCACTTTTTTCTGTGACTGTATGACTCCAAGAAAATGCTGCAAAATCTATTTTCAATATGGACGATATTTCTGTACTGCTCAAGCATATGAACTTATCTAGCATGTTTCGGTTTTTTTGATAAATATTTCTCTATCATACCAAGTTTCATACCTTGTAACAGTCAAGTAGTCCTAAAATTGAGAGCGGGAAATTGGCCTCATGCACTTCTCTCTGGTATTGTCTTCATCAAGCACAGCTCAGATCGATATAGTTGTGTTATTTTCATTAACTGCTTGAGTGCATGACATAATTACACCACTAAATTATATTGTTTCACGTTATAGTACGCGGGTCTGTGTTAGAAGAATCACTTTTACTTTTGATTTTCTTGTTTGTGGCCTCATACAGCACACCACACACTTGACTCTTTTCCCTTCTCTCGCGGCGCACCAGTGGAGAAGAAGAAGAAGAAATGTGTATTACAATTGAATAACTCACAACACTCCACTTATATATATTTCCAACTCTGGCTTGATCTCTGGGGTCTTATTGCGAGGAGGAGAAAAAAGCATATACAGGCTGATGTACACAAGTCTCTCTCTCTCTCTCCCTCTCTCTATGTTAACCTGTCGGATTTTGGGCGATTGAATGGATATAAGATTATTTCACGATCTTGTGAGAATTCTTGCTTCCTCGATTTTGTCATAAAAACACAAATGCACATTTGGTGTGGCGCAAATCTTGGTGTGCACACTTTCTCCGATGAGTCCTTGCAACTAACTTATCTTCTTTCCCTCCAACAAGAGATCCCGCAGTTTAATGGTCAAGTGTGTTGCTCACTTTGCGTGTTACTTGTGCGACACTCTCTCAATGACTGACAACGATGACATCGGGAGAAACGCACAAGAGCATCGCTCAAACACCGAAAAAATAACGAGTGTGTATGGCAATCAAATAGCACAGACATCACAAAAATTTATATACATTGCGCGCTATATATATATGGGTTTTATATGTACAAAATGAGGAATTTTTTCTCTCTCTCCCAAATGGACACACACTGTGTGGTATTTTTGTGGCTATATGAGTGTGGCGAGTTGTAAGAAAAAGGGGGGAAATTCCATCTTATCGCCACAGAAGTTAAATAAAGACTGCTGTTCGGAGCCACTCGGAGTTTGCGCAGCCCGCCAAGTCGGTGTGCTATACCAATATGACGAAAAATGAGACAAAATAGAGGAATTAATATGTACATGCGAGCTACTATATACAATCCGCGCAGTGTACAGCCAATGCGAGAGAGGGAGAGAGAGAGAAGACCAAACTGCGGCCAAATACAAATAATACACAACACAAATGCACAGTGTGTGTTTCACGGTGTTTGCGTGACTTTTTTTCACGTTGCGCGCCCGCCATCAGGGAGATGATACGTGATAAAAGACGAAGAGAAAGAAGTAACAGAGAAGTTACCAGTGTTTTCAAAACTATACACACACCACACAGAAACGAGCCAAAGTAGAGTGAGAAAGGTGTATCAGAGTGAGAAAGATAGTGGTAAACTTTCATTGAATGGATGCACGATGTACATATGTAGGTAAAAGCTCACTCTCGCTTGGTGAATCGATATACACCACTTCCGCCGAATAACTTTTTCGAACGGGAGAGTGAGAGTGGATGCAACTTTCATTTTCACTCTCCACTGTCACTTTTCATCTCTATTTATACTGAGATGGTGAACGTTGTATGTGAAAGAGAGAAAAAGTTCAGCCATGAAAAGCTTCACGCAGTGCTGCACAAGAGTGTGCCTCTTGAGAATTATGATCATCATCTGAATCTGAATCTGGATGGTGTTTTTGGTGTTGTGTTGTCAGGTGAGAGGTGTTTTTGGGACGCACACTCTCTCATTTTCTCAGCTTGAGGATTTGTAGCTCTCTCTGTCTCTGTGTTCACTCTCTTTTCACGAGATATCCCGAAATGAACCATCATACAACTCTCAGAGAGAAGGAAACCGAGCGCAGAGGGTTTATCAATGTAGAATACAGAGTTTGTGTTCGAAATCTCGACGTTCCACCCACTCAGAAGCCCCGCCTTTTTCTCTTTCCAATATTTTTTGTTTCAATATGATTTAGTTCAGATTCAGTATGTGATTGTAATGTAACATTGAGGCAATAGAACGAAAATTGTGCGATTCAAAGTTTTCTCTATGAAATGAACAAATAGATTTGCGGATTTAATATATTAATATTGTGGTACATATATCAGACCTAGTTAGTCAATTTCTGCGTTGACTGCAAAAGCTCAGTCAGCCATTATAAGGCAAACAGAGCGAATTCTTATCAATATCCTGCCTTATTCTGAATATCACAAAACAATAGAGATAGGGATTCATTGAGAATGAAAAGCACTTCCATAGAGAAAGTACAACAAAAAGTATAGACATAGGAATAAAACTCCAACAAGCTAATCTCAATTCGCATTTACAGAGCTCTTGAGGCAATATTTGCTGTGCGATGAAAATGTGTGACGCTAGAAATTGATAACCTCATTGTCCACAGTCAAAGTGATAAAGGAATTATAAAATAGTTTGGCCTCATTTCGATGCAATAACTTTATGGGCATTTATGGTGTATTGTGTGCGGAGAGAAAAAAGCTCCGTAGAGAAGGAAGTGTCTTTTATTTTCCTCAGTGACTTGCGTACTTGAGAAGATCTCGGTCAAATCTCGAAATACGGGTGAAAGTGAAACATCAGTACCTACATATACATGGCACGGCGAAATGAATGGGCGAACAAGTCCCATGCTATGCCATACAATTGAGCGCCCCCTCCAGCTTGAGACCGGATTTCATGTGGTACGATCCATGCACGAGTAACTTCTAGGCCCAATTTCACTCTCTTGATTCCTTCCATTCAAAAAATCACACTACAGACTAATCTGCCATTTCTTTTTGATGTAAGATTTGATGTCTTCTCGAAGGTATATGAATTGAAAATCAATTGGGCAGACATATGCGAATTTGCAATTGAGAGCTTATGAATGTTGCAAGAAGAGTTTGTAAAAGCAAATTTCGTCCATGGGGACAAATAAAAGACATTATACACAGTCCACAAATTAATGGAATTTTTATTCCACGTCTGAACTCCACAGTAAAACGTGATTAGAGGTGGTTTGGGGGAAATCAGAGACGGCGAAAAAGCAATAAATCTGAATAGGTAAGCAGAGTAGAGGTGATCTTTGCTGGTCACACAAAAAAGACACAGGGAGGGAGCAAAGAGTGGAGCTGACAATCTGGTAGGCAAATCAGATAGATTTCTTGGTGAGGAAAAAGCCAAAAAGCCAGGAGATCTTTATTCAATTGCCAAGCAATCCATTATGGATACAATATTTTATTTTATAAATGGAAATTAATTCAAAAGCTTTAAATTCGTATCAGAGTGACACAGTGATAAATATTTTAATCACTTCGTGAACGCGCTTTAGCCTATTGTCAGAATATATTGCTTAATCTGTCTTGCCTACCTCGAGAACAGTTGATAAGGTTGTTCCTTTGAGATGTATTCACAGCTCTTGTGTGTATTGCAAACCCTTTATCGGCATGGCCTTAAAAGCATGGTGGATCATTGCTATGTCATGTTTTCTCCCACATTTACTTAAAGAAAATCTTTATTCCTTCAGAGCATATCTTGAAGAATGTGAAAAGCCATATAAATAAGTTACAACTCTAGTAAATTCTTTCTCTCCGGATGGAATAAGTGTGCTTACACATAAGAAAATTTTATTATGACACTATTAAATAATCCACATTAATGATAGTGCGATGAGAATCTTTCAGTGTCTCGCATAAAACAACATGTAATCTTCCTTTTCGTCTCTTAGAGCGCTTCCGTGACAAAGAGTGCTTCAATTAAGAAGCATGTCTCTCATATCATTACACTCAAAGTGCATTATAAAATATTCAGTCACTAGATATTTACCCTGGTTATGAAAATCGAATATAATCGCTGTCTGTGATTTTCCTTTAACTCTGCATGCAAACTTTATCCTCGTGTAAGTTCAGTTCTTACGACAGTTTATCACAAGCCATCGCTTGAGAAGTTGAGTGAAAATGATTGTTCTTAGAGCGTTATTAACAGTTTTGTTGTGTGGTCAAATTTTGGCCCAAATTCCACTTTCCTTCGGTAAGAATGATGTTGACTGATGATGACTTTCAATAGCTACACAGCATTTGTGTGCATGCATTTCTAGTTATTATACACGAAGAGCAGCAAAAACATATTCCAGCAACTTTGAGCAAAATCTTCAAAGACATCGAAACTCAATATCAAAATGAAATTACCATCAGTGATCGCTATATTGCTTTCAACTACAACACCGACGAATTTCAACAGCAACTTTGCTCTGTGGCTTCAGATGGAGTTTCGATGATCTTGAACTTGCTTTGGGGGAAATTTGATGAGATACCAAAATTCATAAAGCCACAAGGTGTTCCATACATCGAGGCCGACATCTCAATTTATCCCTTCTTCCGCATTGTCGAGGAGTATTTGAAGAAACAATTTGCCACTGATTGTGTTCTCATTGTGACATCGGAAGAGGAAGTTGAACAAATGCTTTTCGGCCTTATTGGCTCTTCTAGACTTCGAATGATAGTGTTGAATAGTGATGGTGGAAATTCACTGGAAAAATTACAAAAATTGCGACCAAATCCTTCTTACTATGCAGTGATAGCGACAACGGAGAAGATGAACGACATACTGAAAGTGACTCAGAACCTTAAATTAGTAGCAAAACCGAATAAATGGAATCTAGTATTTCGAGACTCACAACAGAATTCATTTAAACACCAAGAAGCTTTTAAAGATTCACCACAATTGGTTGTTGATAAGAGTTTCTGCTGTTTACTTCTGAAGCAACCAAGATCATGTTCTTGTCCTGCAGATTTTGATGTAAGAGTTCAAGTATTCTAATTTATATGACATTGCGTTTCATAGAGAATTGTTTTCTTTACAGCATGTGCAGTATTTTTTAAAAGAAATCTTGGAAATCACTGTGACTCTGTTGAAAAATGACCAAAATCTTCCAAAATTGCTTACATGTTCTGACTTGACTACAACTACAGATGACAATTACGTATCCTCATCTCTTCATGATCAGCTTTCTGCAGCCACCGAAGCAAATCCAATAATAAGAATTGTTCCGGGAAGTGATGAGATAAAGCTGAGGATAAATGCTACAATTCATGCCACGGAAACCCCGTATGTTGGAGATGAAATGGTGACTTTAGGCAAGTACATTGATGAGGAGATATCTAGTGTCAATGGATTATCTCTGGAAAGACCTACCAAACGCTTCTTGAGAATCGGGATCACTGAAGCCTTGCCATGGACTTTCAAATTAGATGACAACTGGACCGGATACTGTGTGGATCTTATTGATTTCATAGCGGAGCGCATGAACTTTGACTATGAAATCGTGATTCCTGAGAAAGGTTCATTTGGAAAAAATCTGGGCAATGGAAAATGGGATGGACTTGTTGGTGATCTGGTGACTGGCGAAATAGACATTGCAGTGGCAGCGATGAAAATGACAGCAGAACGCGAAGAGGTGATTGACTTTGTTGCTCCGTACTTTGAGCAGACAGGAATTTCAATCGTGCTGAGAAAGCCAGTGCGTCAGACTTCGCTGTTCAAGTTCATGACGGTGTTACGGCTAGAAGTGTGGCTCAGTATCGTGGCTGCTCTTGTAGCTACGGCTGTTCTGATTTGGTTCCTGGACAAGTATTCTCCGTACAGTGCGAGGAACAACAAGCCTGCATATCCGTATCCTTGTCGGGACTTCACGCTCAAAGAGAGCTTCTGGTTCGCGTTGACTTCATTCACACCTCAAGGAGGCGGTGAAGCTCCAAAAGCCTTATCTGGAAGAACTCTAGTGGCTGCTTATTGGCTCTTTGTCGTTCTTATGCTTGCCACATTCACAGCAAATCTCGCGGCTTTTCTAACAGTTGAGCGCATGCAGACTCCTGTTCAATCTCTAGAGCAGCTCGCCAGGCAGAGTCGCATCAATTACACAGTAGTCCAAGGATCAGACACTCACAGCTACTTTATCAACATGAAGTTCGCCGAGGACACACTGTACAGAGTGTGGAAGGAGATCACACTGAACAGTACTAGTGACCAGAGTCAGTATCGCGTGTGGGACTATCCAATCAAGGAACAGTATGGCAACATTCTCCTGGCCATCAATTCCACAGGACCGGTTGTGGATGCCAAAGAAGGTTTTCGCGAGGTGAATGAACACATCAATGCAGACTTTGCCTTTATACACGACTCGGCTGAAATCAAGTACGAGATCACTAGAAGCTGCAATCTCACGGAAGTTGGTGAGGAGTTTGGCAAGCAACCATATTCGATTGCTGTTCAGCAAGGAAGCAACCTACAAGTAACAAATCTATGTTTTTTTTCTTTTTCTTTTTCCGCGATCAAACTCTCATGCTCAAAAATCTGGTAGCTAACTGAATAAGTGAATATTTTTCAATATTCTTTCAGGATGAACTCAGTAAGACTCTTCTCGAGCTACAGAAAGATCGCGTTTTTGAGAATCTGAAGGCAAAGTACTGGAACAGTTCAGCGAAGGGTCAGTGTTCGGATGATGATGAGAACGAGGGTATTTCTTTGGAGAGTTTGGGAGGAGTCTTCATAGCTACTCTCGTGGGCCTGGCAATAGCTCTTATCACACTTGCTGGAGAGGTTTTCTACTATAAACGGAAGAAACGAGCTGCGGTGCTTCAAGTGCAACCCTTTGGAACGCCCAAAAAAGAGGGGGAATTGAAGAAGAAACTGCAAAGCTACACAATTGGGGAGACTTTCGTGCCGACGAAAGACAAGAATAAGTCGGTGTCCTACATTTCTGTGTACCCTAGAAAGTCTATTCATGATTATGGGGAGTATATTGAGTAGAATTGCTCTTAACACATTTCATTTCAGAGCCTGTAGCACTTGTAGCAATGATTGAAATTGTAGTTGAATTGATGTTGCAAATACATGAAATTTATGCCTGTGTCAATTCCAATGAGCGATGTCAATATTATTCAGCATTTCCATTTCGCCTTAAATATTTTGACTTCCTCGACGAGCCAGCAGAGAAGTCGAATCGACCTTAATTTCGCAATAAGTCTTTATATTTAGTCTGAGGCATGGATTCAGAAATTCATCTTGTGCCAAATAAATAAATTCTCATGGAGTGGGAAATAAATTGAATGCAGAACATTCTTTATTTCTCTCATCGCCAGCAGAAAAATGCTCATTTGGACATCGCCGAGTGCCGGTTTGAGGCGCCGAATATTGCCTCACGTTCGACTCTCTGGGAATATTCATTCAATATTCCATGAGCAATCGATTTGAAATGCGTGAAGAGCGAACTGTGGAGTGTTCTTGGCATAGCAATCAGGTGCAATTGTGTGGAGAAATCGATATAGAGTTGTACTGCGATGCTTCCACATGACTTTTTCGGGGTGAAGATGTTTACACAGTGGTTATCATCCCATCAGAATGATTCACAAATCCAAGTCGCAACAATGATGATATTAAGTCTTGTTTACTTTCCCGTCTCTGGGCCACCGAAGCTCACTTGCTGGCAAGAATGTTGTTCCGCCAAAAGGCACTTCGCCACAATCACGAGTACTCTGTATACAATCTTCTCATTATCAGGCCCACTTTTCTGGCAGTGGCACAACGGAGTTGTAGGTATCCGGCGTGCCCCAAACAAGCCATCGCGATAGTGGGTGGGTGAGGACGAGAGTCGCTCTCATGGAAGTGGGAACTGAGAAAAAATATTAGTGGCTAAATAAATACAAGGAGGCGTCAAACGTATTTCTCCGAAACATTTCGATGGTGTGCTTGCGAGTACGTTTTGTGTCTCAACAGTGCTTTTTATTTTCTTTTTCCTATTTGAACTGTGTGTGGTGAGCAATTTCAGAAATAGCGCAAAGGTTATTGTCCCAAAAGACGTGAAGGCAAAGAGAGGAGAAACACATTAACAAGTCGCACACAATCAGACAAAATAGTTATCATCGAATTAAACTTGCTCATCTTGTTGTCTGATTCAATGCAATTCTCCGCGACATCAATCAAATATCACTGCAATTTGCACTCGAACTTGCAATTGAAGAATTGCAGGAATTGCACATAATTTTCAAATGAATCCCAATTGGATTTCTCAGATATCATTCAATGTGGTAAACACGTGTCCAACAATGTTTTGTCACTTTTTTTCCGCCATGCAAATTAACACTGAATCAGCAGTAAAGAAACCTCTGTATGTTCTTAATTCGAAAATTGTTGGATAGGCCTTTCTGAGTGAATTTAAAGACAATAAAGTATAGATATTCTTGCGCCTGTGGACAGCAAAAACTCGTGCATCTGAACATGAGAGGAGCTCTTAATGAGCACTTGACACCAAAAGGAAGCAATTGATGCTACACCACATGGTTGAATTGTGATGGAATGACGATGGGGCAAATGAAAATGATGGGTTTGGAGGGAAAACTGATGTAAATTCGACAATTGGGTCAATAAACATGCGGGCAACAATCAATAGCGTCACAAACTTTTTCTGCATTTCAATTTTCAAATTTGAGCCACACACCAATTGCCCTAAATTACTGCCATATCGCAATGATGGTGGCACTTGACGTGATCAAAGGATAATATATGTTGTGTAAAAGCTCAATGTTGTGAAGTGCATGCATTTAATTTCTCATCTCGCTGGCCACCTTGACCGTATCGAAGACGTCTAATTGAAAATTCACTGCTAAGGCACATGATCAAGATTCATACTATAACTGGAGAATTGTGTGAAGAACGAAATAATCTCAATTTTCATGGAAAAGTGCGCTTATACGAATCTATGCAATATTTCATAACCTTATTAGAATGTAAAAACAGCGCATTGATTTTTAAATACACAGTTTGAACAACGAAAATAAGCCAGCATAGATTGTTCTCAAAATAATTCGAAAATATCTGCCAATAAATGTGAAAACTCCTTTTTGTGGAACAGCGCTTTTATACATTGTATAGGGATGTACAAATATAGATAGTAATTGGCCATATTTTTCCACTTACAACTGTTTATGAATGATATCAATCTAGATTTTTTGTCACTCAATTGCAGAGGACCTATTCTAGTTTTCATTAGAGGCAATTTCTTCATCAATTGCGCCTCCTCATGTCAGGCAAAGTGTGTTTCATACGTATGCAAATGCATATATTGCATGATCTGTCTGGGCTATCAATTGATTGTCCTTCGCATGAGTTGAGCTGAATTGGGCAAAATAGTTTGAGGTCGCGTTGTGTGTGCGTGTGCATAAAATGCAAAAGAGTTGAGAAAAGAGTGTTGGAAAAAAAGACAAAACGATTGCGCGAATGTATTTCTCCTCTTGTTGAAATCAACATTGACGGACAAATACTGTTGTGGCTCTCCTATTGCTCCTCCTCTGTATATATATCGTGATTTTATGAACTATACACATGTGCTTCTGCCTTCGAATGACGACAGTTCAATGCACCGATTGCGTAATGAGCACACACCGATCTAAACTATTTGTAGTCACTTATAAATACTCACAGGGCCGGCGGAGCTTTTAGGGCGATTCCCACGAAAATGCTGGCGAAAGAAGTGGCTTGAAGTTGCTCGCCTAGAGTGGTTCTGTGATCTTTTTTGTCAATCAATAATTAAAACATAAAAAGAGCCATCTATTCATTGTATCACTCCATTTCGCCATGCAATAAGTTCAATCAAGAATCAATTTATCAAGATTGCTCCAATCATACTAGAAAGATCAGCGAAATAATCGTAAAATTAGAAACAATTGAGACATTACGACTGTTTTTCTTTGCCATCTGTTTTTATGTGTATTTGATATTTAGGTAAAAGTGCTAAGTTAATTTTCCTTCGTTCCAGTATTCTTGAAAAGCCGAAAAGTCTCCTGAGTGAGTGAATGCTCTACTTATTCTATGACACAAAGACCTTGGTGCATGAGTGGAATATGAAAAAGTCACGCTTGTTTTCAATTAGTCGTTGGCATTTTTCTGCCAATATGTTGAAGATTGTGTGCAGGAGTGAGAAATGTGATCGTCCATCTCACTTGTTTTTCCTATGACAATGTAAACGCCGTTCAATGATCTCACTTGCGCTGCGACGAGATGCATTTTCACTTTTTTGTTCCAGCTCCATCATCGATGATGACAATGATCGACCTCGAGACCCACGAACGCTCAATTGCGATCACGTTGCAATTGCTTGTAAAATGGCCAAGAAGTGCTTAGTGTAACATTTTCGAATGACAAAATCATGTGGGAATTGAACAATCCCAATTAATTTATCCGCTAAGAATGGGCCAGAATTGTTGAAAGATCTAGAAAAGATATCTAAACCACTTAGAAGAGCATTTGACTGTGTGTATATTTGGTCAATGGACGGGTGTTGAGGTGAGAGGAGATCACAAACACACAAAATTTTGGACACAGTATCATTGAATTAACCTTGTGAATGCCAAGGACACCTTCTACACTGTTGAACAATCACTGTCTCTGTCGCTCGTAAGAAACTTCTTCGTAGCATTGAGGAAATGCGAAGCTGAGTTTCTCAAACTGTGCCCCAAGGGGTTAATCATCTTTCGAAGTGTGTCTCATCTTCCCTGCCTAAGCTTCCTTCTAACCAATACGATCTTGCAAATACAGAGCGAGATTTGTGAATGGAGACTTGAAAAAGAGACGCAAAAGGCGATTTCGCGCAGAAATTTCAGAATCACTGCTGTATGCAAAAGAGTATTGATGGTTGTGTGTTTCCTTGAACTTGATAGCGAGCTCGATTAATAAAAAAGCACACAAAAAAGAGAATCAATGTAGAAAGGCGCGCAAAAAGTCGAAACTTTGTTCCATCGTGGCCGAAAAACATCTAATCAAATACAAGAATATGTATATCCTCTATATAACAGTCGGCACACACAATGTTAATATATCGTGAGAACGAAGGAAAAGAATTATAGAGACGCGCGCGATGTTAGAAAACTTAAGAGCCAACTAATATTTAGCGATTTGGACGAGAGGAGGGAAAAATTGTAACAAGAGTCAATTGCAAATTGTTACCCATTTGCGGCTTTGGGGACACAAAAAGAAAACCTTGCCCATATAAGCTATGAAATTAGATCATGCGAGATTCAACGAGCAATTTTGCACTTTAGTACATTTGATTGGAATCTTCCGCCAGTCTTGTTCATTCACGCAAATTCAGCCTATCTTCCCACTTCTTCGTGAACACAAATCCATGGCACAAACTTTAGGAAAGTGTGCCAATTTTGACATCTTTCTCTTTTTTTTCGCAAATTTACTCTGCTGTGCTCGCGACTTCCATCCACAGACTCGCCAGAGAGAATTTACAGAGGAAAAAAAAGGTGAAAAGAAGTATCCAAATTACACCGAGGGGTCAATATCGCAACTTTGATGTATGCAAAGTGAAATTTATGTGACAATGTGATGATAAACCCCTCGGGAAATGCAAATAAAATAAATCATCTGCAAAATACCACACAAAATGCTGTGTGAGTGTGGAGAAAAAAATTGCGAATAAAAATTGGTTATTGTCTGATTTGGTTGGTTTTCCCTGAGACGCGGCTTTCACTTTCGAAATTCTCTCTCACACATCGTATTTCTGTATAGGTTCTCAGGAAGGAGAAATGTGTACAATTTCTTTTCGATTTACTTTTAAGGTTTCGCATTTTCTTCCCCCTTTCAATGTGCTAAAATTAATTTTTTTTCCCATTTCGATTGGGATTCCCTCAAATTGCGCTTTATTGTGTGTGAATTCGAAACATGGGCGTAGAAAGTGTGGGGCAGAAAGGGGCACGCCTCCTAGGTGAAAAATGTTATTGTTATATTTGTATTTTCTATTCCTTTTTTAAGGTCACACTTGGTATTAAAACTTATTAGAAAAGCACTCGTTATCGTGTAATAGTGAACTTTCGGTGTTGCATTTTCTAGTCTGTCAGTTGTTCTGCCTACGCCCATGATTGGATTGATATTTCTTGTCATTCATCTCGCGCTATCACTGGAGAACTTCTGAGAAACAACATTTTCGGAATATTCTCTAATGATATGTTGAAATGAGGCATTATTTATGAACTGAGAGGGTTTGTCTCAGTATTGATTTTCGCCATTTATGTGGGTGACACACTTTCGTAGTGCTTTTACTTTCTGGCGTGTTTTTAGGTTATTCATTATTTACTACAATTTACCTGATGCTATTTGTCTGGGTTCTCCTTATTCGGTGCTCATGTAGGGCTTTCGCTTGACAGTGCGAAGGAGGTGTAAAGTACAGAGAAGAATAGTGGTGAGTGTGAGCAGCACAAAGTAGACCTCCTTATCGAGTGTCCTAATTTTATTGATAATCTCCACAAATGTCTGTGATTGCACTGAACCACTGCAACAGTCACCCATATCTCGTCTCAATACGATAACTCTCGTGGCAGTTTTATTCCTTTCGCTCAATGTCGATGAAAATCACAATATTATGTATGCTGAAAAAGCTACAGCAGCACGAATAAAAGTGAATCGAATGGGATAACACACATTTTTATTAGAGTGAAAGTTCTTTCTTAATTTATTCACAAGAGTCTCTTTCTCATCTCCACTTGGTGAGATGTTTAGTGTGAATGTGTGCTTGCCCAGTGACGCCACTGAGAGTTGGCAGAATATGTGTGTAAATGATGTACAATCTGTAAGGTTGTGGCGGAGAGATGCGACAGATGCACATTCAAAGAAAATGACAGTGAACCGTCGCGGACGGAACTTTGTATTCACTTTCAGTAGTCATTAGCGATGAAAAGTCACCACGTGTTCACTTTTATACGTTCGCTGATGGTGATTATTTACTCTTTTATGTGGAATTTTTCCATCACAATTCGCCTAGGCGACGTGAGGCGTATAACCTTAGCCAGGAAAACTATGACGACATTCATTTTGACGTCTCGAAAAGTCTCCAGCTCGTTGAAATGCCCCCAAAAAGCTCTCTCGTGAAAGCACAAGAGCAAGCAGGAATTCCACTAGCAAGAGAAGATTTTTTTTTAAACGTAATGTCTTTATTTGGATTTTGCTATTCATTGCTTTTTGCTATTTATATCTACAAATTTTGCCAACAATTCCAATTGATTTGTGGAGGAAAACCATTGACTAACAAACTCCCCGCTAAAGAGCAAAATGATTTACTACTCCATTTACTCACTTGGCGGAGCGCTTTTCTAGCCAAGCTTCCCAACATTCACATGAACGTACTATATCGAAGACTCCTGCATATTTTGCCTCACTCACGGCGACACATTTATTCGGAATCAACATTGGAAACATCAAATTTCTATTCCATTTAACAATTATTCTCATCTAATATTCCTTTCTATCATTTTTTTTTCTCTTCTTTTTCAAATTACAATAAATTTCCACAAATCTTCTCTCATGTGACACAAATAACAACTTTTTCATGCTTCCATATAATTTTTTTTTGTCTTTAAATTACATATTATTGTATTTTCAACACTTACATTATACTGACTAATCAGTGTCTTTTCGATAAAATTTACTTGTCCAATGACAAACATTGATTAAAAAAGCAGTTCAATGAGAAAGATGACAGACGAAAAGAGTTTTGTTATTGTCTTGAAGAGTGTGCGTAAAAAAATATATCGAGAATGCATAGAGAAATTGTAAGAAAAACAATTTCAAAATTAAGACGCTTCATGAGCTTTGGAAAAGTATTAAGTATATATACAAGTCCTTAAATAAAATTTCAATCTCTCTTTAATTATCTTTGTACACGTGGGATCTTATCTATTCTTTAATTTGTGTATCGCCTGCGCCTAATTCCTGGAGTTCATGTGGCTCAGCATCGACCTGAAAGTGTGATAAGAATGTCAAATTCTAGACATTATTAGCAAAGATTGTAATGCTTTTACTCGGTCCAATTCATGTTTGAGGTCCTTTCTCGATAAGTGATTGACTAAAATTGTTCCCAATGCATCACACATAACATTTATTGTCGTCCTAAAGCGATCCCTGAAATTGTTATGAAAACAAAATTTAGCAGGAAGTCTTCCTCTCGGTTTGAGAAAACTCACAAAAGCCAATCCACGGCAATGATGATTGTAACATCTTCAGCGGGAAGTCCTACAGTGTCCAAAACCATCACCATTGTTACAAGTCCGGCTTGAGGAATACCAGCTGCTCCTATTGATGCCGCTGTTGCTGTTACACTGTGAATAAAATGCGTGTTAGAATCTTGAAGTTTGGCAAAGTCAATGGTCTCACCTCACGGCCACAATGTGTCCGAAAGTGAGGGAAATTCCACGCAGTTGGGCGATGAATAAAGCAGCCACAGCCTCGTAAAGTGCAGTTCCATCCATATTGATCGTGGCTCCCACCGGAATGACAAATCTCGTCACACGAGGATCAATTCCCATGTCATCGAGGCAACCAATAGTGATGGGCATTGTGGCAGAACTGCAATCAAAAGGACATTGATAAGCGCATGAGCCTTGGTCTGAACTCAAAGTGATAGAAAGACAGATATTTGAAGATGGTATTGGAAAATGCTAAATTTTTATGTGTTCTTACCTGGAACCCGTGCCAAAAGCTGTAGCCAAAACTTGTCCCATCTTTGCGATATAACCAAATGGTAGCCTTTTTGTGGTCAAGAAGAACAAGACCGCAATTGTACCTGCAAAACCACAGTGGAATTAATAATGGCAAAGCAAATATAGAGGCAATTTTCGTCTATAATACCAAATCCATGGAGGAATAATCCCAGCATAACAGTGAGGAAGTAGAATCCCAATTGTCCAATCATATCGCCAAATGATTCAATCTCCAGAATCTTGGACATGACGAGGAAGAACACACCAATGGGGGAAATCCTGAAATTGCCAAATGATCTCTGCCGTAATCTCAGCGAAATGTCAGTGATTAAATGCTTGAGCGGTTCTCACCAAATCACCCAAGACGTGATGATCATCATGGCTTCGCTGAGAGCTGTGAAGAACTCCTGAAGGGGCCTTCCGCTGTCACGCATCTTCCCAATAGTCACGCCGAGGACTACGCTAAACATCACGAGGCCGAGAACATTGGTGCCTTGGGTGAACTCCGATGTGATTTTGTATTGTTGTAGGGGAACTGTGTGTGTGCGCGCGGGGGTGGAAAAGCAAATTGATAGAAAATTGGTTTTCTCTCGCCACATCTTCTATGTTGGTATCTCAAGCTCATAAGGACTAAATCCGCTTACCATTTGTGGCATTGAGTGGTGGCACCAAAATTGTACGGTACTGCGAAACGGGAGATCAGAGAGAAATCATTTATAAGTACGGTAGTTGGTTTCATCAGCAACTGCTGTAATAGGCGAACTTACTTGAAAAATTGTGGCTTGGACTAAATTGGGTGGAAAGAGATTCCGCACAAGATCCAGAAGGGTATCCGATGTGAGCACGTGCCGGGTCACAGCGCCTTTCTCCACTTCTTTGACCATTCCACCGGATCCCGGTCGGATTGAACACACAAGGATGATGCCGAGGATGACGGCGCAAATGGTTGTGGTGAAGTAGTAGATGATTGCCCTGAAAATTGCAGGAGATGCGCAAATTGATTTAATAACAGCAAAGATTCAGTGTAGGATGGTTTTGCTCTCGAAAGTATGGCATACTGCGAAAGACATCCCAATGCCACCTTATCAAGAGCATGCACACACGTTGTGAATATTCCACGGGTAATTATGTTGTTTGTCGTGTGTGAAGTGCGCAGGAAAATTTTTTTGAAGTATAATGGCATAAAAACCATGAGAATTAGAAAGGAGAAAAGAGAGAAGAAGTGTGTGTTCCATCATTTTCATCTCCACCATTCATCTACAACACAATCATCTACACTTGACCCAGAAATCAGTGGAGTAAATTCGCAATTTTTTCTCTCCCGCTCTTCGTCACCCGCCCACCATTTCCCAAGGGCAATTCCATACGTACCTGGTAGCTATTTTCCCGGACATACTTAAATCTAAGGCACCAATAGCGCTAGTTATAGATGACACTAACAGTGGCACTATGAGACACTTGAGCATTCTGCAAGACAAAAAGGGATAAAAACACAGTTGAGTGGCTGATGAAGAGCGTCTTGGCCATGCATATTTATAACTTGCCTTAGAAAGAGATCTCCCGGATATTGAAGATACATCACCTCGCGCTCTGACCAATGTTCTGAACCCATTTTGAGCAGGAGGCCCACAATTGTGCCACCAAAAACACCCACAATGGTTAGCATTGTAAGTAAGTTCCTCCGGAAAAATTGCATACATTTTGAATTACTCGATGTGTTTGACATTGTAGTTGGAAAAGGGGCGGCGAAAGTCGGCAGAACTGTAAGAAAAGAGGCGAAATGAGAGTAAATGGGGTGCATTGAGACCTGATTTCAATTAAAATTGGTCATTATCAAGTGCATGTACCCTCTGATTTATGGAGATTTATGTAGAATCTAGACAGATAGACAGATGGAGAATTAATTGGCAATTTAGCAACTAAATATGTGGTGCATCTTTCAGAGCTTAATATATGTAGAACGGAATCCTGAAGCAGTATTTTATTAAATTAATAGAAATATTGTAGTTACATCCTGACTAGAAGAGGAAACGTAATTGCAAAATGGAAGAGGAAATTTTATCAGGACATTCCAGAAAGAGTTGTGAATCGTGAAACTATTTCAATTCCCCTGCATCACCATATCAACGAGCGAACATCAAAAGTTCGTCTAGAAAGGATTTGGAGAATGTTCTGAAGGTTGTCAGAGAAAAGTGTGTTCCATTGAACAGCACTTCTTACTTAGTACTTTATACTTGCACTCGCTAAAACCTCTTCCGCTACAGAAGTGGCAATGAAATGTTATACATATAACATGAAAAGGACACTGGATATTTATTTAATTGCCAGACGCTAAGAATAGATTGATGTATTGATGAGGTGCGGTGTGTATTTCAAACCGCCAAATTGCGATCTGAATATAATATGACAACCTTTTTTCTGATGGGAATTTGCGCCGAACAGGAAATAACTTTTTGTCGCTTAATAAACCCCATTTACTATATGATGCGGGATATCATGTCATCTGAATACAACACTAGAGGCACTTCTTTAGTTGTGCCACGAAAAAGTTGTATGCCACTGATAATAGACATTCGTGTCACGAAGGGATAGTCTTTCATATGCTTTTGGGGAAGATGAAGAGACGGGATAATAAAGTGAGAGACTATCCCAAAAGTCACATCTCTTGTGTGTAATTTATACAGGGAAATCATATTGACCGAGAAATATCGATAGACAAGTTCAAGTTTCAGCATCAGCAGATTGAACGGCAACACACCTTCATCATCCCAAGTAAACTTTTATTTCACGCGGAAATGGACTTATTTAGCATCTAACAGGGTGATAAAAAGTGATTAAAAGTTGGTAATTGAGAAAGGGGTCGATCTTGAGAGTTCTTTCCTTGAAGTAGATTATCTCGATGCCATTTTAAAGTGCTATGTAAGTATAATGCCATTATATAACTCGCTGGATTTTGCTTCTCTAATCGTCTATCATAAAAAATGCATTATGACTTTTTCTCCCTCTTAATAATGTTGTCTTTCCTCTAGATAAAATCAGAGTCGAAATTACGCAATTCTCAGTTCATGAATCTGAGAAATGTCCAACAATAATAATTACGGCAGAAATCTTATCAGCTGATTTTTTTTCCTCTGGCTTGTGTACCACGAAAGAGAAGCTAAATTGTAGACAAAGCGATTATGGAAACAATTTACAAAATACAAAAGTGTGTGTTTTTTTCAAAAACACTACAGAAATTGTCAGTGTCAATATGTGATTTGTAGTTTAACTGCTTAACATTATGTCAAATATGTTAAACTGTCATGATTCCCAATCACTTTTGCTAATAGATAGTAATTGATAAATACAACAAAATACCTCATTTGCTTGGAATTCCTTTCTCGTGTCATTTTACTCAATCAAACTTAGACATAAATTTGAGATGTGATTTTTGCATTTTGTGTACTTAAGCGAACAGGAATAAGGTAAACGCGAAAAATGAGCATTAGCGAATGTGGTATGTGAGTAAGTTGGCGGGTAATCAAATGGAATTACATGTCAAGGATTTCATCCATTTTCTTCTTCTCGTCTTCTGAGGGGAAATTATCGGAATTTACCAGAAAATAGCACTTCACATAAAATCCTTATCAATCACGGTTCATCGAATTAATGTCTCTCTAATTGGCTTATGAAAGAGATGACAACAAAAGGGGATTTGGCAAAATATTCACTCACTGATATGAAGCTTACCCAATAATTAATCATATGTACATATAGTTGAGTCTTGGAAATTCTTTGAAGAAGAAAACACTGAGATTTTGTTGAGAGTGACGACAGAAACTCAACGTCTTTACTCGAAGATTTATGCATTTTGTTTTCACAGTCGTGTATTTATGCAGACTATAAAAACTATTCATAAATAGAACAATTTAATGCATAAACAGACATATAATTTGATCTGCCTACAGATGAATGTAAATTGATAAATGCAACCTGCAATTTATGAATCACAAACCTTGAATGAATGCGATGCAATTCCAATTTAGTATATATTTAAATTTAGAAGATCCCACGTGAAATTAGCGTCTTTTAGTCCACTTCCAAGACTGTCTCATGCAACGACTGTAACTGATTCAGCGTGAAAATATTCGGACACTCGACGGTGGAGGAAGACTAAAGAGATCACAACAGACGATTGGCACGGTGTCAAAGTACTGTAAAATTGATCATTAGCACAATGTTACATTAATTCTCCCACGCGAAGCCACACAAAGTCTCATCGATGCTATGGCTTTTCAGCATACAAAGATGGGTTTTTGGATCGTTACAAAAATATTTGAGACCGTCTTTTATTAGATTAAGATAAAGCGATCCACCTAATCTTGGCATTTTCTCGTAAACTCGTTCTCTTCGATTATTTATGGGCTTTTATTGTGATGTGGAGTATCTAATTTGCAACTCAGCATCAAGAGAACTTTGAGTAGACAAAGTGTATGTGATGGAAAATTCCAGTCAAAATCGTATATTATAATATTAAATACGTATCGTCAATGTGATCTTAAGGACTCAAAGTGGAATAAATTAAGACCAACTATTTTTTTATATTCTAAACTAGTTTCATATCTTAATAGCGGGTGAATCTGGTAAAATGCAGTTCAAATTGGGATTTTAACCGTATTATTCTTTTTTGGAGTTTAATTCTCGTCTTTGACTACCATCTGAGATAATATGATTATAAAACAGTCACTGACATTCATTACTATTCACGGAATGTATGTACAGATCCACTCCCTCACCGTGTTTCTACATTAAATTAAACATTGTGTCTTTAGTATTCAATGTCAACTTCACACACTCATTTTGTTTTGTAAATTCTTATCAGGCCGTAGTTTTTTCTCAGTTCTGAAATGATGAATTCTTTTTTGGTCTGCAGATATTTTCGTCTCAATTCAGTGTTCAGTGATTTTATCGATTCCCTTTTTGCCCTCAAAATCTCTGAGAGACACATTTATATCAGTTCAGTGATTCCTTTATTGATATTTCTACTTCACTTGGCAATTTCTTCAGAAATCATCGCAACCGTTCAAGAAGAATAAAATGAATTCACCCAAATAGGGTTAAATGTTCAACAATTATTGCTTTACATGTGTGAAGTTCATAGCAAATAGTCAATGAGAAAATAATAATTGTTTTGATTTGATAATGGCAATAAATAAGGAAATCGATTAGATCAGATGTCTTGTCGTGACGTTTGAAATTGGCAGTGCTCTCAATATAAACTGACGAGAGATTAATTTAATAAACCATCGGCAAAAGAAGGCACCATTCTTGAAGTGACGAGAAAATCTTTCTTCTTATACTGAAGTTTTTTTTATAGAACACTTCCCTAATCTTTTTATTAAGCATCTGATTGAAAGAATTAATGGTCTTGAGGTTGAAAACTCTCTGCTTGACGATCAATGGAATTTTTCGTGGCACATTTTTGATATTTTTAAACACACGCCTTTCCTCATTCACACTCGTGAGTGGATGTGAGAGTGACAAGAAATTCACGAGTGGATTTTATCACGCGTCTCTTGATAAATTGATAAAAAGCGTCAAGTGTGCTTTTCTCGCGATCTCTTATTACAATTTCGCTGTCTGGCAATTTTCACACGAAAATATAATAAGCTCATTGACAGGCGAGCGAAATGACATGTCTCTTTATCAATTCGCGTGTAATTATCTAATTAAACGTGTACATTTTTCGACTATACTTCGCATTTAACGTGGAGCATTCACTGTTGAAATTGTAAATTTTGTAGGCTTTTGTGGCTCTCAATCCGTGATTTGCTTATCAATTTGATACTCTTTCAATGTCAAGGGGTGTGGAATTGTTGTTCTTGGCTTGAGAGTGTAATTGAGGGCATTTCCTCTCAATCATCTTGGAGACTTACAATTGCGATAGGGAGGGATTTTTGTGAGTCATTTGCTGATTAATTGTCCCTATCGTAAAAGTAAAATGCTGTGGCAGAAATATTCCTAATTTTCTCTGCAGCTTCTTAACCCTTGAACGCTGATTTCTCCCCTCAAGGAGTGCTCTAATGTTATGAATACTGTCAAGACGTGAGTGTGTGAATTTTTTCACCCCTCATGACATATTTTTCATTTGAAATCCCAGGGAAACATGGTTGTGATTTGTCACTCTCCCTGGTGCTGATATAATGCAGAATTTTTTATCATTGTGTGCTGCGCTGGATGCTTTACTTGTTGCTATTGGAAGTGCTTTCCGAGATAGACATTTTATTGAATAGAGAGTCTCAACCACACTATCACGTCCATCTTCCACAATGGCTCGGCATTCATGTGCAGGAATAATGGTGATATGTATATTCTTTGCTATGAATTGCGGAACCTCTTTTTTCCCTTTCCCACGAGACTCGCGACGTGTGTCAATGGCAAAGTGGGAAGATTTAATTTAAAAGCAAGGCAATACTGAGGGTTCGGAAAGAGAGAGTATAATGAGGAGGAAGAGCAAGAAAATGCGGGATTAAAGTTTCGAAGATGACACAACTTGCTTGGTATTTATAGACACCGGCTTTCGGGATGATTTTCTCATCACGTTAACTAAACAAATAAAGTGAAAAGACACACTTTTAATCTTTTTGTTGTATTTTGCACACAAGAGTTTGTATATTTGTACGAGAAAATGCAACATTTTGTCACGAATTTGCACATTGTTTTCCCAAAATATCATTAAGAAGGGGACTTACACTAGCTTAAGAGTATTCTTTGTAAGTTACAACTCAGCTCTTGATTAATCCTTTTTTTGAATATGTGTTATCCTTAGAGCACACGTTTATAGAAATTGCACTGACAGTGTAACTCTTCCTCACCCAGGAATACCAAACGACAAAACGCACTCGCGAAATTCACTATGTGATTCTGTGAGAAAGAAGCTGGGAAATATGATGAGAGACACTCTATTATAAATCGGTCCAACTTGACTCTTCCTCACGCGATCACGGATGACTCTATACTAATTCCGCACTCACATCTCGAGATTCATAGCACGATGGCAACAATTTGAGGCTCACTCTCTGGATTCTGTGTAGTTGTATTGAGTAGTTAACTGGCTCGGCTTGCCTGGTGTGCTCTCTACTCCGGGAATTATTACACAGGCTTCAGGGAAGAGCAACTGCTCAGTCGCTGGGCTGGAGGTGTGATGCTAAGGGGTTGACTCGCTGAGGTTTATCGTCCACTCTTGGCGCATTTTTCTTGAAAAAATCCGAGACTTTAATCTCTTGATTTGGTCATTTTGTTGACCTTAGAGTATCTCTTATGGCAGCTGACGTGTGAATGGATTCGGATGAAAAGTGTTGAGGTGAGTGGAAAAATACCGAGCTGCGTATAGAGCTTGAGTTTGGGAGAGTCTGGAAAAAAGAAGGTATTGTGACTCCCATCTCTGTCATAGCTGTGAAGTGTGTGAGAAATTGGGAGTGTAGAAGAGAGAAAATGTGGCGGGAAATTGATGGAAATGTGTTGGTGAGTTCCTCTCTGTCGTGACTTTGTACAGCAATAGACGCAGAGAGCATAGAAGAGCTTTAATAGACAAATATCACAATTGCAGAGAACTTCCAATGCGCGCGAAAATATATCACATAGCCGAAGGGAGAAGAGCGAGACATCGAGAGAGTGTGATTAAAATGGGCGAAAACAGCGCGATGAGAGAATAAATCATATTTGCATAATTAAATGGGTGAGGAATTGTGGGTGGTGCGTTGAAAGACGTTATTAGGAAGAATAATTTCATCCCTTCAGCATCAGTCGAAAATCCTCAGATTGAGTGGATATCCTTCACCAGCAATAATTTGCAGAAAGGGCGATTTGGGATGTAAAAAATCACACCCTCCAAATCTCTTCCTTCCTCTCTTGTGCGGCTCGCGCGTCAATTAATTCCACAGAGGAAAAATCATGAACAAATTCAGCATTGGATTTTTCACACAACTTCTGCTCCTAATGATTTAAAATCCATTTATGCTAAAGAATGCAAATTAGGGGGTGGAAAATTCCTCACACAAATTCATGAGTCAGTGCCTTATCAGGAATTTAATTAAAATGTTCGATGGGATATCTTTATGTTCAGGAGTTTCTCACACAATTGACATCGGAAATTGCTCCTTGCAAGTTTCACAAGAGGTGCTAGAAATACAGTGGCGGTCAGAGATTGGATTCAAGGAGAAGCTTTCCAAGAGGATGTGTCTCAATAGAGGCAAATATCGGAAGCTCCTCCCGCACGAATGCTCCGCCCAATTAAATTAAATTGGAGCAAGACTAGTAAATTAGAAAGTATCAGCAATATTTGGTAGTATTTTTTATGTTGAGATTTACAGAAAAAATGCGAAATGACAGATATCAGAGTGGTGATATTTGAGTAAGAATTTTATGGCAACAAAGTTTGTTCAGCGAGTTTTTGCTAATCTGCAATGAAATCTCATCACGAGATCTTGCAATCAATATCTATCCATTTAGCCATAGCGTTGCCCAAGCTGACGATGGATGTGGATGCAAAAGTGTGATGTTTTGCATGGTGCGGCAGGAACCACGGATCAATTGGCGGCAATTAGGCGATTATGACCCTCTCACTCTCACCCATGGTGACAGGGATGGTCAGAATGCACAGTGAATTCACTCCAAAGGGCACAATCGTGTTCGCTGCATATTAATTTCAATTGTCACTGCAGCTGGTTTCCAATGGTGAATTCAATTGGGTCACACGTTTTGCACAATAAACGCACTAGCATGATCATAGGATCTCTTTCCTGGCCACTGTATCTCTTATTATGATGCTACAATACTTTTTCTCTGTCAGATTCTATCGCAAAAATTAATTGATGACTATTGCAAGATGAGTCGCAATTTCATATGCTAATTAATAATTCTGGTTTGTACCAGTGATCATATAAATCAAAAATGTGGGAAGCACAAAATGACACTTTGACGCACATGTTCTTCAGGAATAGTCATCATTATGTAGTCATTTGTAATCGCTGAAAATTCTCCTTTTCCTAATTAGTTGGAATTTTCTTTGTGATTCCACATTTTACCCAACTGTACGTGAATATATCTCTTCCGGAAGAGAAGAGGGAATATTTTCAAATCACTTCCATGATTTTGTGGCTGTGCGAGAAGAGGCTGATAAATGGAATTCATGCTGTGAAATACCCATAAATTCAATTTACTATTCCATCTCTTTGCCTCCACTCAACACAATATTCCTTGGCGTATCCTCTTGGGTGAATTCAGCGTTTTGCTCGTGCTTATTAGATAAGATACAGAGGGTGAGAGGAAAAACCGCATAATTTAATCCCAATTTGTCTCTTCGACGAAAGCCACCTCAATTTCTGACGAACATCTCTTGATTTTCAAGCAACCGAGACTTCAAAGTGAGTACATGAAAATTGAATCATTTTGCAGACAGCGAGATAAATCAATAGTCTCTCAATTAGTGTTATTGCTTATTTATGCCAGACACAAGTTTTTGCAGCAAACTTGCACAGCATCTCAACAGGTGGTAAACTCTATAATTCTCCAAGAGATAGGCAAATTGATAGCTTTACAATTTTATTAATATACATTTCCTTTCACTTCTTACTTGTCTATTCTCACTTAACAGATTAAAAACAGAAGAAGGTATAAGCATCCCATAATCACTAAGTCCAACAACTTATGTACTGTATTTACATCTGCAGCGGAAAAGATCGCGCAGTGGTATAATTAAAAAAAAAATTGAGAATCACAATAGCTTCACAAAACTTTCACACACACTCTGAAGAGAAATATGATACGCACGTGCGGAAAACACTGAGAACAATGATTAGAAGCGTCTAGCGTTTCATCTTGAGGCCCATGATGCAGAGAATGAAGAGCACCACAATCCATAGAATCACCACGCCAAAGCCATTCGCCACTTGGCTGTGAGTGATGCTCCAGCCTTTCGACAGAATGTTGCGGACGGCAAGGGATGGTATTGTGAAGGGGAAGGTGTAGGCAATGTACCGTAGAATAGTTGGCATGCCCTCGAGTGGCCACAGAAGTCCTTTAAAGAAAATGAACATGAATTTTCTTGTACATATAGGAACAGTGAGATTAACTAACCGCAAAGGATAATCATGGGATAAAAACTGCCAGTGGCCACGAAACTTGCTGTCGTGTGGGATTCACAGAAGATGGAAATTAAGAGACCTGAAATATAGTTAGGCATAATAATAATTTCACAGTGGCTTCGCTTTAATATCAATTTTTCTCACCAAAGAGCATCCCAGCAAATCCCAGAAGAGTAAGGAGACCAATTACTGTGACGTTGTCGCCACGATTTTCCGCATTGAAGAAATAGGCCGCATAGAAAACCACCTCAAGGCATTGGATCACCATGATCACAGATTGTGTGATCACGTGCGCCACCAAAAGCTCAGTTACAGATATTCCCGCAATTAGAGTGCGATCCCAGACTCCGTCCAGTTTATCGGTGATGAAAATTGTGGATGTAACGAGAGTGGCGAGGAAAAATACCATCCTGAAGAAAAGACAATTGACAAGGCAATGAAAATTCAAATGGAAACAGGGATATCATATAACAGAAGTATCTGGATATGCTGAATTCAAGCAAAATCGCAGGAGAAAAGAGGGATATCTTACGTCATAATAATTCCTGGAGCAATGAACTCCTTGAACTCTCCCTCGGCGTAGCCAAAGATGGGCTCGTGGAAGTGAATGGGAATATTTCCCAGGGCCACAGGCAATTCACAATCGGTCATGAGGTTCTCTGAGAATTTGTGATACGTCGATCTGAGTTTTCTCTCCAGGAAGAAGGAGATTTGCTGGTCTGTCATGTCCATGAATATCTGAATTTCCCCATTATAGAAAGACTCATTGGCTGCATGTCGTCCCTCGTCACGAATCTCAGCGATGGATTCGGTGAAGTTGCGGGAAAAGTGTATGTAACCGGTGATTTTTCCTCTCTTGGCGGCATCGTGGGCCTCATCTTTGGTATCAAAGTACACCTTCTTGGCGATGTCCGGCGTGAGTTCGTGCAGAAAGCGACACGAGATCTTGAACAGATCGCACGTGTAGTCATGGGCAAAGGTGGTGATCAGGGATTCATTTTGGCACACTCGAAAATCATCTATTTCGTCATTCACGATGCCCAGCTGAAGGTCACGCGGATTGCCACCGATGGCCAGGTAGAAACATGAGAGCTGGAGGATGGGGAATAGGAAGCAGAAGATAATACCACTTGGCTGTCGAATCAGTTGCAGGATGTTCTTCGTCATGAGGGCTTTCATGCGACTCTTGGAGGTGATGTGTAATTTCCCTGCGATTCCTGGTCGCTTGGACTCCTGGAAGGAGCGATTGCGCTTCAATGGACTTTTTTTGGGCCCATCCTCAATTGCCTTCTCGTCCGTCACCACATCGATTGGCTGATTGGGGGTCAGAGTGACACGCTTGAGGGTCGAATCAGCCTCTTCAGACTTTCCCTGTTTCTGACTCAGGATCAGAAAGGCATCTTCCAAGGAGGAGCAATCGAATTGCGTAAGAATATTCCTAGGCGCGTCCTCAGCGAGTAAAATTCCATTTCTCATGAGTCCAATCTGTAAAAAAAACAGAGAGTTAGCATCTTTTGAAGACAAGAATGCTCTGGTGACTCTCACTTTGTTTGCCTGATTGGCTTCCTCAATGTAATGAGTGGTGATGATCACGGCCAATTTGCTGCTCCGTGTGCTCTCGACGAGGAAATGCCAGATCTTCTCTCGCAGAATTGGATCCAAACCGACAGTGGGTTCATCGAGGATCAGGAGTTCCGGTTCATGAACCATGGCGGCGGCAAAAGAGACACGCCTCTGCTGACCTCCGCTGCAGTTCACAATGAACCTGGTAATTTTGATAGACGAGATAAGTTAGCGGATTTGCGGGATTTTATGCGAAAAAAGCAAAACAAGAGAGTGTTGATCTTAATTACAGGCTAATTAGTGGTGTCGATATTCTAGAGGGAAATAAGCGATGTGTGTGCAAAGCTGTGTGTTGGTCAGACAGTGTGGCAGGGAAGTGGTTGTTAAATTGTGGCATTTTTCTAATACATTGGAAAATTGCATGTAACATTAGAAGTCACTTTTTAGTAAGAAAGAAGCATAAATTATATTAATTTACATGTACTGTTATTAACCTTCGCCACAGTTTATTAGGAAATAATTGCAACTTGTGCAAATATCGTTGGCTTTATCGGAATTTATGATATCTAGGAATTTGATATTCTTTTAATTCGATCACCTGTTGGCATCCGGCAGTTCCAGTAACTCGTGAAGCAATTTGAATCGCTCATAGATGCGATCTTCACTCATGCCGTAGATGCGACCGAAGTAGTATAGAGTTTCTTTGATGGTGAATTCATCCACGAGGGCAACTTCCTGATGAATATTCAATTGAAATATGAAGTGTGACAGTTGTTGTTCAGCAAATAACTGGATTATTCACCAACCTGTGGCATGTAACCAATGCGCGGACCAGGAACCCCAGAACCTGGCACGCCAGGTGGACGCCCCAGGACGTTGATCTTGCCCGCATTGAGCTTCCTCACGCCCACAATACAAGAGAGAAGTGTGGTCTTTCCACATCCAGAAGCTCCCAACAATCCATATATCGTTCCCGTCTCAACGGTCATGTCCAAATGATTGAGAACGATCTTCTTGTGGGGATCAGAAGAACTCCCGAAGTACTTGTAACCACCGCGAACTTCCACGCTGGTCATTTTGCAAAGCTTCTCTGTATCCGGATGCCAGTGAAATGTTCTGCAAAAAAAAACATTTTTTCGCATGCAAATTGACGGAATGAGTAATTGCCTTTTATGGGAAACTATGGACAAAATTACACTCCGGATTTTAATGGATGTTTTGAGGAAAAATGTAATTAAAGTGACATACTGGAACTACAATTTCCATCATCATTCATTCCGGTACAATTTGCCATAGAACACGAAAAACTGGCCCGATCTCTCACAATGACTTCGTCAATCCAATGCAGTTTTCTCTTGCTTGATTTTTTTGCTCGCGCGACGCATGGAAAAAAGATATAAATTTTCTAACTCGCCATGTGCATTCGCAATATATGAAGGTGAACTACATTTTCCAATCAGGCGGCTTCGCATGTTGATCCATAAAGTAAAACTAGCGGCTACTCTCTGAAGGTATTCACGACAGTAGTGAGACATAAAAAAGAAGGTGCTTTTTTATATTACGATTGATGACGACAATATGTTGAGTGGTGGTGAAAAATTGCAATTTAAATTCAATCCCTGTTCTCGTTAGCAATAACTTTGCCTTCTTTTGGGAAGGAACCTCCTGTCACTTGTTGTGTGTGCCTTCGTTGAATGAAATTGAAAATAGTTTTTTTTCTTATTAACCTTTGGCGACAGGAAATTGGTTATTTATGCTAATGTTTTTCCAAATAATTTACTGGAATGTTTTCTTGCAGTCATACAGATGAGATTGTCTTCGAAATGTTCTGATAATTTCCTTAGTGAAACCCTCATTTATGGTCTTCGTATTTTTACCATCTTCATATCGTTAAAAGTGAACATGTTAATGTTTTAAGTCGCTCTTCATCCTCTTATTATTAAAATATTGCGACGATTGTTATTTTTTTGCATTCGGAGGATATCTATTCATATAATCTGTGTTCCCTTTACTCCTGTTCATATTTAGTTTTTCAATTTCCCGGTATTTACTTTTATGTACAAAAACAAACAATTTTTTCAAATTTCTGGTCCATCAAATAATAAGTGCCGGAATCCATAAGTTCCTTCAGTTGGTAAATTAACACTATATAAATACATGCAATCACATTTGTGTTGTCATAGAAATTCACAGTGTATTGTGAAAATCTTGTGAGGTGATCTTCCGATTCGCGTATTGAATTTTGTAGTGAAGAGAAGTGACTTGAGGAGTTGGGGAAAAGCACACGTGCTTCAGGTTGGATTGCAGAGACACTATGACTATAATACTGTGTAGGAAAAAATAGCATTGACGCGGATTTCTCAAGTGATTCTCATAGAGCTTGTCTCTTGGGCTGTTTTCTCACCCATCCATCTTCAATTTATATTTTTTGCTTCGCTGAGTGTGTTCCAACATCTCGAAAAGCCAAACATTACATGGCCAAATTTTGCCTCTTTGGTTTCACTTCTCCAAAAAATCATTTGTGCCTTGTTTTCCTCCACAGCACAGCGCAAACCATTGTCTTGCCATGCGACAAAGTCGCGCGGTGCGGAATCAATTTGTTCCAATGCGCGAATGTGCCGATATTTAAAATTTGAATCACACTCGCAAATCCATTTCTTCACTCTTACACTTTGGCGAAGGTCAATCTATAAAATTACTATTTCACTGGCGTGTCTTGGCAGCTCCTAATTCACATGATGTCACTCAATTTGGGTCACGCGAAATTCCCTCCAAAAATTTCACATCGTGACTGCATCGCGCACGCCTTTTTTCATTGTCATCACAATCAAAAACCAGATTTTTTAACACTTTCCTTCTTACTCAGTCTCTTCACTCTCCATACATCGAACCTTATGCAACACTTTTGCTCTCTATTTGCACTACAAACCTCCACAACAATGTTATTAAACATGCGAGAGAGAGAGAAAGAGATGAAAAGCATTTTGTAATTTACATAATTTTTCTCCATGACTTGTTTCTGTCTATTTTCGGTGTGTGTTTTTCTCCTCAATTATCATAAACAGTGACATGATAAGTACACAGGATGATTTTTTATTTCACTTTGAGCAAAAATCAATTGTAAATATTGCTGATTGATCTTGCAATAGTGTGGGAATTCTCGAAAATCCTAAGAACCTTTCCTACACCTGTTCTGCTTCTCTTCAGATCATTACAGGGGGGAAAATGCTAATTGTGCTGAGAAAACTTGCATAAATATTGCACTTTAAACTGATAATTTGCGTACGCAATTACACATCGATACAGTGTTTAAATGCATCATCATCTAAGTAAATCATGGGTCACATATGACCCAGAAATTGTCTAATCTCAGTGTAGAATTGCAAAGAAAACGCCTCACAGTCAGATGAATAAGGAAAAGTCGTGGAAGTTGAGGAGAAAAACACGATTTAGTGACAATTTAGTGAGTTTGCAGCACGCATCGAGACGCCAAGGACAATCGTTCAATTAACTCTAGCTTAGAGTAAATTGCAGTTTGAAGTCCCTTTCACGTTATGTCAATTAGCAGTGGTGTGAATTTTGAAATCGCGTACAATGTCTTGAGGAATGGGAAAGAAGAGGGAAAAGCTTGTGAAAATGTGCTGCATTCGCTGGGGTTTATGTCTTATTAAAAGGTCAATTCTTGACTATATATAGTCTAGAGATATTCGCAGAGATTGTGCAATAATTTCCAGCAATTTTTGCCTTCGCTGGTTTAACGACTCCCACTTGCAAAAGTATTTCCTAAAACAGACACAAATACCATTGAATGTATATTTTCTTGTCGTTTAGCATTATGTATACTTCAGGCTGTGCACTTTTGAAATCGGAAATTCACAGACAGCGCCGCAAAATACCTGTACCAATGTGGCGAATGCGCGAGATGGGAAAGAGAGAGAGAGAGAGTGAGATGTTGTGGCATGAAAAAGATCTTGAGTAATTCTTCGCGGGGAGGGCAAAAATGGAGAAAAATGTTTGTTGTTATGTGTGCACGAAAAAAGTGGCCATTTCCACAGCTTCAAAATCTGACATAAAAGAGTTCATTATATCAGAGAAAAGAAAGAGAGAGACACGGAGAAAGGAGAGTCTCTTATGCAATTTCCATATAAAACTTACGATGCTGAAAGAAAAGGAACGCGATTGATGGTAAAATGTAAGAGAGATATAGTTTTATGAATGGCACAATCACGCATACTGTCTTACGTCGCGCCTAATTTTCTAGAATAACAGTACGCCTGGTTTTCTAAGGATTTCCCAAGACTGTGGTCAGTTGGACCTTTCTTCACTTCTCTTCACTGCACAATTTTTCCTTTAACATGCTCTTTTTTATGTAATGCTTGATGAAACTGAACAGCTGTCTTTGGTGGATGAACAAAGGCAAAGAATGTACTGGCATTGAAGATGAAAAGTTTCACTTTTCCTCTCATTATGGCGATGATGATCAAGACATTGTGGTTTTATCACCTCTCTCGATCACGGAGAAAACTCCCTCAATTTTCGCCTCGCGGCCACGGCAGATGCGCCACACTCTCGATCGCGTGAATGGGGACTTTCGGCACTTCCTTCACTGATCACCACACATTGTGTCACGCGACAGATGATGTCCGAACGACTCCAGAGGCGCTGCTGAGGTGCAAAGAAAGAGTTACACAATAGAAAATCGCATAGACTTTTGTCCCGAGCGCGAGAGTAAAAGTCTGACAGAGTCTGAAACGTGCACGGGTGCTTGGGTGGGAATCCAATGATGGGGAGTGTGTGGAGGGGTGTACAATTGGCTTGGAAAAGAGCGCGCGCGCGATCGCAATTCACCTGCGCACTGTTCAACAGTTCGCTAGAGACTGATCGATGAACGATGGTGGAGAACTGTGCAAAGCGCATTTGATCACGACACATTGCCAATATGTTGAGGAAATTCCTATTCCATCGATCACAAACATAATTATATTGTCAACTCTCCATGTCAGAGTCGCAATAACCCGAAAAGAGGCTCTACCTCATCAGTCGTGCGTGAGTGATTTTGATGTGTGAAATGGCTGAGTTTGCACTTATGCGGAATAGCAATTGCAGTTAAAATGCAAATTATTGCTGGAAAATTGATCAGCTTTGTGTTCCCTCTTCACGGAATTTATCAGAGGGGAATGACTCACTTCGTCCTCATTGATGTAATCGAAGAGAGTTAGTGAACCTCGACAAAAAGTCTAACAACAAACAATTTAGTGGTGGGAGAATGATTAGAGTTGCTCTTGCTCAGGGCTTAAGTCTTCTCCAAGTGCTTTACTTACCGCGATCATTCATGAACAGCACAGTTTTTCTTAAAGACGATCGCTGAGATAATGTGTGTAGGGGAAAGTGAGAGTATTTTGAACAGTATCAAGGTCCTATAGGTTTTTTTTATGAAATATGGTAATTTTTCTACCTTCTGGAATTCCTTATTACCAGCGTCGTCTTAGCAATTTGTCGAACAATTATTTGATTGACTATCGCTCCTTGAGCCAATCATTTCTACAGTTGAAGTTCTCATCTTACTTTTACGATACAAATACTGTTCAAATGAGTCCCGCAATACTTTATTTGCATTGTGACTTGTGAGCAAGCTTGTGAGTGAAGAGAGAAAACATGAGAACATAAAAATCCAATTAAAAATACAGTGAAAAAGAAAACCTGCGAAATATAATCGATATTACATAATGAGATCATGGAAATTTGGAGGAACAGCCAGATGAGTGATCTTCCACAGATCGAGATCGCTCGAGGCATTGCAAGAAGTCTTGCGTTATTCACGCAATTTCCTCCGTACATTATTTCATTCGGTGAAATTATTACTGAGTATGATAAATAATTATGGAACTTAAGACAGTGAAAAGGAAAATAAACACCTTGAGCGATGCGATGGAGTAATATTTAGACCACGACCTGTTCAACAATATAAGCACAGACATTTCTCTCAAAAATGTGTGACTCTCTCTGTGAGAGAAAGGGCAATTTGGATGTGTTTCTAAACAAAAATCGTTATAACATTTCTTATGCGGCAGCATTATGCAATATTCCACTAATATATTTCACTTTTTTAGGCATTTTTTTTTTGCTTTTTTCCTCTGTAGTCAACACACAACGGCCGAAAACTTTGACTTTGTGTAAATACAAAGCACACAGCGAGTTGATGTTTGTCTGCTTATCAGGGCTAATATGTACTGTGGCAATAACTCATCCGGAAGGAAGATTTCAATCGCATATCTGATATTTCTCTGCCCGTTTGTGAAATTCCTGTTTTTTATTTGCTATGAAAAATACCTCCTAAGCTCCAAATTCGCGCAGATTATATGACAAAAAGTGATATAATACGAAAAAAGTGAAAGAAACCAATTTGACTAGGAATTAAAACAATGCTCTTCAACTGGGAGATGGCGTGAGGACATGAATGAGATAACTTTTATTGAAATGCATTTCTTCATTGACACTCTTTCTTCAAACACCCTCAGATCTTCAACAATGTTTTCTCTATATTTACAACTAAAAGGGGAAAAAATATCTTATGGAATTGGAATACCATCTTTATACCGATTCATTTTATACCTATAAATCTATTAGCACTTCCAACAATTCGTGATACTAAAAGGTTAAGCATTTATGTGTCAATAGAAGGCTGATTTGTTAGATTTTCTTTCTCTTCTATAAAGTATTACAAATAATAAATACAATAAACCAAATGGAATCCTCATGATGAATACAATATACTTCACCGCAATATTTTTATATACTCTGTGCAGCCCTTTTTGGTGTTTCACATCATCACAACACACGAGATTTTTCAACTAACTTGCTTTGTTTAGCAAAAAAAATAATATGTATAATTTACATGCCGATATCAATCACACTACATTAAACAGTTCTGGTTTCATGAAGAAAACATTGTTTGCAATGATTTCCTATAACTCATCTTTGGCCATTGCACTGTTTTGGAGAAGAACTGTTGCATTTGTCACTATTTTCTCACACACCACACTCACTTTCTTCAGCAGTTCCACCGCAATCTGCAGAACTTTCTGCCATTTCACCATCTCCGCAGAATGCAAAGCCTCTTGTTGTTGCATCAGTTTGATCCAGTCATCGTGTGTTTTGGGAGGATCTCTGGAAACAAAAAGGGATGTTTGATCAGTTCTTGCGATTCACCATCAATCTTTTATTCTTACTTGAGTTGAAGAAAGTCAGGATAGCGATGTCTTCCCGCCTCACGCGTCTCCAAGTCCCACAGTTTTAGATAGAGTATCACATTGAGTAGAATCAGTGTTACCAGCAGGATAATTACGAACCACGACAGCGATTCGTACTTGATCTGCCGCGTTGCCACTTGATCTGTTGTTACAGCGATTTTCGCCGTAAACGGCACCTGTTTAGTCTTCGATGGCTCCTCAGTGGGCCTCTGTAAGGATGAATTGCCTGCAATCGGGAATCAATGGGTGTGTTAGATTATCATATCACAGAGAATGTACAAGCCTGCGTGGCCTGCGGGAGTCTATTTACCACGACGCGGTCTTCTGCCCTTCGCCTTGGCCGGTGGAATGCAATACTCATTCTGCAAAGCTCTCACAAGTGCCGTGTAGAAATCCTCCAGTCCATTCCACGTATTCTTCTCAATAAATCCCTTCACGAAGCCCCACACGGACTTCTTGTATTTGATCTGTGCATGCACAGAGAACATGGTGTGGTCATCCACTGTGCGCACGAGGCAATAATGCATTGTAGCGTAGAAACTGTCTGCATAGGGAATCCCAGCGTTGGATGAGTGAATGTCCACGGAATAAAGCTGTCCAGGCTGTGAGCATTCACGCAGAGTCTGCACTTCAGTCACATCAGTACTCTTGGGACCTACAGGCTGTGCCAAAGCCACCGTGAGCGTCACTGTACGCTGCTTCAGTCCATCTTCATTCGTCATCCAGTCACCGTGCACCATATTAGTCGTCTTGCGACCCTCGTGGAAGTTCTCGAGGAATTTTGACTTGGAGAATAACAGATTGAAGAGAATGTCCACATTTATTGGGAGGATTGTGTGAATCATCTGTCGTCCCTCATGCATTGATGTGCATTCTGGTTGTCCAATGAGGCTAGTAAGAAAGATTCTTTAGCTGAGAAGCTCATAAGGCAGAGAATTATAGTAAAGATAGACTCACTCCATATTTTTATCTTGCTCGGAATCACTGGTGTCGGACATGTCCGTTGGAATGTGCTTATTGGCAGTCTCTTCACTTCTTCGCGAGCCTTTCTGCAATCTCTTCTGACCACCTGTGGAACTGCTCTCGCCCTTCGATGGCATTTCACCCGTCGCAGCTGGATCACTCGACGTCTGATTATTGATAGATGCCATCATATCACTCTCTGGATTACTCTGTTCCTTTTGGGTGTCGAAAAACACAAAAGACATACACACACACACACCGTTAATTTACTATCAGTTCGAGGGGTGATGATTCACAATTAATTACATAGAGCAGTTGGAGGAAAGCAGGAAAATTTTGTATGGACAACGACAAACCCCTCGATTTCAAGTATGTAACGATCAGCCCAGTCTAGTTATCTTATCACACAGTCCTCATGCCCAGTGATTAATTTCAAAATTCCCCCTCACATCAGCCGAAAATTGTGATAAGCGAAGTGTCTAGCCTAGTTTATGGGAGCTTGGCTTCCTTTCGCAGTATTTTGTCAGACCTTATTTTACACAATAACAGTGACAAACAGCGACCGAGCAAAGATCTTTTAGACTATTTAAATACTGAGGTTGGATAATCAAAAAAAAAAAAAAACATTATCTTCATCTTAAAGAACTCTACGCAGACTTTGGATTTATAGCAAAATAGTTCGTCGAACTTATGGCTTGATTTTACGTTATGTCATTTTCAAAGACATAATAATTAACACGAAAAATTCTCTGAAATTCGGTTGTTGTCAACAAAGCGTTGAACGTCGCGAATTTAATCGCATCCTCATGTTATTTTGGTTACAGCCACGATTACACGTGCATAAATTCACAGATATGAAGTCACATTTTCTCTCACAAATAACCGAAGTATTGAAAATATCTGCAAAACTCTTCAATAGGCGCTGATCTTCATAATCTTATAGCCCTATAAGATCTTATACAATCATACGATTTTTGTTGCTGTCGATATTTACAAAAAATGCAAACACATAATATGGCTACATAAATATGCTATCTAATGAAAAAACAGAGAAGGAGTTAAAAGCTTTGGATAACTTGCACTTTTACAAAATGGAACTACACAAGATTCATTCATTCACATTTTCATCAAGATGTTGTAGTCTTGATCTTTACTTCTGTACTACAATTGAGGTCAACACTTTCCACGATTCACACTTTTCCCCACTTAACTTATTGATTTTGCGCTACTGCGCTCTTTGACTGATCACATACCTCAGAAATACTGTCTGTAGATATTTTCAATTTGTCCATTTGCTGATTTCCTTTCGGATAGTCACGATCTTCGTATGGATCAATATAATCCTCATCGTCACTCGTTAATCCAAGTTCGTCACCATAGCAATTGTGCACCTGAAAATACCCAGTCGATAGTTAATTGTAGACTTGTGGAGGACAAGTGCACAACTCACCCATTGCCACATCTCCTGTGGCTGCATCTGCTTGTCCATGAGGGCATTTTGCCACACGCGGAAGAGCATCAAATACGCCTTATCGCGCGTCGCGAAGGACGTGAGAAAATGCTTATCACTATCTGTGCACACGAGAATCGCATTTGGTATCACGCGGGCGGTCTTCTCCTTCGTGATGGATGTCACATCCTTCCACTTGATGGACAATGATGTTTCCCAGCGAAAAATGTTGGCGTAGAAGCAGAGGAAGTTCTGTGACACGTACAATCGACCGTGGACTAAAATGTCTTTCTGCAGAGCACACGAGTAATCTGAGGACAGTGGAATCGATATTATAGAAATTATAATTTCATATTGATGAGCTCACGAAAGGTCAAACTTTACGGGAAGTGATATTTAGAATTCTAAGCATTGTTTCTGGCTCACCGACAACAAGACGTTCATCATCTGGCACTCCCTTGAAGAGCTTCTTGAAGTCCTCAGATCGGGATTTGTACGTGGGATACAAGACACTGTACCAGGATTTCTTTTTCGCTCTTTCAGACACTTTCGATGTGCTCTTGGGCCGTTCGATTTCCTGCGAGGCCGATCGATTCAGCGGTGTTCCTTCGTTGAGATTCTGCTTCTCCTCGGGATGTCGCAGCCTGACCTCTTCGCCGCTGTCCGAAGGACGCTCCAGTGGTGCTGGGACGCTCAAGTGCGTTTCACTCTTGGAGTGCTCCTTCGACGAAGTGCTCTTGCCGTCCGTGGAAGAGGGACTGGGACTTCGTCTGCGCAACAGTGGCGATGCCTGAAGAACTGTGCCGCTGGTGAATGAGATTGCCTGACTAATGCTGTTGCCCAGAACATCTTGAGAGCCCGCCAGGAGATCCTCGACTGATTTTCGCCTGAAACGACCGCACAAAAGGTATCTTATTAGCATCCAATTGTGATGTAACACGGCCTGAAAAGGACATTCTCCTTCATACTTACTCAGCTCTAGCGATGTCATTGTTATCAACAGTGTTTGAATTGGTATCGGGCGAGTTATCAGATGAGTCTCGTGTTTCTTTGTGCCTTTGTAATCGTATCAAAAGCATTTTCAGCACGTGAAATAAGCCATAAACAAGACATAATGGAAAGAAACAAAATCCCAAATTAAACACAAATCAATATAAAGTGAAATGCAAATTATTTTATGTGATAACAGAACAATAAAGGCATATCAAGGTAGAACTGGAAAATATAGTGTGACTTGATGCAGAAAGTTTCACTCCCGGACTACAAAACTGAGTCACTGAACCGAATTGTGTGTGAATTAAAACCACTGGCAAATCTAATTAGCACCACGACAAAAACTTTTTGGTGATAATTGTGCAATATATTTCACGAAATAGAAAGAAAAGAGGCAGAAAAAGTGAGAAAAGGGGCGAAATTCGGTGATGTACGGAATATTTTTAATGTTGTTCCTGGGTTAGAATACTTACATGGATGAATTTTTAGTCTTGCTCTGCTTAAAATTCATGCCAGACAGCCCCAGACGAAGCAAAACCCCCTTATTTCACCTTCTCATGCACTTTCGCAGCAATTAAGCATGATTTCACAGGGATTTCTTCGTTTTTAATAACCTGGGCAAACAATCACAACAGCAAACTGACAAAGACTGACATTGCCGCCATTTGTATAACACTTTTGGGCGCTTTTTTCGAGCAGTTTCATATGGCGCTGAATTTTTCCTGTGATAATTTGTCCGCTTGTTTTGCTCCAAAATTTCTCTGTTTCTCCCGTGATTTTTCATAATATTTTCCTGTTAATCCCTCCACGATGAGTGGGTGAGTAAGACATTCTGTTAAAACGACATTCTTCAGTGGTTTTGGGCTGATATCCTTTGCCTATTGGTTTGAGGTTATGCCTCTTATGTTTACAAAACAACTCATTTTCCGATGTGTTCTTTGCGCAAACTCCTTTGTGAAAATCGATTTTCCTACATTGCGATAGTATTGTGCAAAATAAAACAATCTCTTTTGACACTCTTCACACAATAATCGTGAAAATTTTGTGTTTTCCTGGTGTGCCTAAGATCGGTGGTGTTTTCATGGGCACTTTACTGTTCGTTGCAGATTCTGGGAGTCTCCGGAACGCGAGACCCACTTCGACATAGTGTCGAGGGAGTCCTTTGATGTGTCAAGCACTCCAAAGTCGGTGAGTTAAAGGCGCGCCTCCATTTGCCTGACAAGGCATTAAAGTTTCTTTCCTGTGGCTTTTGCAGCGATTCCCGAAGTTTCCGGACGAATCCCAACGCCTGAGGAGGAATTTGTACATCTCCCCCATTCAGGATTACAGGTATAGAATATATTGATATCCACGTTCTCAACTCGCTGTCTGCGCTAGACAAATAATGGGGCGATAAAGCAGGTGAAAAGCGGATAAGTGGCCAGTAAAGCTTCTCCGTGTGAGGGAGATAATAATAGAAATAGATTTTATATCGTCACTCCGGCCATCGCGAGCCCGTTAAGAGGCGCCCCCCTTCCTCATATACACAGAGCGAGAGAGAGAGTTGGGCTTGATGAATCATTTCGAGTTGAGTTGCTGTCGGGAGCGGTGTCTTGTTTGTCCTCCGGAGACGTTCTATCGATTGCCTCCACCCGCCTACAAAGTGTGAGGATTCCGCAGCGGCACCCGAATGTCTGTGCCGCTCAAGTGATTGATTTCTCGCGCTCTAGCATTTCCCAGAAGCGCTCTTTTATCTGTTGCTCGTAAAGTCACGAGAGTGATTTGGCTGAAATCGTTGCTCTTTATCTATTTCTGGTGCGCGAGTGACAAATCCGCACTTCTGTGTGTGCGAAACGGACTTGTCCCATTTTCACGCGTATTCCCGCGGTGTAGGAGAAAAAGGAGAATATTGTGGAACGGAGAAAAATCATTGGAAAACTATCAAGGTAGTTTTGTTGGAAATTTCTTGGCAAATGCCAGTCAGAAATGCTATAATTCACCGAAATCACCCTGAAAATGTGTTCTTGGAGGAAATTCATGTGGAAAATTTGCACTGGTGAATAAGAAATCTCAACTCCCACGAGCCTGAACTTGAGGCTTCGCTCCTGCGTGAAAATCAATAGCAAATTGAAATGGGTGGGTTTTTGCGATTCCCTCCTAAAGGCATATCATTTGCATTATTCATTTGCCATACGCAGGAAAAGTGCCCCAAAGTGGTTGTTTTGGGGCGCTGAGGAAATTAATTCACTCCACTGCTCTCTCTCTCACTCGAGCGGCTGTATATCGATCCTCACCGAGTCATTTGCATGAAGATTAATTCGTCCACAGATTAGAGACAACGATGTTAATTGGCTTCATTGACGATTTTTGGCATGAAGAAAGTATGTTGTTGTTTCTTTGGTGAAATTTATGATCCGTTAACATTTGGTGAAATTGAAATTTATCGCTTCTCTTCGCGCGGCCTGCGGCAACAGAATGTCTTTTCAGCCAATTCTGTCCACCTATTCGCGCTATCACAATGTGGGGATAAAAAGAAAGAGAGTGGCACGTGTGACGAGGACTAAAATTAACCACTCCTTTCATTCTGCATTTTATCATCCTCAAGGTTCTTTTTTCTGCTCCAGTCACTCTCACTTTATTTATTCAGAGAGACTTCCACTTCAAGGGTCATCATTGTTGTTATGTTTCGCTTTTTTACAATTAGCCTGAGAAAGGAGCGCTCGATGGGGGCAATTTCAGGGGCGTAAACACATAAAAAGGCATTGCGTGAAGCACTTTCAATTGCGACTGAGTGAAATTCGTGAATTTAGGGAACATTGGAGCAATTTAGATGTTTTCTTTTTGACATATAAATTTCTCGTAAAAGAGATGTGCTACAAAATATCACAAAAAGGTTCATTCAAAGCCTGAATAATACGAAGAGTGTAACTATAAAAATACAATGTTCCTCCAATGGTGTTCAGAGAAGACATAAAACCCTCATAGAACATTTTGTTATCCACCCACACCTGTTCATAATAACTCCAATCTCCTCTAAACCTGTGCGTTTTTGTTGGGGCAAAATAACACACTATAAATGCCAGAAAGAGCGTTTTGAAACGGAGGAAAAATCATGAATAATTAAGTGAAAAGTCCCAAGAGACAGCAAAAATATACGCAACTCTTTAATTTACCCACCCATTAAAACATGTTAGACAAATTATGAAATGGGTCGTTTCTAAATATTTCTGCTCTATACGACGACGCTCAGAAAGTGTGGAGTTCAGAGACCCTCAAGTGAAGCGTTTTCCATTGGGAAACTGGGTGTTTTTCTGCCAAATCCGATTTTGTCGTCATGTGAATTAATTATGAGAGTGTTTTGTCGCTTAAACGGAAAATATAATCCGTTTTCTCTATGAAATATTCACGTTGTATTTGGTGTGCTGTTCTCAGGTTTTCGCTTTCTTTTGCTTACAGATTTCGCACTCCTCGTCAGAAGTGTCGGCTGTCCTTTGAGTATCCACAAAGTGTTCCTGGACGAGTGTCTGAGTGTTCCGATGGTCGGGCGAATGTGAGAAGATTGCTTCATTGGCGCCAGAAGCGTCTCAGCATGGAGAAGATCCGCGTTGACGGTGCCAATGGGGTGCGCTTCACAGCTAGGAGGGCGAAGGGATGCTTCACGCCCGGCAGCACGGGCAGCCCCTTCACCAGTGGCTCGCTGGTGGCTTCCGCTGCCTCGGAATCACTGATGCGCATCCCAAAGTCTGAGATCAATCCCAACAAGGCGGTCTTCACCATTGACTCGAAGACATCTCAGATCCTGATTGTGAATAACAATGCTTGTCAGCTGCTGGGCTACAGTTCGAGAGAGCTGTGTGAGATGCAATTTGGGACGCTGCTGGCCAACAAGAACAAGCAGCATGTGTCCGCGCTGGCGGAAGGACAGCTGAATAGCGAGGATGGAACGATGGTGCTGTTGAGTGGGAAAGTGGTTGAGATGAATACGAAGGGCGGCACGCCGATTGCTGTCAGCCTGTGGATTCGGCAGATTGACTCGGAGGGCAGATGTCTGGCCGTGGCGGAACCGGTGGAGCGTCGGGTGGCTGAATTGGTGATTGACAGAACAGGATTTATAATATCTGGAGACTATGAGGCACTCTTACTGTTTCAACTCGACACGGCGGATCAATTTAAAGGGATGGACGTTACTAGTCTCATCCCAGCCATTCATTTGCCCGATCCGGAGAGCACTGGAGCCATTCCGAAGCATGTGAGAAAGCAGAAAGCCACTGGTAGAACGTACGATGGAATCTCCTTTCCGCTCTGTCTCATGATTACGCGCCAGGAGGCCAGTGAAGAGGAGGAAGCTACCCCACCGCTCTTCACAGTCACCATTTGGGTGTTCACCAATCTCAGCGGTCTGATGGTGATTGAAGAAACAGGCGTGATCGAATCCTGCAACCATCACTTCTCCATGCTGATGTTCGGCTATGCTCAGAGCAAGATTCTGGGGCAGCATATCACGAAGATCGTTCCCAACTTTGGCCAGGAACTCGAGTATGTGGGATATAATCGAAGTAGGAATGCCACAATCTCTTCGCTGGGCAATGAGGAGTCAGAGACAGAAACTGATCCGGTTTACGTGGACAGAACGGACACTATGTCCAATTCTGCTGACGCTGGCAAGGTTTGTCTGGACTTTACGTCGTCCAAAGTGAGCTGCTCGGCAATCTCTGAACTTTCTGATGACATGAGCAATCTCAAATCATTGTCTAGTGACACACGATCGGATTTGGAGGCCTCAAATGTGGCTGTGATAGCCAAATCTGTGTCTGATCATGTGCTGGCAGCGGAGAATTATGAGAATAACAAGAATGTGGCCAATACGGTGAATAGTTTGATAAATGCCGAGTGTATGGGCTTCGCGAAGGAATTGAATTGTGCTCCTGTTGTGCCACCACCTGATCCGGATCTCCTGACGCCCGTCAATGAAACAGATAGAAGTTACTTGAGTGCCACATCGCAGCCGGAGGAATTGAATAACTTGTCGCAGGGCGGCAGGAAACCACAACCGCCCAGCAGCAGGAATGTTATGGAGGTGAGGAGATCATCAGGCACCAGAAAGAGTCAGTTGCCGTTCACGGATGGGAAGTACAAGGGTGAGGCGATTCACTGTGACGGGAATATCATCGATATCTTGTATACAATTTCAAGTCAGACACTTCCGTGTGGCGGGAAAGTTTACTGTGTGTGGATCTGCAGAGATCCGGACACGGATTATGAGTTGAATGACGAAGAGGAGCGTCATCAGAACCTCACATTGACTTTCAACAGTGTCACCAGCACAGTTGAGAATTCTCTAGGACAAGCGATTAAGGTGAGAAAGTGTAGTGTAATCGTTCTAATCCAGTGTAGATCTAACAGAGAGTTCTCGATTGTTTCAGGTCACTGCAGCTCAGAACACCAGCCGTCCCAATTCCATGTCCCTGGTGTCCCAGTGCGAGGAGGAGCAGATTAACGGGGAGTTCAGCAAGCACTACACGACGCTAAAGCAGATTGGGAAGGGTGCTTATGGATATGTGAAGATGGCATACAGGAATTCGGATCGATTACTGGTGATTGCCAAGTTCATCCTGAAGGAGAAGCTCTGTCCGCAATTCATGGTGACGACGGATGAGAAGCGCGAAGTGCCGATGGAAGTGTACCTGCTCACGACAGTGAAGCATCCCAATATTGTGCAAGTGCTGGACATCTTTGAGAACGACAAGTTCTTCCAGTTGGTGATGGAGAAACACGGTTCGGGCATGGATTTGTTTGAATTCATCGACCGACTGCCGATGATGGATGAGAAGCTGGGATGTTTCATCTTCAGACAAATTGCAGCCGCGGTGGATTACTTGCACAGCCTGAAGATTCTTCATCGTGACATCAAGGATGAGAACATTATCATTGATCACAATTTCCACGTGAAGCTGATTGACTTCGGATCGGCGACATTCATGGAAGAGGGCCGACTGTTCTCCACCTTCTTCGGCACCACTGAGTACTGCAGTCCGGAGGTTTTGGCGGGAAATAAGTACGCCGGTCCGGAGTTGGAGATGTGGTCTCTGGGCGTAACCTTGTACGTGATAATGTTCTTTGAGAATCCCTTTGTTGATGTCGAGGAGACGCTGCATTCGGAGCTTGTGATGCCGCACAAAGTGTCACCAGGACTGGAGGCGCTGCTAATCTCAATGCTGGATAAGAATCCGAAGACACGCTGCACAATGAAGCATCTGATGAGTGATCCTTGGCTGACGCAGGAAATCAATACGACTATGTTCAATTTCTCGTGGATTGTGCCGTGTGAGCCGCATGAGGAGAATCCAGAGAAGTACTACACTGGCCAGATTTACTCCAGCACTACAGCGTTATCCACAACATCGCCGCATGATAGTCTCTCGCTGGCGGATGACGATTCCATGATCGACGCCGAGGGCGATGATGAGGAAGAGGATGCTGATGAGGAGGAGGACGAGGCGAGTCTCCCGTCGCAGAATGAGCAGGGCTTCATGAGAGGTGAGTCCCGTTTAATACTGTTTAGCTTTATGTGATGGTGAATCGAAACAATGCCAAGAGTTAAATGAAGTCAAGTACCTAAAGAATTTACACAAGGATTTTTCTTGAGATGTTGTATTACTCTGACTTCCGAAATACGGTGAAATTTTGGGAGTGATTAAAAGAAACAAAATGTTTTTCTAAAAATTTACGCAATTTATTTACTGATTGGTCATTTTTGACTGATTTTCATGGGGAAATGGGAGTGGAATTATAACTATTCCTAAGAGCGTATAAAGGAAATATCGAGAAAACGATAATGGGTTAATGTGTGTATATGAAGTGCTGGTTTTTCGATACCGTTTGTTCAGTACTTTTGTGTCCATGCAAATCGAGTTTGTCAGTCTCTGAGTGCCTGCTGGATGATCATTTAGTGCTTAACCTTTGGTGAGATCGTGCTAAAAGTTGAAATCTTTGGTAATCCTGAGTGGTTTTGCGGCAAAATGAGTAGACGAACTGCTGGTGAGGGACGTGCAAGTCATCCAGGAGGAGGATCTTCCTCAGATGACGATGGAAGGCATCCCGATGGCAGACGGAGGACTCCTTTGAGCAAGCAGATTGATGATGCGACCGACGCTAGTGTGGACGATATCATGAGAGACATTCGCGCTATGCTGATGACGCTGCGGGTCAGGCAGACTTCCCTGAATCCCAACAATCTGAACTTCTACCATCAAATTGATGAGGAGCTGAGGCACATCCCTCGCACCGAAATCGAGAGAATTCAGGGGGAGATGCTGGAGTTTTTGCGCAACAAGAAGAATGAAGAAGAAAGGAAATAAAATTGCTATGATGGATTTTTGTGAAAAGATTTTCGGAATGAATTAAATGCCAGATGTTTTCTCTCTGCTTTATACCTGAGTTTAAACTTCCTCAGCTGTTCGGGGTGGAATTCCGAGAATTGGGACTGTTGAGGGTGTCTTTCCAGGTAGAGAATTTCGTGTCCTTCACTCATTCGCACTCCGAACTTTGCCCTTAGCGGTTGATTTCTGTGTGAGCTCTCTACAAGTTTGTGCTGCGCCGAGAATGGACAGTGATCCGGGTGACCAGGGAGAGCAGCAGCGGAGGGATGAGACCGTCAGCCGAGTGACACTGAAGATGGACACTTTGGCTGAGGTGCTGACGGCTTTCCGGGAGCTTCTTCGTGAGCTGAGAGCAGAGCAGAACGCCAGACCCACTCTGACGCCCAGCAACTTGGGTTTTCATCTCATGCTGGACGAGGAATTCAGGCGCTTGTCTCGCGATGAGGTTCAAGCTCTCAAGCTTGACTTGCTGAATTTGGTTAGGACCAAACACAGGGATGAATAAAGATTCTGTCTCTTGAATCCACTCTAAACAGTTGTCTTTTTATTACTGAACTCTCATCAAATGCCTTAAATTGTGATGTGAAACTGATGTTATTTCTCTTTGTTTGCAGCAAAGGCTTCAGGGGCAGCCAAGGATCGGGCGGAGGGCACAGTGGCGACTGTCCAGGGTGATTGCGAAGCTGCGGAGGCGCCGAGCGAAGGTAACGCGCCCGCGAGTGTGTTGATGTGTGTAAATAGTTGTTGTGAGGGCGAGCGCCTGGCCTTTGTACATAGTCACCCCTTTGCTGAGGACAAGTACGCCATCCGACGAATCAGTCACGCCAAGAAGAGTCACCGGTCGAAGCGCCCGCACTTCCGGCACTCCTTCCGAGGCGATCTGGACGGCAACTGCAGCTATTCCGACGTGAGCATCACGCCGGCCGACGAAGAGCTCATGTCGAAGTCGGTGACGGAGCTGGAAATGGATCCGGTGACTGTGGATCCGCGCAAGGAGATCAGCACAGAAGCTCTGCCCTCGGCCAAGGCGATGTGCATGCTGAAGAGTGAGGCGCTGGCGCTGTCAAAGTCGGAGAATAACATCTTCGAGAAGCAATCTGGAGTGTCGATCTTCGATGTCGTGAGCATGAGTGACTTGAACGAACCGCCCGCCTTCCCGGCCTACATGAATGATCTGTCCAAGACGCAGATACTGAATCACATCAGCAGCGAGGAACTCATGATGGCTCCGACGGTCGCCTCTGGCGCCGTGCGATACAATCCGGAGGATCTCAGTGAGGCCCTCACGAGTGACTAGAGTGCGCTCGCCTTCTCTGTCCACCCTTTTCCTCCTGTTGTGTTGCTGTCCTTGTCCAAAGCTGGGGACGTTGGGGACTGCGGCGAGCTTCTGCATTGCTTGCGAATGGAATTGAGTGACTTTCTTGCCTCCTGCAATTGTGGCTGTCTTTGAATCTAAGCTATGCCCCATTTTTAATTGATTTGTGAAACCAATGAGGACTACTTTGGACTCCAAGTTGACTTTAAGAACACAATGACTGTTGATCATTATTATGATTTAAGCACAGAAACACGATCTGGATACTATAAAGAAGCAGAAATTTTCTAGATTCCAAACTAAACTCGAATTTCTGTCCAAAATAGTCCGACTTTCCATGGAAAACATCAATCAATCTTCAAGTGAATCATTCCTATCATCCCAGTAGTGTCACTGCCACAAACTGACGATTTTCAGTGCAATTCTGACTGCTGCGAAAGGTTCCTTCAACAGAGAAATAGATAAATATCCGAGTGCCAAGAAAAATTGCTGTTGAATCCCTGGCAGACTGAATTGCATACTCACCAGATGCAGAAGCCGTCTCAGTTGTTGACCCCTCGGCATTGCCCCGTATTTTGTTCGTCAGTTGATGGGAAAAGTGTGAATTTGTGTCGGTGTCTTGTGCGACTTTGTTTGGCTGCCAAGCGAGTGGTGCGATTGTGTTGCCTTAGCGAGAGTGGACAGGCTTCTTATGATTGGGTGGTTTTTCTTCTCATTAGGGGTAGTTTTGTACTCTGGTCCGGACAAGGCGACGTCCTTTGAAATACTGCGCGTGACGAGGCGCTGGGAGGCTCTCTATGACGACGATGATAGTTGGGAGGATGACGATTGATTGGGAATTGTGTGTCAAGAGAATTTACAACTGTTTGTGATAATCAATTAATTTTGAGCGATAAGGTGTATAAAAACAACATTGTCTTTTAGTAGGAAAATTATGCAATTGATCAATGAGATCGACAAGAGAGAAAGAGAGAATTGTATGACGATATGTTTGAACAGCAGATCAAAAGAAGAAAAGATGAAAATTACGATGAGAGGAGTTCATTAAGATTTATATATTTAAAAGCAAAAAAGCAATGATAGAAACAACTAAAGAAACAAATTTCTTGCACGAAAAACTTAAAATGTTACCTTCTCTCGCATTGTAGTTGAAACAAAACAAAAAAAAACATTAATAAAGAGCGAAACAAAGAATTTAGAGTGCAAGATGCAAAATATTAGATAAAAAAGAAATCACTGCGCATTATTTTCCTCGTAGAATGGTTTTCCTCTTCTTCGACTCTTTCCTTAGAAATTAGTGTGAATATTTAATGAAAAAAATACATGAAAAGAATTATATGAAAATCACACAACTTCAGTACAATAATGACAAGAAAATAAAAAAGAAACAAGCAAATTTGTAGATGAATCGAGTGAGAATGCTTATAAAAATCCCGTATAAATTTTCATAAAGTCTGTCAGTATTACAGAGAAATCATGTTAAATACCTAAAATATCAGTAATTAGTTAAATTCTTTAGAAGAATGCGGACAGACGCTCTGAGAAGGCAGTCGACTGTTCAGGAGGGTGAAAATAATACAACTGGTGATCATTAGTCATTGCTATTTTTGATGATTTTACTAGTTCCATGATAATGATAATATATTTCTACAAATAAATCTATTCACAAAATTATCACTGAACAATACGAGTTTTATTTCTCAGCCAGACTAAGTGAAAAATTACGATAAGACAGGAAAGGTAAGTGGCAGACTTGGAAAATAGATTACATGAATTCGGGAAATTAATAAGTTAATCTTTGCATTTTTCCCCTTCAAATCTTCAATCTTACCTTAATCTCTTTAAAATGTCTCCAGCAATCGAAACCCAAGGTATTCTATGTAAAAAGGAAAAACTCCAAAGTGTAGTTTTGATGTTTATTTCCAGAATCTAGTGTGTTAACAAAATTTTGAGTGAATTACAAAGATTTTCTCTTCAGTTCTATTGCGAATTACAGTAATTTTATGAATTTCTGACATCAAAGTGTTTTTTTCTACCATGGCGCATTTTCTTAGTTTTCTTTTTCTTTTTCTTTTTTTGGATTTTTTTAAGGCTCTTTTAGGATGACGACGTCATCATGCAATCCGCCGAGTATGGAGGAACGTGGATTCTCTACTCATACTGGGCGATTGCTCACATCAAGGTCAATCAATTCGCTCACGCGGTGTTTTTCCACGAAGCCACCGCGGCAAGACAGTTTTTTTCAGTACAACATTTTTGCTGCCTTCGGATTTGATCTACGTGCGGGTCCGGCTGCGGACAATACAGCACAGACCCGGCGACGTTCTGTAGGAACTCAGCAAATCATCGCGGTTCCGAAGTGCGCGTCAGTCCTCCAGGACTTCGCACAAAGGAGCCCTGGGTATCCTGCGATCGGAGCTTTCCCACAATTATAATCATGGGCTCCAGTCGCTGTCCCCAGTGACGGAAGTCATCGCCGCGGCTGTGTGACCACACAGCCTGCTGGCGGAACACACGCTTTTCGGGTCTCCTGTCGTCCAGAATTATAATTCTGTGCCAGTCATGGTTCCCGAAAGCGGACGATCGCCCCGCGGCCGCAAGTATCATCATACACAATCTCCTGCTGACAGAGTGAGGAACGCAACGTACTACCCGTTTTGTCGTCCGTTGCATGTCCACTCCATTGCAAATTAATTGAAGAATGCACTGGATAACCAGCTTCCCGAAGAACTACACCAGCGTTCTGGTCCGAAAATCACTTAACCAGCGCACGGTCACCGCAGGCTCTAGTCGTTGCCCCATGGAGAAGAAATCAACGCCGCAGCTGCATCCCGCAGCCGTCTGTCACGTTGAACATTTATACTCTGGATAGCCTGCCAGAGCCTTGTGACAGTGCTCCGCACCGGTGGATATCTGGCCAGATCGCCGCTCGTCACAGTCACTACGGTTCTCCTCTGAACATTCATTCAATGGAACGGATATCATGATACTTACTCCTGCTGAGGCTCCACCCAACTGAGTTTGTCCACCTCAGTTGTTCACCAACTCAAGTTTTGCCCCCTCGAGTCATTCATCCTCGCGGCCTTTGGATTCGGGGTCCCTCGCCCGTTCGTCTACGCAGCTGCTTTCCCAGCTGCGCAGTCCGTGGTTCACCAGCGTGGAGGTGGGCGTAGGAATTGAAGTGGAGGAACAGCTCCACTCCTTTGAACCACTAATGCGCCATGGTAGATCACTTCATCTCTCTCTCTCTCTCTCACCCTCCCCTTTTACTTCATCGAGCTGGCATATCTCCTGATAGTCCTTGTCATCGCCTCCGCTTGAGAATTCGTCGAATCTCGGAGCAGCGCTATAATGTCGCTAATCCCACCAGGAGGAGCTCCTGACGCCCTCTTTGCAATAATAGCCTGCATTGCACCAGCACAGGCGCCACGCTTTCCCTCCCAATACTCCGGATTGGGATCCAATTTCTCCAGCATATCAAATGCCTTGGCAGCCACCCAAAACTCGCCAGCCCTGTAGCAATCGTTCCCAATCAGCTGCAGCAGTGTGAATGCCTCCGGAGTTGAATCTTTCGTAACAAACAAACTCCACGCTTGATCAGCGTGGCCACACTGGATGTGACATCTGGCCAGCACCATCGACCACGTGTGCTCCCCACGAATTCCGGGCTCTGTGATCTGCAACAATAACTCCTCAGCCTCTTTGAAGTATCCTGTGGCTGCCTTCGCTTGAGCATAGTTGAAATTAAAGGTGTCATCATTGACAAAGTAGCTCCGGATGGAGTTCAGATACACCAGAACCTCCTCAAATTGCGAATACAAGAAGAATGCCGACGCCATTGCCTGACGCCCGGGAATTGTGTCACATTCTGAAGCTGAACCACCGACAAGATGAAGGCATTGCTGGGCATTCTTGATGTGTTCTTTGGAGTGAATGAATTGCCCGAGGGCGGCATGGACAACACCTTTCAGAATATACTCATGAGGAACTGCCGGTTGAACTTCCTTCATCAGCTGATGGGCTTCATGAATGTCTCCACGTCGAAGATAGTAAATCGCGAGATTCAATCTCGCCTCGGGGATGATATCGACAAGTCCCGGCAGAACTTGCAAAGCTCCTTCACCTCCCTCAAACACCACTAGATTGTGTCTTAGCAGCTCCGCTCCGAAACTTCCACTGTCCACGAGGCCTCTGATCTCCTGTTCGGCTGCTCTTCCATTGTACAATCTGAAGCGATTGCAGGCCTTCAAATTGATGGCAATTGTGCTATCTGGATGCTGCGTGAGATACAAATCCAGCACCTCCTGAGAGATGTCGTAGTAATCCAACTTGTAGTAACACAGAGCCACATAAACATTGACAGCCAAGAGATCCTTGTTGTCCAGTAATATCCTCTTGTAAATATCAATGGCTTCCTGATAGTGCGCCCTCAGATAGTGCATTCCGGCCAGACTAAGTTGATCCTCAGTCACATCTCTCAGCGATCCGTGGAGTTCCATCAATCTGTCTTCATCAGCCACCTTGTTGGCCAGATGAAAGAGAATCCTCAGCTTCAGTGGAGTATTCGGGATGTTTTCAACCAGTTTCAAAGACTCCTCGTACATTCCCAAGTAGAACATACAAACGGCAATATTGATATCCACATCATTGGTCGAAACTGCCGCCTTTCCATCCTTCCGGATAACTTCATACTTATCCAGCGCCTTCTTGTAGTCTCCCAGATGAAAGAAGCAGAACGCTGACCACAACTCCCGATTCCAATCCACAGGCCCATCCTTTTGCCTCGTGAACTCCAACAGAGTTTTCGCTCCAGTGTAATCACGTTTAAGGAGGAAATCTTCGAACTGCGGCAATGAGCGCTTCTTAACAGCACCATTTCCCGCCGAAAGACGCGAACTATTCGCAGAATCGGACTTGGTTCTTGAGAGAATCTGCAAATGTAAGAGAAATACACACTTAAAAGGGAGTTTTTCAGAGAAATTGGGAGACAAACTCACCATTTCAGACTGTTTTCACTGGATCAATACTCAGCATTGAAGGTAATGTTGATTCCCCAATGGTTTCCATAGAGATTTTCTGAAGCAAGAGAGAGAAAAGGAGTGAAACTTAAGCTTGCAATATAGAACAATGTATATATTGAGTTGAAACAACTTCAGAAAGTGCAACGAAAATCAATGATATTCATACGAGGTGTCAGAAAAATTATGCATTGATCATCATATTTTAATTAGAAGTATAATTAGACGTTGATTTGATTCTTACCTTCAACATAAGCTTGATATCCAGAGAAAAAAACGCCAGAGATGCCTTTAAAAGAGAAGAAAAAGCACATATTAATACAACTTTGTAACAAATACAAATTTTGTTCAAGAAAATTCTTTCAGTTAGGAGCGAAAGACAAAATAGTGTGTTGTTATCACAGAATTTCAACTGAACTATGAATCATCATTAACATATTATTAACGAAGTGATTGAAAAACAGTATTTTCCTCACCTCTGCATGAGTCTTTCTCTCGGGAATCTTCACCGATACTCAACAGACATCCTCCTTCAGCCTGCAACAGAAAAGAATCCTTACTTTCTGCTAAAATCTTTCCTCTCATATACATATGAGATTATGTTTCAGAATCCTTTTGGCTTAAAACAAGTTATCATCAATGAATAACATTGCAGACTATTTGAATCATCATTTTGTTCTTGATGTAAAAAAAAACTGTTTCTGCTTTTGTGACCGTTTTCTAGACTTCTTCGCAAGAATTCAGCGCATAAAGCAGAAATTATCTCTGAACTCGCGAAAGTGCCTACAAATTCTCCACTCAAAGATAGGCAATGGATGGAGAATTTCAGTTCAGTCAGCAGAACTGTTCTTTTGTATTTTTTGACCATATAAATTACCTCATTTGGCAGCAGCCACAAGTCACTTTTGCTCCGTCAGGGAAGTTATCGAAGCGCCTGCAAAGCGATAAGAAGGCCATTAGATAAAGTTATTACTTTTGACGTGATTGTCTCTCATCTCGGGCACCTAGTTTATCAATTTCTTTGATTGACTGATAAATAGGGAATAGTGCGAGCAACCTTTCTCTAGCAAGCGTTCAAATAGGATAACTCCAGGTTTGAGCACAGAGTTCCAGAGTGCGGCTTGCTTTTTCATTTCATTCTAAGACGTTCTTATTACATTTTCTTACCTCTTCGACCCTTGAAAACTCCTCCATGAGCTCTTTTGCGCACTTTTCTACCTGCAAATACAAAACAGAAATGCTGTAGCCGACAAAATACAAGCAAAAGCGAGCAGGCAAGTTGTCCCAATCCGTCTAGTCTCACATTTATGTCCCCTCAGAGGAGGCTACAAATGCCAGGGATAGTAAAATTGCCTTTAATCTTGCAAAACCCGTTGTTGGAATGCCTAAGTAGGTCACCAAGCACTCACGAAACGAGTTTTGCGTACTCATAAAATATACAAAATTACCTCATTTTCCCCCAATTGACGTCGGGAATATCCCCAGTGAGTCTCCCCAGAACCACAGAAGCCCTGAAATAGAGTGAAAAACGCATGAAATATATCACTTCCGGCAGACATAAAATAAAACGTGGCTTTTGAAAGGGAAAATGTTTCTCCATCGACACGTTTTCATTTCTGCGATTTAGGGAAATGCTCTGGTTCGTATCATCTGAAGGACTTTCTCTCCGAGAGGTTAAAAGCACTAGCAGGATTCTGGAGTCCAAACCAGCGACTCTATCTCGGACTCAAGAGACTCTTCTGGCCAACATGTGGCACTTCAAGGTTATGTCGGCAATACTCTACAAATTACAGGGAACTCTAGTATGAAAATTATTCCATTTGATAACTCACGTGTTTCTGAGAAGATTCTGAGTAGTTCTGACCACTCTTGCACCACTTTAGATCACATTTTCAGAGGCTTTGGCGAGAGGAATATTCCTCGCGTCTACACCCAATGGCCGCCCCGCACAAAAGAGAGCTTCTACTCGGGTTGATGTCGCATTCGTCGCATTCAATCACACCCGAAAATCGCCGAAAATACCCGACATATTCAGCGCCACACTGCGGCAAAATTACCCCAATTTTAAAACCCAACGGCAAACTCTCTTATTTTGCAACATAACATAAACATCCTTTATATCGTCTCAAAAGAGCCCAAAATTACAAAATAAAAAATCTACACTGAAATTTACAACACAAATGGAAGCGTCCACCCCATCCTTTAACCAGGGGCAGAGAAAGCTTTCTGGTGAATGCTGCTCTAATTGACTGAATAGGCAAATCGCGTGAACAATCCTACTAAATTCGTGGTTGGTGTGACTCTCCCTTATCCGTCCTAGTCGACAGAATTGAAGCTGGGACTGGGGGCGCGGTGCTCCACATGGAAGGGATCACTCATGCCGGCCAGGCCGGTGATGCCGCGCGTTCCCGTGCTCTGGAAGTACACCAGCACGTATGTTTGCGTGGGATCTTCGGGCAAATCTAAAGTGTCCGGGAATGTAAGCGAAAATGTCCTGCGCTGCTCCTCGTCCTTGCGTCTGCTGGTGTACTCGTAGCCCAAGTACTCTTCAACACTGCCAAAGTCAGACTGAAAGACACAGAAATCCCATCAGACCTTTGCAATACGACTTCTGCTACCCAATCTTACATTGTAAATCCCGATCCAGTCACTACCGGCATCGTCCAGGCCATCCGGAAGTGTATACTTAACGGTGAACTCTCTGCCAATGGTCCAAATGTCAATTGGAGCGAATTCCACCACCTTCTCTGAAGGATCACTGAAAATCTGCCCATCAATGGCATCAAAATTGATAAGTAAATCCAAGTCAGGATCGATTCTAGGCGTCTCCGCCGGCTTCTTAACAACCTTCTCGCGTGTATGTTGGCCATGCAGTGTTAATGGATCATGCAAGAGTGTCATCAAATGTTATTTTTGTCAAAACTAAATACTGAGAATGTTAATTAAAAGAAGTGTAGCGATAGAACAAGCTTAGAGTGTTTTTGTATGCCAGAAATTTAAGCAATATAAGCAGAAAGTCATGAAACAATATCATTAAAGGCTCACCTTAATGTTAAACTCACTGGAAACTGGCTTATGATCACTTATGGAAAAGGCAGGGTGGCTTTTGTAAGAGTTTTGCTTTGCAAACAGCTTCACATTGTTGTATTTTCGATCTGAAACCCGATAAAGGATGCGATCACACCATGCTGGACGGCGCCTGAGAAGAGAAGGGAGCATTAGGGGCATACAGTGCGCAGATAGAGGATCTCCTTACTTCATGTCATATTCCTGCGTGCCTGGTTCAAACTTAAAGGTAGGCGGAAAGGCCGGAAGGCGCTCTGTGAGTTCATTGAAGGCGCGCTCTTGGCTCATCACAAGCTGCAATTGATCCTTCTGGATCAATTCGCCAAGATTGTCCTTCTTCACCTCCTCGCGGATGTCCTCCGGAGTGGTTGTGGCTTCGCCAGTCAATCGAAAGTTGAGATCGCCGAACCAGAAGACGTAGCTGGAAAAAAACCATTACATAATTGCAGTAATTCAGATATATTGCCGCCTTATCTAATCTCTCACTCATGGTTGAAGATGCTCTCCCGCGCTTTCACATGGTATTTGTGCTCCTGCACGATCTTTTGGTAATCCTCCACACGTTCGTCCAGCATATGATCATGAGCAGCCAAGTGGGAGTTGAGGAACACCGTTGAACAGCCATAAATATTCATCCTGATGCTCACGGCGCCCTTATTTCCCCAAATCCCACCCAAACCCGTTCGCGTGTACTCCGCCTCGATGTCACGCAAGTGCAAAAGATGCTTCTTACGCGTGAACACCATCAGCAGAAGCCCTTGCATCTGCTCCGTCTTCACCACCACGAAGTTCCGTTCGCGCAGCATCTCCTTGAACTTGAGCGTCCAGTGGTCCTCGCGGAACAACCCGATGACCTGGTTCTGCACCTGAGCGTTCACCTCTTGCAACCTGCCGACACGGGAGAAAGTCATTAGTGTGCGTTGTGCAAGGCACGTGGCGCAAAGGCCGAGCATGCAACGTTCTCTGCTCCAAAAGACATCCTCTCTCATTCATCACAATTACGCACGAGAGTGGCGTAATCAATAGTAAATTGAACCACTCCACATATCTGAGGGAAATACAAGTTAATGAGATTTGTAAAATTGAAATGAAGCCAATATTCTTATGGAAGGGCCCTCTAGACTGCTCATCAGAGGATTCCAGCTTGCCTGAAACAATCTTAAGATGCCTTGCTAGAAGCTGAAAGGATTTTCATGTTGAAGGTTTTTCTAGCCAATTCTTTTGGTGTTTGTAGGGAAGATTATTAGCCTTTTAATTGCGGAATTTGTGATATTTTCACACTTTCAATTCTCATTCTTTACGCAATTTGTTTACTGACATCAGTCTGTCCTGATTTATAGCAATTCCCCTTCTTTTCCGCGAAATTCTCACTTCTGATTTCACTGCCCGCCAAAAAAAGAGAGCACAAGAAATGCACACAAACCGCAGAAACTCATCTACTCACCCAATTACGTAAAAGTCCGGCAAGTCCTTATCGTATTCCGGGTTGCTGTTCAGGCCCAGGAGTGAGTGCAGAGCCACTCCTTCGGGATACCGCGTGCTCACGTTCCATGTCACGATGTGAACACTGCAATGGAGAGTGGAGTACCTCTTGGTGAACCTGTGGTGTGACTTCTTGCGCATTTCGCCAGCACTGAAGCGCGCCCGCCGAAGACAAAGCTTGCGAGCCCTCTTCGCTGGGCGTGTTTCAGTAACGGCACCGCCGAGTGGTGGGGAATCAGTTGTAAAAACCTCAAGTTCAGTGTCAGGGAATTGAGAGACTGCATGCGGAGCAATTAAAGTCGGTGAGTGAGTCAGAAGAAAACAACTTTTTCAGCCTCTTCTTCTGAATAACCAGAAATTCCCAGACTATGGAAAATTTTCTGGTGCTTTTTAGGACATGTTCATTCATTCAAGTTTGATGGGAATTGAATATAACATAATCGGAAGTGCGTAAAAACCATCGTGCATAAATCTGAATACATTTCCATTGATGGCTCCTAAAAGGAAAACAACACCAAGGTTGATAAAGTGTGGGAATTGCGGTGTACGCAACATTTCACACACACACACGTAATTCGTGGGAAAATCAGTCTATTATCCTCTGTAATCCGATGATAAGGATAATCTGCATTATCAAATAAATGAAATGAATAAAATCTATTGATTTTTGGCGGGAAACTATCCTTCGGGAGATCCTCTTTGGCGCACTCTTCCGGAAAGCGCTTTGTGAGCGCAGCGCCTTTGTGACCCACTCACTGTCCGGATCTTCAGTGAGTGACTCTCACAAAGTCACCAGTTTACCTTGACGATGTGACGTAAGATAGAAAGGTGGACAAAAGAGCCAGAAACCAGGTAGATAAGAAAAAATTCCACCCAAATCTATAGCATAAAGATATAAAACCGTGAAGGAAAGTCTGCGCATTTTCCAGCCACACTTACTTAATGTTCCAAGAACTGTCGCTCATCTTAGTACCTGCACAATCACTCTGTAGACTTGAAATACTGTTGAGAAGTTATTGTTTATAAGAAATTGCCCTAAAAAGACGCCAAATTTGTTTGTTTCAGCAAAGACGAGAGTCAATATTTTTCACAGACGCAAATTACGTCTTACCAATTATGCCACACTGAGATTTGCAATCCAAAGCGTTTGACAGCACTTCACAGCATCGCGATGACTAATTTATGAGGTATTCATGGGAAAATCAGGGAGAAACAGATCAATTTACTGCTCCGAGGCTTCTTCGTGACCAACTTAACCTAAACTGCGAAGCTCCACAACAAGCCGCAGCGTGGCGCTATACACGCTCCTTTCGTCGAGTTCGGCAGTTTAGAAAATTTCCATGGCGATGAACGTGATGGAACATGATCGAGTGAAATGATTTTCTGGTGCTAAACGTAATTTATTCAGTTTTAAAGTTTAAAAATAAGCACAAAACTGCAAAATAATTTACAAAGAAATACTCTCGCGTGGTGAGTGAAAGACCCTCTCTCAGTCTTGTTGATAAAATTGCCGCTACTCCTCTTCCTTCGTCCTGCGCTCACTCAAAAACAGTGATGTCCTCACCACCGAAATCCTGGCAATTCTCGCAGAGAATTGACATCAAAACTTGGACATCTTTTCACTCAAGCACGATGAGTTTCGTGTGGAAACGCATCTTCTTGCTGTTCTCCCGTACGCCGTTTGGCAGAAGATTAATCGCCTGCCCGGATTTGCCTAACTTCTCCCAGCATCTCTTCAATTCCTTTTCTCTCTTTGCCTCCTCGCTCTCTTCTGGATCTGGATCATTCACCTCCTCCTTCTGCTCAGGCTTCCCCTCTTCCTCAGCCTCTGTCTGCGTCTCTTCTAGTCTGTTATAGGAGAAACTAGGCGGTGGGGCAGCGCTAACCTTGTCCGGCTCTTCAGGATGACTGCCAATGTCCATGCCTAGGAGCCACTTCTCATAGCGTTCAGGCTGAAAACGCCTTACGAACGTGTCCATGGAGATCTTGACCATGTCACTGCGACAGTGGCACTGACTTGCTCTCTTCCCGTATTCCACCCATCGCGGCGAGGCGAAATTCGTGGATTCGGCACAGTTGAAGCCGTGGTTGAAACCCGCGTGATATCCAAACGGGAACGTGACCATGATTTCCCCTGGCTCCTGTGTGATCTTGTTGAAGGGAATCTTATTCTGACGCAAAATCTGAGGACTGATAAGCGTCATCTTGTGACGAAGGAAAGCCGGGCATGCCTGAGGAAAACGTGTGTGAGTTTCTCATTCATAATTCATATTAGCACACTTACTTTGTAATTGTCGGCAAATGTGGAGTTGGCCAGCTTCTCCAGCCTTCGGCCGTATTTTGGCGGGATGGCATACCAAGTCTTGGGTGCGCCGAAGTGCAAGTAATTGATGGAATAGAGGTCCATGTCCTCAGTGTGCCAGGCAAAGGAAGTCTTCCACATTCCAAAGTACAGATAGGCTGTGTTTACGCCCGAAATTGAGATCCCATAGTCCTTGTTCACGTAATCCAGAATAGTGCCCAAACTGTTAATATTCCACTCCTTCACGTCCGGATCTGTGAGTGATCCGGAAACGTCTGCTCCGTAAATGGGCGCAATGTATGTGACATTCTTCCAGTACTTTCTCTCCAGGTCAGCATAGTCAAAGTACTTGGGTGTAATGTAGCGCTCCGACATGGCCAATTCGTAGAACTGCTTCACCGTCATGGAGCGCCTCTGCAAATTGAACTGCTGATAGAGTCCCTGCATGCCCTTCACTTCCTGCGAGATTGGCGCGGGAATTGTGAGATTGATGTCATCCAGGTTGTAGCCCGCCTTCCTGGGCACCCACTCGGGTGGCGGAATAATCTACAAGGCAGCCGAAAATATGAGAAATAAGCTTCCAAAGAGGTTTCTCTCCGGACTCACCTTTGCCAAGCCTGCATTGTGGGCTCCTTTTGACTCCATATATTCAATATATCCGGGGAAATCCTTAAACTCCTCCCACGTCGGCATGAATACCATTATTCGGGGCTCCGTTCTCTGCATTTTCTGAGTGTGTTTGTACTCTCGATCAGGGAGAAAAGTGCGGAAAACGGTGGTCAAAACATCGAGAAAAATGTAAACACTTTGACGGGACAAAAACTTTGACGTTTTGACGTCACACCCCCACTCCAAATGAGAATGTTTAGAACTTGACGAAGGTGAAATATCGATGGTGTTTCGCTGTTTTGTAAGGGAATCTCATGGAATACGTAGTAATTAACACATATTCTTATAAAATATTGTAGAAGAGTGTAGGATTGATTGATATACATTTCCACTTACGTGAAATATCTTCATCCGTCCTGAATTTTCCAATAAAATAAGCGCTCGATATATCGAGTGGACTACGTGAAATATCGTAGAGTATTTGCCGCCAAAAAATAATCCGTAGGTTTCGTAAACAATGGTCGTATACGCATTTTGAGTATAAACTGAGATGCATCAACACTCAATATAATATTAAAAATAATTAATTTATTCTTATCATACCTACAAATTACATAGAAAAATATACAGATAAGGTATTGGAGTAGCTGTTGAGATGTTTACAGTGTGTAAAGAGTGTATTTTGTGTGATTTTTCCATGGGAAGAGAACTCTCCCCCCGAAAGGCACTCATCCGGGGCGGAGGTGGAGAATAAGATTTACTCCTTAAATGCTAGGTAATCCCCCAAATTACAACCTAAAATCTATGGTTTTACGTCTTCACGGACTTGACACACCGTCCGCGGAAGCAAATTTCGGTTTGGTGACTAATTTCTGTGGATGTTGATGTGGCTATCACGAGATTTCCCATCACGGGGTCTCGCAGGAAGGGTGAGTATTCGGTAACGGCCCTCGGAGGGGCTTGCGTGGTTGTCTTTTCCACTTTGATGGTTGTCTGATCGTCAAAGGAGCGCATTGTTCTCGCTTCCTCCTCCTCTTCGTTCATCATGAACAAGTCCACCAACTTCTTTCTCACCTCGTCGAACATTGAACCCTGTCTGGTGGGGTTTTCCACTTCAATTGGTTCCACTTTCGCTGTGTATGTTTCCTCCGTGTCCATGTCTGTATAATCCATCACTGGGGAAGTTTCCTCCTCCTCAGGAATCCTTGTTTCAGTGACGGGATCTGTAACGTGGTCAGTTACAGCATCTGTAGTGTCTTCAGGAGCACCCGTTCCCAAATCGATGTCTCCTGGTGAAGTAACTTCCTCAACGGCAGAATCCTTCTTCTTCGAGTGGCTCTCATAAGTGACTTTAGGCTCCTCGACAGGTTCCTTCTTACCATTCTCAAGCACGTTAAACACTTGCCGTCCGATATTAATGGACTCCGCGGTCTCAAAGGCATCAGACACTGGTCTGACCCTGACTCTCCTCCAAACACCCTTCCTTCTTCCCTTCGTAGGACGTTCAGTAGCTTGGGTGGTTGCTGAGGACGCTTCTGATGCGCTGTCACTCTCCGGCCGCTTAGGAAGCACTTCGTTCCTCTCGACTAGTCCCTGTTTGATGCCCAAATCATTGTCCACCTCAGTCACGACATCTTCCAACAGATTTGCCAGGGTTGTTTCTCGATCCTCCCTAAGCATATCAATAAACCATTAGGTATCCTAAAAGATATTATTCTAAGTCTACCAACCTGGATTGATTATTGGTCTCATTTTCATTGAAGCTCATCATATTTGGGGTCCTAGCCGGAGTTACTTTGAATTCGTAGGTTTCCTGAAATTAAGCACACATATAAGATTGATAAAAATAAAACTCTGTTTAGACAATTTCACCTCTTCAGGTTCCGATCCTGCCGTAACGATTTCGGGTTCATTCTCGGGGTCATAATCATTGAGAAGTTTTCCGGACTCCTTGTGTTCAATCGGTTGAAAGGAGCTCTGGGAGAGTTTCGTTGACCACTGAGTCTCCTGTGTCTGGAGTCCGAACCTAGACTTCTGCCTAGGTCTATATTGACTCTAGAAAAAATATTCATAATTTAGAAATACAAGTCATTCATAAATAAAACAGTGTTTTCCCACCCTCTGGCTGATCTTGTAGCGACTCCTTGGCTCCTCAGTTGCGGAGACCTCAGTTTGATATTCATCTTCATACTGAGCAGTTGTTGTTGTGGTTGTAGGTCTCCTGAGACGACTCCTAATTTTAGGAGCCGCCGGCCTGTGGGTGGTGGTCTCAGATCTTCCTTCAGTCCTAAATCTGCTTCTTGCCTAAGAACCAAAATCCCCGATAAACATTTTCAACTAAAAGATTTCAATCAAACCTTACCGTGTATCTCTCTTCATTAGCATCTGTTGTTGGATTCCTAGGGCTCGTGGTAGTATAGTTGGGCCTGGTAGGTCGCTTAACAAAGGAAGGTCTCCTAATCCTTTGGGCTTCAAGACGAGAAGCAATCGTTGTTGGAGCTGCTGTTGTAGTTGATGGTGATTCTGTGCTTGAGATAAAGACTGGGAATTTGTGATCTCTTGGCTTTCCATTGATTACAACAACCCTCTCGGGTTCCTCTTGTCTTGGGTACTCATCCCTGGCACTTGGAGCGTATTCTTGTGGCAATTGCATAGCCTTCACAGCAAGTCCTGGGAACAATTCAGTTCTCTCTTCTTCTTGTTGCTGCACAGCCTCCTGAGTTGTAGTTGATACGAGTGTGGGTTGGAGCTCATTGAGAGGGGCAGGAGCGTGATTAGCTGGCAACACATACTCTTGCTGAATCTCCTCACGAGATGATGTAACTTGATTCTCCTCAGTGGGCGCACGAATGTCGTAGTATTGATTATCGCGAGAAGCAGTCTCTTTCACTTGATCGCGAAGCTGAGGCTCAGTTTGTCTTACAACTTCGGTTGTCGTAGTGTGAAGAGGTTTGATTACAGGATAGTTTTGCTTAAGAACATCTCTCTGATATTCCAGATTTTGTTCCTCCTTGACTTTCTGGGAGTAAGGCTTGACTTTGGGTCTGGCAGGCAGTGTCTGATCATCGGCATTGGGATTGAATCTAACCCTGTTAGGATTCCTAACAACTGTGGATGTTCTGTAAGTATTGGGTGATGTATTTGGTGGCCTGGTTGGACGAGTCCTGGTTCTCTGAACTGGCCTTCTGGTAACCGCTTCTGAGCTTTGGGTTGCTGTTGTAGTTCTAGGAGGCTGTGGTCTCCTTCCGCGGTGAGTAGGTCTCCTTGTTGTAGTTGTATAGGGCTCCTCAGTGACTTGATCATTGTCCATTAGTGAGTTCACCAAACCCGGAAGATTAGCATTAATTTGAGGGAGTTCAGAGTAGCTCGATTGATACAGGTTTTGAGTTGTTGATGGTTGAGTTGTAGTTGTTACAGGCTCATCTGTTGTGCTGTAATAGTAATCGTCTTGATGGCGTCCTCCGATTTCAACAGCTGGTGAATATGTGCTGTCTGTGGGGAAGACATGTTGATAAACTGTCCTTTCAGTTGGAACAAAGTAGTCTTCAACTGTGGGTCGACGCGTTGTCGATTGCTGAGGGGTTTGAGTGGATTTAGTGAAGACAGTGCGATAGTTGACTGGTTGCTCATCCTCAGGCTCTGGAGTTGTTCCCAATACTGTGGGGACAAACTTAAAGCTGTGGACAGGCTTTCTGTGTGGTTGAGCAGATTGGTATTCATCGTCCAATGGAATGGCAGGTTTTGGTTTGTAGTAAGTGACTGAGGTTGGCGTTTGCGCTGGTGGAGGCGAAGTCGTCGTAGTGGTTGTTGATGAAGGGAAGTAGTTCAAGACCGACGGTCTCTTGGCCACTTCGTAGGCATTGTAGGTCTCCTTTGAGGACTCGAAAGGTCCAGTGGAGAAAGTCATCTTCGGAGGAGTCCTACTGCCGGTTGAGAATGTTTGATACTCTTGCTGCACGGGTGCAGACAATATATAGTGTCCCTGTCTTTGCGACTGTGGTTGCGTCTTGACTGGGACAGGTTCCTCAGGCGCTTGAGTAGATGTTGTTGGGGGCTGAGGTCTAAAGTCAAAGCTGAAGTTAGGTGTAAGCTGAGGATTGATCTTCTGCTCGTATCGTATGTCTACGGGTCCGGTGAAGTCTTGCTGACTAGTCTGCGATGCCTTAGTCTTGTCTAGGCTGAAGTACTCTTCGTTCACGACGTGAGGGTTAGAGTTTTGTGCGAAGGTGACCTTAAGCTTGCTGTTCTGTTGTGTGCGAGGACGGTGAGCAGCGTTGTCAAAGCTGAACTGGAAGACTCCCGGGTTGGGGGCTGGGAAGGTTTGCTGCACCCTCTGGGGTTGGTCGGGTGAGGTGAAGTACTGTCTGGGTGAGTGTGTTGTGAACGATGGGAGTCTGTCCACAGACTGGTATCCCACGGCCGTGGGTGGTTGGGCCGTTGACTGCGCTATCGGGGCATTTTGGCTGGAATAGTTCTCCGTTAGAGGCATGTTAATGTACTTGTTAGTCTGTGGATCGTATTTCTGTGGTAGTGGCGTGCCGAAGAAAGGTTTCTTTGTGGGCGGGGTGCTTAGTTCGGGTTGTGGTGTGGTGGGACTGTTAACAACAACGGAACCAACGTGTGGTGCTGGCAGTGGTATCTTGGCGAAGCCATTCGGTGTGTTATAGCTCAGTGGTGCTACGAAGAATGGTAGGTTCTCCACTTTGCGCTCAAAGCGATTCTGCTCTATGGTGGACAAGTAGGGCAGATCGTACTTGAAGTAGTTATCTGGTGCTCGGAGTCCTGATGGTCCGATGAAGATGTTTGGGGCATTCTTCATGGGCGCGTCGAGGACATCAATTGTCTTGGCGTGTTTGAGTGTTTTCAGCACATCATTCACGGAACTGGGCGTCTCGCCTGGTTCGTGGCGCATGAACATTGCCAGGGGCGGTTGGTGCGGCTTCAGCTTAGGCTTGGGCTTAGGGGTGGTGCTTGTGGTTGTGCTGGTCGTCGGTGGCGGCGTGTAGAAGTTATTGATTTGGGCCGGGTTTACGGGGGGAGGCAAGATATTGTACCGATGTTGGGTGATAAACGGCGGCTGCTGCTTCTGCTGATAGAAAGTGTCTAGAGGCACGTACAGAAGCTGAATCTCATCCTCGGTCTGGTGAACCTTGGGCCCCTTCGGGTGCTGGAATTGAAGCATGCCTGGCCGTGGCTTGTCGGCAAACTGATCATTGACGAACTGGGGTTGGACGTGAGAGATCAGGGGCTTCGTTTGTTGGGATGTAGGTGGCGGCGGCGGTGGTGGCGGTGGCGGCCCGGGAGGGAAGTTGAAGGGGTTATAGGGATAGGAGGCTTGCCTAGGCGGCGGAGGATGATGGAAGTGGAAACTCTGTCCCTGGTTGAGGACATATCTCTGGGTGGCCGGAGCTGTGGGGATGAAGTGCGGCACTTGAGGCTGGGGCTGGTGATTCAGATCATTGGGCTGGTAGAATTGGTTGGCAATGGTGGGCTGTTGGGGAGCCGAGGGAGCGGAAGGTGACGAGGGGATTGCTGATGGCTGGAGTTGCTGCTCTGGTGGTTGCGCTGGGAAGTTTAGCACTCGACCTGCCCTCTCTTTCGCCTCCTCCTGGCCAGGCTGGCACGTGGGGCAGTTCTGTGCGATGGGCACCCAGTCACTGCCCGTGGGTTGGGATGGGGAAGTGAAACCAGGATTCTGAATTTGGCGTGACCATCGAGGTTTGTCCTCTTTAAATGCGTGGCACAGCGTTGTGGCCAGGAGGAGAATGCTCAGGACGACTCCCTCCGCCAGTTGTCGAGCCATGATGTGGCACGTCGTACTGCAAAGGAAAAGGAGGAAAATGTAGATTTTCTGATCTAAAAGAATGCCTAAACGAGGAATAATTTAAATTCAACAGTTGATCCCTCAATTGAGTATGTGCAAATGTCTCTAATCAATCTTCTTTTCTTTTCAACTGTTTTAACCTCAGTTGGTGGCTGATGGAGGTGAAGTGAGGTGATGATCTCTTGGCGAAATGATAATAAGCAGGTAAGTTTCATCCAATCAAGTATAAATGGTGTTGCGGCATTTGTAATGCCTTGGCAAATTGACCTGGCAATTGGCGTCATTTGTTTGGGCGGATGGCTAATTAAGTCTTCTCCACGTGCTGAGAATCAATTATTTTAGTGTATTTGAAGAAAGAAAGGCGCGGTGAATCAGTGGGAAAAAATGCCATGCTAGTATATTATCATGCGCGCATAGGAAGTTCTCGAGGGAGTGGAATTATTTCATGGAATTTGTGCCTTCAATTTTTATTTCGCGAAATTTAATCTTGCACACAATCTTTCGCTATGTTCACATCAAAATCATCTCACGTCGTACAGGTTGTTTGCTAGGTATAATATCGTGATTATTTGTCGAGAAAGAGAGAGAGAAAGAATGTGTTTGAATGGGTCGGGGAAAAGTGCTCTCATTGAGGTGAGAATGCGATGTGAAGAAAGAAAAAAAGAGCCCAGCTGAAAATTTACCTTGATCTCGAGTACGCACTCCAACATCCGTGTCTCAGATCTTTGCCTTTTCAATGGTACTTGACGGGGAGACGGTGGAGGAGAGATAAATTGCCAACACTTTGGCACAATGGTCACCTTTGCAATTGCACTTGAGTTACTTTCACCGCCACTTTTCATCGCAATCCACCTTTTGAAGGTCTGCCGTTTCCCTTTCTTTCTTCGGGGCCCCGTCAAAAAATCATATATGCACATTACACTTATAACTATGAATAAAATAAAGATTTAATATAATCCGCCCAAAACTACGTCTGATGCAATAGGCAATAAAAGATATTTATTTGAAGATGCACGAGCGAGGAAATGGGTCATAAACTCTATGGAGATGATGTAAAAATTATCGAGGAAGTGTTAAATAATGATTCAGGTTTAAGGGTTTATTGCGTGAATCTTCTTCAGAGGTGTTGTTTTAGACACAAAAAAACCGTATAGTGTGAGAAAGAGAGAAATTAACCATTTCACAATGCATTCAAAACTGTCCATATTTCACAAAATCACTCAAACGGTGGATGAAAAATTTTACCCATATTCAGTCCAATTAAATACTCTCACGAGAGTTGAAAAATGACTTTTTTCGGTGGAATTTCGCAATGGTAATTTTCGCTTAAGTAATATGCCAATGAAGCCACATTGTCCAGAAAAGTATTGAGACGCTTTTCTCCATTGTGGCGGCTTCTTTGGCCCCAAATTTTGATCTTGTCTTTCATGCCCTGATTGGCTACGAAGATTTTCACTCTTCTTTCGAGAACAGACGTCAGAAAGCGCACTCATACGTTGGAATAATTAAATGATCTCTATCTCGACACGAAAGCTGGGCTTACAGATCATTTCTCGAATGTTTTACAACGTAGCGGGTGTAATCTGACGGTTGGCAGCAAAGGAGTTTGATTGAAACTTTCTAGGGTTAGAAGAGTCCAAGATTTTCGCGTGTGTTGAGACACTTTGCTGTTACAGAAGAGAGAAAAAAAACAGCGGTAAATGGCAAATGTGATTTCCTCACGACAAAGAAAATGCACATTTCCATCCTATAAAATTACGCTGAAATTGCACAAAAATCCATAGAATGTGGGTGGAATCTCTCTCTATACAAACAATATGTATGAGTTGAGGCTGTAACAATAGCATTTTCATCGATCCGCTTTAGATGCGCAATGTGAGGAAAAGCGTGGTCAAATGACAGCAATGCAATTGCACATTTGATGGATGGATTTATTAATAAATCCGTCGCGTGGGAAATGATTGTTGGTTAACATATTCGATTCGGAGGTGTTGGCTATAGAATAGATTTCTTTGTGGGTTCAAGTGAGGAGTTGAAGATGTGGATGAGAAAGAAAATAAATTGGAGTCTTTGGGTCACTTCAGATAGCCTTCAGAGCATGACTGGGCATTCATTTTCTTTGAGAAGGAGAAAAAGCCATCCGATGGTAGAGTGTGATTAAAATAATTGGAAATTCATTGAACTCTTGTGGCTTCTGCTGGGCAAATTAACACTGTATAATATTTGATCCTCATGTAATCTCTGTTGATGAGTGTCTCTAGAGACAATCTTTTTAAAGGGAAATTGACTTGTTCCTGGTCACATAAAAAGCCTCAAATAACATGGTTTTCATCACGAAATTGAAACCGCGAAGAAATGATTCGGTCTAATAAGTGCTTTTTTCTCTCTCTTCAGACGAGCGAGTGAGACAAAATGGTAGGAAAACAAATATAAATCACATTAGAAACTTTGATGTTACAATTATTTAGACATTACATTTTCCCATATGGTTACAATTAAATTCTATGGCCGCACTCTCAAGTTGTGATCAAAGATAAATCACCACCCAAAAGAGTGTTGAAACGTGAAAAGAGTCTCTTCGCGCCCAAAAATTCCATATGAAATAAATTATTGAGGAAATAAAAAAGAGGTTCGAGAAGAAAGGTGAATTTGTGACCTTCACTCTCTTTTGTGGGAAAGAATTGATGGAAGTTTAATTAATGCCAACATCGAAAAAAAAATATTGCTTCCCTTTTGATGGGTATCAAAAAAGTGTTTAAAGTCGGGTAATAAATTAGCTATACAAGTTAAAAGTAGGTCTCATAATATGCGCGTGTCTATACAATTTTCCTTTTACCGAAAAAATGCCAAATATTTCTATTGTCGATCAAATTTAGCCATCACGAGAAAAATTGGCCATTGCAACATGATATGAAGTAATTTCTCCTGACATTTTGGGATAATTTTAGCAGAAAATCACCGTCTTATGGTATGTCGATATACAGAATAATTACAAGCTTGATATTAATGGAAGTTATTAAGTTAGATAAATAATGCGAATTTCAAGCAAATTAGCCACTTTTCATCAGACCATTAATCACTTTCAGATATGAAGTGGTGTAAAATTATGTTCTCGCTGGTTTTTGCTTGCGTAAGCCATCATTAAACTTGAGGGACACATTTTTTTGAGATGCAAAGATTCCGCCAGGAGACTATATTGGCTGTTACAACCTTCGCAAGAGCGCAAGAATGCCATAAAAGACTATGGATCGATAAATAAAGAAATGGTGTGGCAGGTTACAACGTTTTAGAGATTTATATGAAGTCTAGGCTGCACAATCACTGTTCCAATTTTAATTACATTTCCTTTTCTCTTTTACAAGATGTAAGAATTTGTAATTTGAACATTTAATTGCCCAGGCTCCCAACTTTCACTCCAACTCCATCTTCAGTGGTTGCATTTTTCAACACTCAGGATTGCGGGTATTAATTGAATTCACGTTATTTTGCTATTTATTGCACTTGTTTTCGTGTGATTGAACAAGATATTTTATCAAAGGGAATTGCACAGCAGTGAATTTGGAGAATTTTGCCATCATTTGCATACAAATGGGCGGGGAATTCAAAGGGGAGGAGCAATTAGTTGACTAGTTCTAGGTCACGTCCGTACAGGATGTCGCTTGCCTACTAATTTAGTACCGGATGCTGCAATAATCTCCTAAAAAATTCTTCTAGTTAACTCGATAATAATCGATTTTCATAAAATTATATGCAAATGAGAGGTGAGAAAATAATTTCCTATTACAAAAAGCGATGTAAAGTTCTCTTCGTATCTCTCGTTGTGCTGGAATCTGTATGTGAATTTGTCCCAGGAAATGTGCGATTCCAGTATTGCAAGCAAAACAAACGAGGTGGAGATGAAGAAATGTCGAAGACAAAACCACTCATTTTACCTCGGAGACTTTCAAAATCCAACCCCATAAATAGCTTTTGCTCTGATCATTTCCCACCGCACACATGGCAATATACATTTAATTGCAATATTATTTGCCATCTTATTTGCAATTGAATTGCATCCCGCATCATTGCGGAAAAATGGTCGCGATCTCGATTGAAATGATGGGGCGGCATAAATTAATCGTGCGTATTTCGTAAGACGGGATTAGAAATTGGCTTTGACACTCTGCGTGGAAGTGATTTGGGGACTTTTTGTGCAACACACGCGAGATCATTTCCGACTTTTACAAATTGATATCTTGCCGCACGGTTAACAGGTTGGTTGGGTATCAACTCTTCGGAAATTTGCATGAATTGATATTGCGAGTGTTTCATATAGTGTGGTGTGTTTTTTTGCGACTTACTCTCGAAAGATGATGAATTGCATGTGAAAAGGAGGTTCATAGCCGTCGTGTGTGTGTGAGTGGTTTTAATCTACTTGCGATTGTCATATCGGCCACAGCAAGAAATTGCTTGACCGACAACTTTATGGTGGAGCTCAGAGTGAAAGTCTCCTCAAAGACTCGATAATGGCACTAAATTGCCATGCGAGGAAGTCCATCGGAGGCTCAAAAGTGCAGCGATCATGTGAAAAATGAAATCGGAAATGGACTTTGGCAGCATGCAGTGTTTAGATGAGATTCTCAATGACACTCCTCATGGCAATTCACTCACACGCAATGAAACATTTTGCCAATTGTGGGCAAAATGAAGAAAATGTGTGTATGGGAAATGATTGCACTTGATTCACAGTCAAGTGAAAATTCCCAAGAAAATGAGATCAGAGCTGAAAATCATCAAATATTAATCAAGAGTTGCGCGGTGTGTGTTTTTAAATTAATGCCCCACGAAAAAGAGACCTTTCTTTTTATACCCAGGAGCTTCGCACACTAGAGTGGGTTGAAAAGTAAATTTTTTTTAATGAATATTGACGCGAAAAGTTTAATTTTTGATGAGCTTTTCACTTTGCATCATGCCGAAATTAATAGACTTTGGCAAAAACACTCTCAATTATTCTAATTTTATTGACTTTCTCATACGCAGTGTTATGATGCATTTTATCCACTTTCTGACCATAGGAAATGTCTTCATTAGTGGTGTAATTTCGTTAAGTGCGCCGACCCTTAATGGTGATGTTGTTTTTCTTTTATTTCAAACTTGAAGCATGACTCGGGAGAATTTAACGTAGAGAATTTGCAAGTGATGAAATCGATTTATTGGTGATGCACATTTTCAGTAAGGTCACATGAAAGTGAATTTCGATGCGTCATAAATTCCGTATGAAAATATTTGTCAGTAATATGAAAAA